TTTTAGTAAATATTTACAGTTCCTGAGTACCTTGGCAGAAATACTTTTTTTGTAAGACATCTGCTGTCATTTATCATTCAGTCTTTGTTTACAAGTGTTAATTAGTCCTCCTGTTGAGAGCTGAAGTACTGATTGATGTCCACAGACCTTGCAGTCCTCGGGAGTTAGTTAATAATAATTCCTTACACTGACACAGTATAGGGCTTTTCTGGACACTCCACTCCAAGCACTTTACAGGTAATGGGGACTCCCCTCCACCACCACCCACCTGGATGATGCGATGGCAGCCATGGTGCGCCAGTACGCTTACCACACACCAGCTATCAGTGGAAAGAAGAACTGAATGATTAAGCCAATTTATAGATGGGGAATAGTAGGAGGCCATGATTGGTCAAGGCCAGTGGGGAATTTGGCCAGGACACTGGGGTAACACCCCTACTCTTTTTGAGAAATGCATTGGATCTTTTAATTATCACAGACAGTCAGGACCTTGGTTTTATGTCTCATCCTTAAGTAATATACTGTAGAAAGATCTGTGAATTGTAGGGCCACCATGAATACACATTAATCAGTTAGGTGGACTGGCTTTCATTTCTCATTTATTCCATTTGTATGGATTTTTTATTTTTATAAAAAAATGACCCCAAAACCCGATACTGCCATTATAATTAAATTTATTTTGAACTTAATAGTACATTTAGCATTTAAAGATTTACGGAACATGGTATCCATTGTTAGAATTGCACATGGATCAAATCATCAGTTTTCCCTTCCCAGTGCATACTTCTGTTCTGTTACTGTTCTCTCCTAAAGTAGATGTTTACTTCAGATTCTCTTATTGCAGTTCTAGGAAATAAAATTCTACATATTTTAAGTAGTAGGATTTCAGTTTTTTCTGTGCATTGATTTACTAATAAGCTGAGATTCTTAAAAAGATTTATTTTAATTGTGCTCTTTCTGTGTTGTCCAAAACGGGGAATATTCCAAGTAGACCATACAGAGAGACGGGATGAGGCCAGCCACTTTGGGATTCTTGAGGTCCTTTAAATTCTGTTCCTTTCTTTAGGTGTTGAACACTATAAAATGCATTTTAAAGGCATTGATAATAGGGAAGGCATTCTGAACCAGTATACTGTACTCAGTAAGGGGATCATCAGCGTAGACCTTCTGTGATTTTGCAAGTTTATTCTTAAAGTGTACAGGGAGCACAAAGGACTTTGCGTGGAAGTCACACCTCATATCTCTCATTTCCGTTTTTCTGGATCTGTCCTCCAGCAAGCTCAGTTCAGCAGAACAAAACTTAAAACAACATCACTTCTGTCACTGGACGACTTCACTGGTGTAAAGATAAAGGGTCTCTGTGCTGTGAGATGCTGCAGGAGTAAATGGAGTCAAATGTGTCTTTGTGTTCCTGCAGCTGAGTCCACAAGCAGATGTTTTCAGCTTGGCCATAAAAGAGGATATGGAATGATTTTTTTTTTGTTTATTGTTCTAAATATTAGTTTTAGTTGGAATCTGAATTAATAGCAGTAATAAAGGATGGATTAATAACAAAAGCTGATGATAAATGATGGTAAAACATCCTATGAATAGTATCCGTTCACCCTCTTGATTCTACATTCAAACATGTCCTGTGATCATTTAGAAGGTAAGAGGTACCAATATTTCAGACAGACAATGCTTTTAAAGTTTTCTTTTCAAGCTACTTATTGTTTGTAATGGGTAAGAAAATACCGAGGCATGCTGGATTAAAGATCCTATTACCCTTTCTGGATTTTAGTTCACATCCAATTAACCTTTCAGCATAACATGTATTTTTGTTTGTTTTGGTGTTGTTCTTAAAGAACTTTTAATAACTTAAGACAAATTAATTCTCTTCTCCTCTTCAGTTTTATTTATCTCAAACCCTTAAGAGTACATAGGTTAACTAATTTAGATGGGATGTGCTCTAATAATGTTTGTTGCAGGAAATGTTCACTAAATTGCTGATGATTCAAAGAATTGTTTCTGATAACACATTTCTCTTTTACCTATTATAGTTTATGAGGAACAACCTCTTTAACCTATTAGCTGTTTTGTTAATGCATCCTTTGAGGAAGTTGACTATATTCTTCTTATCCATTAAAAAGATATCTTATCCACTTCTTTAGTCCAAGGAATTTGAATTATTTTATAGTTGTTTCCCTTTAGATGTATCATATAGTGCTGTCAGATGGCTTGTAATATCAGAACAGTGATATTTAACCTTAACCTTGTGTTATCTTTTAGTAATAAACCAATTGAACCTGTTTGAGTAAACATTTACTGGAAGGTAGAACAAGGCATGTTTGTGCATCTGCAGCTGCCTGTCGCAGATGAGTATGCTAAGTGCCTCTAATCAAATTCTGTTTAATTTCAACATCTGCAGGCTGATGAGTTTCCTATTTGCTTTATCATTAGCAGTGCTCTCTGTTGTGGGCTCTTAAGTATTTTTTGGCTTGATGGCTTTTTTAAAATGTGGACATGTCTGTAATGTGGTGCATATGGAGCATCATAGAGAGGATTCAACCTGCTCTCTGGGAAATAAAGTATAGAAGTTGTTGTAGAAAAATAAACCCTGCCAGTTGGAAACTGTGAATAGCAGTAGTTCTTGCCTTTCAAGAAATTTCTCTTGGATTCAAGGATTCAATACTTTATTGCCATATCAACAAAAAGTTGGCTGAAAGGTATAGAAGCTCTTATAAAACATTGTTACAAACAGGGTTATAAAAAATAGAAGTAGATAAATAGACTGAGCAGTTTAATCAATAATTAGAATAAATAATCATAACCTCCAAATTATAAAGGTTTTGCCAAGAATATGCCCATGTGGTTTAAATAATTAGAGACACTTGATTTATTTTGTTTTCTGGCACAGCTTTGGAAAAAAGAGTACAAGGGTTAAACGGGCAAATTGGGTTAAACAAATATTAATAATGATACATAAACAACACACAGCATAAACATTTAAACTGCAAGTTACACTATTTACAAACATGGCCTCTCAAAGGCCTATGTCCTGACCATCCAGAAAAAAACCCAGACTGCTACCAACTATTCAAATCCTGTATAATACCTGACAGACTCAGAAATAAGGATAAACCTGCCTTCAGCACCAAACAGAATACAGCCGAAAGCTAAAGCTGTGTCTATAAACTCAGATGCTATAAAGTAAAAGGGAACTTATCTCCCTATTCTAAAAATGCATCCACTAATCTGGAGGCCAGTTTTAACCCAGGGACTGTCTATTCAGGAAATCAGAATTTTCTTAAAACAACAGGATTGCAAGGTTAGCAAGGTTCAAATACTTAACTCGCATCGGGTCTTAAAGCTGAAAGGAACAAGGACCTTCCACCTAAGTGTTTATTCTCCTTTTCCCTTGTGTCTTGCTGTCCTTTCAACATGTCCTTCCATGTCTTCTCTCTTTTCCCCTCTCTCACCACACCTGTCAGTTTTATATCCTGTTCCTTTTCTGTTAATGATCTTTAATCATTTACAGGGAAGTAATTAACCAAGGTAGACCAGAGGATTCCTTTGATCAATGCCCCACTCAATTAACACCTCAGTTCCTTTCATGCTTTGAAGCTCCCAAGAACTTCAGGTGTCCGCACTAGCAAGGTGTTAGCCATTGTCTCTAGATTTCTAAGACGCAATGATCAATGGTCATTTCCAATAACCATAACAATATTGTAAGAGTAATAGTGCTTTCAGTGCACATAATGTTTGTTTTTAATAAAGGACATAATCACCCCTCAGCTACTATGGCAGTTCTTCAAATACCTGTCTCTAGGCTGAGGTTAGTTGTGGTCTTTACATAATTTAACCCTTAGCTGTTGCCCTTTATTCTTTTATTCTTTGGAATAAAATAATTAAAGAAATAATTACATTCCGTATTGATAAAGGATTGAGTTTATTAATCTTAAACAAAAATACTGTTTGCTAGCATACTGACACACCTTGAATATTTAAGAGCTCTCACTCCTTAATTTCTGTTAGAAATCCACATTATATGAGCAATCATAGAAGTAATTTCAAATAAAAACATCTCTAAAGATGATCCAGTGCTTAAAGGCTGTGGCAAATGTCTTTGGAAAGTACCAGAAGGTCCACTATTATATCTGTTTGGGATTCTGTTCCCCTCTGGGATTTGTGGTTACCAACAAAAACAAACATTTTTTGTCAAAAGCATTTTCCTTCTGCATTCTGGGACATAATCTGAGATCTAACAGTGAAAATGAAATCCTTTGTTAGATCCGATAATCGCTTAGTATTTGTTCCTCTTAAACATTCCATACTCCGGATATATTTGTGTGTAATGCCATGTTTTTGATCACATCGGGACCAGTGGTCGTGTTCTGGTGTCCTATCCAATGTAATGGTTAATAAGAGGAACGATACCAGCGTTGAGATTCAAAGGGTTTTTATAAATCAGTAATACTCTAATGACACTGGGCTATGGGTCTTTTCAAGCCTTTTTTTTCTTGCTTTGGACATAAACTAAGGCCATCTCAGTTTACTGTTCCTTTGTACACCTGCCAACATGCAAGGGCTCCTAATCGCTTCAGCATGGGCTGGAATGGAAACCAGGTCCCGGCACAGAAAGACCAGCGCTTCACTTTATCCACTGCACCACCCCTTTACCCCTGGGAATGCAAGCTTGACTGTCTGATGATAACATTAAGATTTAGTAGGACAGCACTGGAGAGGGAAGAGGGAGGAGCAGATAAGGAGAAAATCCTCCCATCCTGTGCTCTGCAGTGCATACATGCCCCAGGAACACCATTGTGATGAGCAAAGAAAGATCTCTAAGAGGCTGGAGAGAGGGAAGGGGTAGGAAGGAGTGGGGAGGGGGGGTGGAGCAGACACATGGCTGTTGTTGATGAGGAAAAAAGGCTTTGGCAGAGCTGATGTTGTGACTGTTCCTTGCGGCTCACAATGGAATTTCCTACAGACTGGACTAACCATTATATGTCTGTTTGTAGGACTTCTGGAGGCTAGAGCCTTTACAGACATACAGAGGAAAGGATGGCGAGCACACTGGTTAAGCCCTGTCTGCTGGACCGGACAGGAAGCTTCTTTAAGGTAGAGTGGAGGGTGTTATACTTGGCTGAGAACTCTTCCTTCCTTGCCTTCTCTCGCATGCTCTGTCTGTGACTTCTTCTCTCTTTTCCTAGTTCAGTGCTGCAGTCAGATTCTTGTTTAAGAGAATGCCAGCTGTGTAGGTGATGTTTGGGAGTCCTTGCCAAGCCTAAAAAAGAAGTAAACTGTGGCTTCACAGAGCTGTCTGTTGTTTTCTGAGTTTTAAATTAATAGATTTCATTAGTGTTGCAAACAGGTCTCTAGCCTTTCTTTGAATGTCAGCCAGTCTTTGACCACAGTTTGACCACTTCTAAAGACATCAATGCATGAGGTTCCACACCATGTGGGATTGAGGTTAACATTTGTGAAGAAAAAAAAACACCTGTAATGCTTGACTTGTGTACTTAATGGGGGTCAACACACAGTTTAACTGCACTTGAATGCCTCTTTTATATGCAGCTGTTGTGGCAATTCTGCAGTTTAATTCCCTGTGAAATATGCTTTCACAGCTGGACACAAGGGAGATGTTGTGGTGCTGGACAGAGACCGGCACAGATGTAATACTAGACCTTTGGGAGCAGTGCTGTTTGGATTTTCGTTATCTGTCCCTTTCTGTAATGCTTAGTTCTTTCCAGTCAGACATCAGGATGTGACTGCAGGGTGTCCCAGGCCTCAGTCAGCTGAGAGTGCCAATCTTCCTCTTAGCAAATGGTTTGAATTGGTCTTCTACCATATTACTAACTAGCACCACAGAAGCCAAATTAATTTAAGTAATATTCAGACAACGTACACAAGTTCATTTACTGAATGCGTTTACATAGAAGCAAATGCTATACTTCCAAGCATGATTTGTTGTCACAGTCAGGTTGTTTTCATTTCTAGATTTAATGGCACAAATGAGCTAATAAGCAGTAGGGACCTTGTGTGTATAAATGGCTTCCTGTTAAATTAGTCCTATTCTGAGATCCATACAGAAAATCGCTTACCTCTCAGGTTGTTAAGTTCAACAATAATGACAGCATTTTTTGGAACAGTCTTCTCCAGAATGTCTGAAATGACTTTTTGGCACATCATAGACAGCATATAATGTGACATCAGATTTTCCTTATAAAAATAATTGGGAAAATGGGAACAGTATTCATTACGCCATCTGCCTGGAATGGGCTATGAATCCTTCCATCATACTGGAGTAAATTACCTTTTATTATGTATTTTTGTCTAGCAACACTGATTTGAACACTGCTTCATTTGTTGTTCAATATGTTTTATCATCGCAAATTTGCCTTCAGTTTTTGTAAACTGCATGAAATGTTCCTAAATAAAAGATTCTAGGAGCCTGGTTTAGTCATTGTTCTACAGCTTTGGCCTGCAAATGAAGATCCATGTTAGAATATACTGAAGTTCATGAAGTTTTAAAGGATTAAATCTTTTTAAAGGATTCCATTTAAAGGATTGTTTTTCTCCAAGTAACACATGAAGTGAATGATTGACTCTTAATTGTCATAGATTGAGTTTCATATCATTTAAATGGAAGTGCCCAGTGCTCGTCTTGGCCTAGTCTAAATTGATACTGCAGACATAATTACTGTAAAATGTGCTTTCTTTCAGTCTTATTGTAATCAAAATTAATTAACATTCGTTTTTATTTATTGTGAGTTGTACTACAAAGTATCTGACAAGATCATTTCAACAGCGCTTAATTGTCCTATTTTTAAAAGTATGTGCTTTTGTGTATGTGTACATACCGTACAGTATGTGCTGTAAAACTATTTGTATCCTAAAACCCTTCAATTCAGTTTATCTACATTTTGTCTGAATATAATCTCTTCGTTTTGGTCACCTTGTGACCTAAGTGAAAATGCTGTGTAAAATATTCTTAATTTCACTTTATTTCTTTCCAGTACTTTTGTGGCTGTATGTTCTTCCAAGCCACTAAAACTGACTAAGGTGACATTAAATATTTTGTTTGTTTTCCTTGAAAGTACTTGAAATTATTTTTGACATTATCCTAATATTTCTAATGTTACACAAAAATTGAAAGAATTAAAAACTGCCATAGTGATATTGTATAAGTTAATGTGAAAAGTGATGAATGTGTTTTGGGGAAACCATTATCTGTATTGGATTTCCTTTGAAATATTCAAATTGCAAAAGGGAATAATTCAGATTTCAGATTATACTCGCCTTCTGAATCATCTGCTTCCTCGGGTTAATTTTGTAATGTATCCGACTGCGTCACATTATTCAATTTAAACAGAAACCCAAGTATTATAGTAAAGTCAGATGTGATTCCTTATGCATTATTGATCTTCTTACTAAACTCACTTTAAGATTTTACATTAATGACAGCTTCCACCTGCTGTGCATTCGTGGTACTACATCAACATACACTGCAAGAATAGGCATTCAACTGCTGACATGCATCTGTTTTTTCCACATACACCACCTTTACCTTTAGCAATTCCTGAGATGCAGTCATGCCAGAGCCACAGCGGTTTAATGATTTTACAAGCTGTGAAACCCTTGAACATACGGAACGTGCTGTGCATGTTGCAACAAAGACCTAGTACTGAAATAAAAACTATTCCCAGTTTTGCTGGAGAGTATCCCTGATCTTGAGAAACTACTGTGAGCAATAGTGTGTTATAGTTTGCTCCTCTAAACAAGAAGCTGTGGATTATGATATTCAGACCAAACATTTAAGTGCAACAGAAACATGAAATGGCATTCGTCAAATGTTTAAATTTCCGTTTAGATTTCACTTTTAAGATGGATATTTTTTATGGAAATAAATCACAAAATGATATTTTAAGGACCTACAGTATATGATAGTGAGTGCAAAACAAAACAGTAAGGAAATGCCAAGCCTTACTTTCACAGTATAAAACGTATTTAAAGTAATCTCTGCTACTGATTTTATCTTCTTGTGGTAAAGAGATTTGGTTTTGTGAGTTTAGTAGCAATTCTAGGAGACTGGGATTCATTGTGAGCACTTGTATGAGAACAGCACCTGACAACTGTTCTGTTAGTGTAGTTTATCTCTTTAGTACACTTTGTATTTCAAGTTCAGTTCTATGCACTGTTTCCTTTTTAGATCAGAATATAAGAACAGCACTTAAATCTGATGATGACAACAGAGTCTTTTACTGCTGAGTTTGCTTGTTTAAATAAGGTTAAAACAATTTTATTTCAGATTTCTACTTAGCTGTTCTTTCTTCATCTTCTTGGCCTAGACCTATATCCTGTTGTGACTAATGCATTTGTCACCACAATAAAAGATTTTCTCATAGGGACAAAGACACAAAAAGGAAAAATGAACAACCTTTGAGAGATTGAAAAGTTTGTATTTAGACATTTAGGGGCACAATATTTTTATTTTATTTTAGTTGTATTTTTTAGTCACCCAGACACCAGAAAAAAGAATGCTATTATAAACAACATTATGTACATAAAATAGCATTCCACTTCCTTTATTGCGGTTTTACAAGATTTTGTTCACATTTGAATTTAAAATGTGACATAGTGATATGTTAAGTGAAGTAAAATTGTTTTCAATTACAGTAAATGGTATACAGCAACACTCATTAATAAATGTAGTGCAAAGTTATCCAAAAACAGTGTCACAAATTATATGTTTGCCTTGCAGCGAACACTAACATGCCTGTATTTTACATTTACAAGAAAAAGACCTCACCTTGCTCAAAGCATTGCATTGCTGAAATCGTTTTTATTGTACCCTGTTTCTGAAAGCATACTCAGATAAAAAAATGTTTTTGAAAGGCTGGGCTTGTTTGTAAAGCATAGGCAGTGTGTGTGAATCATTTTCAAGTTGAAGATAAAAGAACAAAGTTGACTGAAGGGACCATGAACCGAAAAGTCTGACTTTTTTCCTGCCTTACCACAAGGAGAACTGTCTCGCGCTGCAAGCTTTCGTTTTTTCTTTCTTTCTGTTTTTTTAATATTCCTTTTCGACAAATGGGAAGTTGTTCCTTACGAAACATGTTTGAGGATGCCAATAGTCCAGCCCCACAGGAAAATGACTAACAGTGTCCAGGCTTTTAATGTAGACCTCTGTAAGTGTGTGTTTTCTGGTGTTTTTCATTCTTTGTACAGTTGATTGATGCATTTGCCTCAGAGATCGGAGAACTGAAGCAGGAGATGGTACAGAAAGACTTGGCTCATGAGAGGGATCCCCAAATTACAGGCATGCAGTGGTAAGTTGGTGTGTTTTTCACCACTTTTATTCCGCTAATCAGCAGAACCTTAACCCTCACAGAGCCAAATAAACATGTGTCGGTAAGTCAGATGAAGAACTGTGTGGCACATCATATTTTCTTTGAAGAAAACTGATAATTATGTAGGCTTTGATCCTGCAAATCTGTTGTCATTTTCTAGATGTAATGCAAGTATTTTGAAACATTTGTGTCTCTGTTAAGTAAATGAGGTGGAAAACTTGTATTTTCCGTCGAAATGCAAACACAATAAATTGCTGATCAGCAAACTATTGCCGTGTACCTCGCTAAGGGTTACAATATGTATGTGTGATCCTTCATTGAGGGTAACTTTGCAGAGTAAAATTATAGCTGTTTGCACTATGCAGAACTGCATTGTGCAGGTGTTAAAGTGGAGTTGGTAGGTGACGTCTTGTGTCTAGAAAAACGATGTAAAATTTAAAATTTATTGTAATGTTAAAAGTCCCTGAATCAGCCTTCTTGTGCTGAAATAACTGCTGTGGAATAAATGTATGCAGAAAGGAGAATTTGTTTTGTAACTTTTAAAATCATTGCACAAGGCTGTTTGTTTAAAAAAAGAATTTATCTGGACAAATTGCCAACTACTTGTTAAGGCAAAGTTGTGAGGTTGTTCCAGTAATTATATAAGCCTCCATTCTTGTGCCTAACCTCAAATTAATGAAAGAATTAAGGCTGTAAACATATAGCAACACATGGCAAATCAGCCCTAGCAAGAATTTGCAAATCCTGTTTTCATTCCCACTTTCAAAGTATTTCTGTGTTCTGACGCCATCTAACACAGCTGGTGAAAGCCATGATGAAGTTTTCAGTTAAGCTGTTAAAAACTCCTGCATTCACCCAAGGTTTTCCTTGTTCTCTGTATTTATGCCGTATTTATTAGATGGTTAAAAGTCTAAAAAATGCTGTTGGCAAGAAATCATTTTAACTATTATACCCATTATACTAGTTTCTTTTTTGAGTTTCTCAGGAGAAATTCATTTAGAAATTCATTTAGAGATGTTAACCTGTGTCTGTTCAGGAACCATTGAGTTGGTCACATTATTGAAGCAGAGCAATATTTCTTGATAGGAATCTGAATGGACAATTCTCAGATTTTATTTTATCTATTACTAACATAATTTTATACCTGATTTTTGCATATTCTATTCATAATTTTGCTGATTTAAAATTTGTATCTGAAAGTTAGCAATGTCAATACACCTGTTTAATTCTGATATAGTGCATCTTCAACAATCTTGCCAGCCTATAATTTGGTTAAATATGCTACAGATTCACCTGAAATATATTGTGTAAAAAAAGCTTTGACCAGAAGGAAGACAAATTATTAGTATTGACTAAAAGCTACCTGACAAATAATAACTGTAGCTAAATACAATGACCTGAAAACATAATTAGAGTGGGTGAATAATATACTGATGGTTGTAAAATCTACTGTATGCCACCAGTATTCGAATGCAATACATTTTCTTTGTGTCATCATGATGTCAACTCCTTAAAGAGTTACATTTGCTTTGGGGATCCACTACTGTCAGAAAAGCACAGAATGCTTACTGGGCTGTAGGAGACTTAAAAGTTCTCCTGTCTGCTTTGGTTACTTCAAAATAAACGTGTGGACAGCAGCTTAATAAAAATATTGTATTTGTATTTATTATTTTGTTAAAAAAATAAGAATATTTTAAGTGTTACCCAGAGGAGATTTGTGAAAGTGGTTTACTTTTCCATCTTTAGAGTTTCTAAATGAATTTCTGCCTCTATAGTCTTTTTGGGCACCAGAGGGTTTTGATTACTTAAAAATGACATAAGAAGCCAGACTGACTGAACTCTCTTGATCCTTAATGCTTGAAATATATGCCACTCTGTTTTTCAGGAAACGTTTCTTGCTGAGACGTTCATTTGTTGGCCACAGTTTTTTATTGCTTGGAAACTGCATGAAATAGGGAAAAGAAACTGCCTGACTCAGGCCTCAAAATCAACATTAAATTTAATATGTTAACACACTGGAGAGAGAGGTTGCATGTAGCGCAGATGTTAGTTGTAGTTGTCAAAGGACTGGTCTTTAGAAATAGTCATGAGATATGATGGTCGCTGTTATTCTTTTTTGTTGTCTAGATTCTGCATGACCGGAACAATTGAGACTACATTACCATTGTTGGTAAAACAGGAGCACATCCCAGTGTAGAAAGAAATGTAATAGAAAAATTTAATTTTTTTCACTGCTAAGGATAGGTGCTCATTTTGAGGATAAAGTGTACAGTCCAGTTAGTATCAGTAAGTTGTGAAAATTATTTCAAACGAAGAAGGCAATTCCTTTAATGTTTGGCTAACCGTGTTTTGTTGTTCAAGTACTGGATTTAGCAATAGTGTTTAAAATGAAGTTGCACTATTAATTATGCAACATAAACATCATTGTCATAAGTACAAGAGTGTACTCTTGGGATTTAGAAGGAACTCATAAATGTATAAGCACATTCTTTGTGCCACTGACAGAAAATAACATTTCAGTATATTGTGGTAATGCATGAGACAAATCACTTCCCTTTTTTCAAATCCTGCTAAATTTATCTGAATCATCACTTGTTCGTGTAGACAGGAGTCTTGACGTATAATATGACGCAAGTGCATATTCATTTTTAACGTTTCTTACTTGTCTCTTTCAATTTTGTTTTTTATTATTAATTATTGTGTAAATAGCATGAATGAAAGAAAAGATTCAATGTTTTTGTTAATCTACACAATTTAAATCCCAGTTCTCAGTTGCATTGTCCAAGCTTGGAAGTTTGAGCACCAGGTGACTTAAAGTCCTGTGCGTATTTCCTCTTTCCTTTTCTGGGAAATTGCAACTCTAAAAAAATAAGCTATTGGGTTTCTGTGCATACTTCCTTCCAAGTCTACTGAGTACTACATCATAAAACCTTAAATATTGTCACCAACTATTCTATTTCCCTATTGGACTATTTTAAAAATAATTATGATGTAATTTTATTTTAAAGTATTTAAGTCCAGTGGTGTTTTGCAAATGACAACTCTCCTATTTTTTTACCTTCATGACCTTTTAATAGACAGTGGTCAATAAGTTACAAATCCTGTAATATAAAATAGTAAAACAAAGTAAATCCTTAGATGGATGTTATTTTTATTTTCAAGATTCAACTGAGAGTCTAGTGTCCACTTCCTACCACCACCACCCACCCAGAGCATCCTCTAAGGGTCTCCAGATGGAGCACAAAGTAAATCCTATCACCCTCAGTCTAGTTGGTGTGAATTTTCACACAGTAAACCCAGTCGGATGAAGGCAAACAAGGATCTGCTGACTTACACTGTAAAATAAGCTAGTATGATTTATGGCAAATATCAGTGATGATCCCTTAGTTCAAAATAGACTTTTGTTAAAAGTGTTACAGTTGGAAAGGTTTGGTAATGTCAATCTACATAAATGTCCCCATCTGCAAGAATCAGTCATCATGCTATCTGCCAGCAGGGGGAAGCATTTCTTTCTCATCATGACTGTTCTCAGTCTCATAGCTGATTAGAAAAGCCTGATATGATTCTGGTGATGAACTGACGAACTCTTAGATGAAGGGCAGTGCAGTCCAGTTAAAAAGATGGCAGAACTTAGTGAAGTCAGGATGACAGCAAGTTAAAGCACAAAGAAACCCAGTGAAATGTGCTATGAACAGTGGAAGAGTAAACTGATTTCTTTTATCCATGGTGTAGAATGACCATGGCTAAAAACTTAAAAGTATCAACTTCTGTTTTACATATATATATATATGTTTTCATAAAATCTTTTCATGTTCATTCTTCTGTTCACGTTCAGAATAATCATTCTAGGTGTTCTGCATTAGTGTGTTTTTCAGCCGTTGTTGGAGGGGGGGGGGGGACAATTTTATTCTAAATTCCAGTTTAATGTTGAGTGTCGGTTTTGCGTAATGGAGGCGTGGAGGAGGAGATCCCACATCAAAACCACCAGCGGAGGGTTGTTATTTCATCAGAAAAGGCCAACTTAAACCTATTTCGCAGGAAGTACCTGTGGTGAGGGTGCAGAAGCAAGTGATTTTTTTTCGATGTTAAACTGTCGTACCTGAACATCAGCAGTCAGTGTTCAGGGATAAAGAAGGACAAAAGGAAAGATGGCCATCTATTGGTATGTTGCTACAATCCACTGCATCAGATAACAATATAATTATATTAGAATGTTTGTTTTTTATGTTCATCAGTACAAAGTACTTGTGAGTCAAGTGCAAACAGAAGTATGATTTTTTTTACATAGGACACCAGTACTTAAACTAAAGGAGAAGACTGTGGAGTTCACATGACTTTTGGTTAATGTTAACACTTTAAGGATTATCTGAAATCCACAAGATCAAATGCCGTGCTGGAAAATATTTTAATGAGGATATTTTCATCCTTTTAAACCCTCAAGGTGTTGTGGTAGTTAATGTGCATCTCTGCTTTGCAGCAGCTTAGAAGAGGACATTAACAGCCTGTACCTTCAGGACACAATGGGCAGTGCCAGGGACTCAGGCTACGATTCCTTAAAGAGAAAGATCAGTATCTTGGACCGCCTGACTCAGACTCACCCAGTGTGGCTGCTCCTTCACCTGAGTGATGAGGAGGCAGCACGGATTCTCCAACAGCAACCACCGGGGGTGAGAACTTTGAATGGATTATAGAGGCTTTCAGCATTACAGAATCTGCATTTGGTGTGAAGGCTTTTTATATTTCCCTGTTCACTTTTAGAATCTTTAGTTCACCAATGTATTATTATATCACAGAAAAAAACAGCACTGGGAACTTGTATTGTGCAAGCCCTACCACTTCAGCAGCAAGGATATAAATAGTGAACACTGAAACAGGTGATTATTCTTCTCTTTTTTTCAGGATCTATCCTAGCATACCTTTTCCAGTGTCATCAGGTTATATTTTACCCCCACCCAGGCATTAGCTGAAAAGTTAAGGGCAGCTATCTGTAACAGTAATTTACATTTTGGCATACTCCAAGGAGAATGACGTGCATGTTTTAAGTGTTACCTAACACTTTATCTTTCCCAATAATTGTTTTGTCAAGTACAAAATTCATTGTATTTTCTTCAGTTATTATTTGGGAACTTAAAGAATCACTAAGAGATTTTTTTCACTCAAAACTAGGTTATTTAGAGGTGCTCCATTAATAAAATACCTAAAATAAAATAAAAACATTTTAGTATAAAGCTTAACTTGAAGTACCTCACAAGACTGTACAAAATAAAACCGTATGTGTATTTCAGTCATCCCTGTTTTTAACTGGCCCAGACACTTTCATCAGCATTTTCTGCTTTGGAAATTCAGCAGAATCTAAGGAATTGGTACAATGACCAACAGACAAAACAGCTTCATCAGCTTGATGGCCTTCTTCTGTTTAGATATTCCTTGTGAGGAAATCAACAAAGCTGCAGAAGAAAGTTATCTCCCTGCGCCTTGACAGTGAGTTTGGGCCTCCAATCAAAGACTTTCCTGTGAAAGAGAGTCAATACAGTGAGTGTCCATCCATACATACAGTACATACACATATTAGCTTTTATATACAAGTTGCTTCACCGTCTGCAGTTTTAAAAGCTGGCATGTTTATTTTCTCTGAGCTAAATCTCCCTTAGAGGCTTGTATTACTAATGCCCTCTGGCATGTAGCACAGATAAGGCTTGGTACTATGTAACCACCTTTTCATACAGCCTGAAAAGTCAATAATGCAGTGTGTCAAAGTAAACTTCCTGCCCTTCCTACATGTTGTGTAGACAAAGGGAAAGAGAGAAGAACTTCATTGTTCTAGAGTTCATTGTTCTCTTCCTTATCCTGAACACTGTCTCTCTATTTAAGATGATGCAATGTGGTGTGTACAATGATTGTTTTCTCTTTGTGCTTGTGAATAGCTTCATTAATCGTTATCTAATGATTTCATTAACTCAAATGCTTCAGTCTTGGCATCTATGTGAATATTAAAAAACATGTTTTTATTTATTTTTCCTGTGGTATTTTCAGAGTAGCTGAACAATAAACACTCTGTGCTATTCATGCAAGTTACCAAGGGCAATAGCCTTTTGAACATTGAGATAGGCACTGAGTTGGATTTGTTTTATTCAGTAAAAGTTTGAAAATGAAATAGCAGTGTGCTGATCTTTGGTACACTAAAGTTTATAAATGAGGATGACTCTACAACCTTGTTGTCATCTATTTAAAGAGTAATAAAATAGCAGTAAAGTCAAACAAGGTATGGTTTATTGCTAGCCAGGAGTTAATCTCTTACTCACTAAAGGCGATTTTGTTAAACATTAAAAGGCTAGCAGGTTGTTTTTGTGTTTAAAACTATAGAACAGGAATTACTAACAGACTGTGAACTCTCCAGATTGTTTTTGCTCACAGACAGCAGCCCAGATGTTTTATATCACCATAGTAGGCCAATAGCTTCTCAAATATCAAAACATTCTTCTCTTCCACTCTAAAAAAACAGGTCAAGCCCATTTATAGGCAGTACATTTGTGGTGTGGAAAAAAAAAACATTAGAGATTCCATTGGGCATGTGAAGCACTGCATATAATAATACAGTATGTTTATGTACATATGAACATGTACAAACACTTATATGAACACTTATGCAATATATACCTTTTTCTCCAGCGTTCTCTGTGGAGGGGTCTGGAATTAGTTTTGCAGATTTGTTTCGACTTATTGCTTTCTACTGCATCAGCAGGTAAGAAACTCTAAGATTAAACTGCCGTTGGTCTAATACAGGAGTGCGTGATGTAGTCAATTCATATGTATGCTTTCATACTTCATGCTTTACATACTGTAAAAAGTGTTTTATTCTCTCCATACAAAATGCATGCATTGTGCTTCAACCCATTGTTACTCTGAAACAAACCCTTAATTGTTATGGATATATATTTTTTCCATTTCTGTCGACCATCTTAGAGAGTCTTAAGTTACTACAGCTGTTGATCGGGTCAAACAGCTGTAACTCTTTCCACAAGTGCAATCTGATAAGCTGAATGAAGAATGAGAAAGAGATACTTTTGTTCAAATCTATAGGCTTACTGATACGATGAAATCTCTGTTAAAAAAGGGTATAAATTCTACTCCTCCTCTGTATAAGAATATACCGCTAAGCCCCCAGTATTCTAATACTTCTGTTTTAACATTAGCCAAATTTAAATATCTGTGGAGTCTGCATAGAAACTAACTTTGGATGTTTAGTGTAATATGTTTCTTCACAGACAAAAGACAGACAGTTTTTTTAGGATATATGGGGAAAAAAACAAATTGTAGGTAGATAATGTTGCAATGTTGATTTCTTTTGCTTTCTTTGCATTTAAACAGGAGGTGATGAACAAAACGTAATAGGAAAAATGAATTTGTTTATAAGAAAATTATTCATTATTTCAGTGTAAAAGTGCACATTTGAATGTGCTGACAATGTTTTGGAAAAGGTAGTCTGTTTTATCTTGCATTACAAGACAGATCTAAGAAAACCGAATTGAAAGAGGTGATGGGTAAACTACCAACTAAACGTCTAGATTAGTACCTTGCATTACAACACAAATGTCTGCATTTATGGTCTGCTAGCTTGGCAGAAACAAATAAAGAACAGATTGGTTCCAAGACCACAGGAAATGCAACACCTTGATCCAAAATTTATATGTACACCTTTGACACTGTTAAACATTGAAACAGCAGGTCACTCTTGCAGAGATACTTCTTTTTCTCCAGGAGTTGCTATCTGAAGTCCGAAAATAAACAGACCCCTCCTCTCAGAAGTGCTGCCCAAAGCATTTAGGCAGCTGAAGCTTCCTCTGTGTTAAATAATATGTAACAGATGAAAGTCCACACTTTCTCTTTTAGAGGAGGCCTGGCTAAATCCTTGTCCTTTTTCTGAAAAGGGATGTCCTACCATTTACCTTGAAGCTTCCAGAGGCAATAGCCAGTGCTAAGACTCAGACAGATCTGGAAGAAGTGGCTCAGCTGGAAGTCGGTAAGCCCTGCTCCTATGTTTTTCTTTTTGTCAAATGGAAAAACTCCCCTGGTCTGTAATTATGCATTTTAAACTGATCTGTTAACACTGTAAGTTGGATTTCAGATCCCCCCCCCTGGTTTTCAAATTTCTCTTTCTATCTAAATATGGAAATGCAATTATTTCGGTTTGAAGATCATGAAGTTGGGGTTCTTTTCCTTGTCAATAATTTTTTCTTGCTCAGGAACCTTTGTAAATAGACTTCAGATCAAAGCACAATAAACGAGCTGAAAAGGGCAGGCAAAATCATCTAGCGTTTGCATTTCTTGCTAGTAACACAAAAGTGTTATGACAAAATCAAAGTGGTGACTGATACTGTACTTTCAGCATCATGGGGAAACCCCTTATACTCAGTAGAATCTGTATTAGATGGAAAATATTTTTATATGTTATGCTTTTTTCTAACACGGGCAACTCTAAACCTGTTTGATTGAAGTATGGAAAAGGGGCTGCTGAAGGAAGTCTTAGTAAAGAATTGTATCTGCAGTTACAGCTAATTGTAAGAAGAAATTGTAACATTGCATTTTATTGAATGTTATGAAATAAATCTTAGCTTGTTAATTCTAAATTATACATTGTCTTCCTTCATATGATCAGTCAATTAGCTTTTTTTTCGGCACTGTTACAGTAATACATGATCTGATGCAGACAAAACATTAGCTCAACGTACCTTGTGTGGGAACATTCTCTTTGACACTTGCATTCATCTGGAACTCTTTTTCTCCCTAATGTGGTTTTCAATGAGCAAAATCTGTACATAAAGTGTTTTCTGCTTCTCCCAGGCTATGTGAATATCTATTTTTAGGCTGTAGTTTTCAAATGATTTCTTTGGAACTAACTAACCTTTTAAATGTTAGCTCTCATTTTGTGTTTGTTTCCATTCTGCCCAAACACAGTGTGGTTTGGTGTCTTTTAGCACGTATGGCACTCAGTAACCGAAATATTCATTCAAGTTCGTGACTTCGGGAATTACTATGTATTTAATGTTTTATTCATAAGACCACCTGTCACAGACGACTTATCAGTGTTAAATGTTGTCTTATTGGAAAATATTGTGCCAACAATAATGCTGAAGTATGAGTACTGGGTACTGCTGTGTTAAATAAAGTTTATTTTTTAGCATTTTTGTTTTTACAAAAGCTTGTAGTACAAACATGTCCAAGCTTGGTTACCTAAACGCAACATGCATTTTTTTTGTTTCACAATCCAGAATGGTCTCCTCTTGTTTGAAACGATTCTTGTGATCTTGTGGGAGGGAAAGATTAGGAGACTTTTTTTCAAATCTGTTGGACATTACTGTGGGGTGCATGTATCTGCAATGCTTGACACCTGTGTTTGTCTTTTCATGGCCAAGCAGCCATGCTTTTTTCATCAAACCTTTCTGATAGAGACCTTCTGCCTAAGTATTTCTTGAATTTTTATGAGAACACCAAATATTATAGATTTTGTAACCAAATTACTCTGTCAGGTTACTCGTGTCTTCCCCCCAGAAATCAGTAGAGACTCTAGCTACAGGCAGATACTGGGCATTTCCAGCATTCTGGAAAAAAAGAAAAGAACCTCCAGGCATGGACATTCCCTTGCTTTACCAGCATAGGTATGCGAGTCTTGGCATTATTGCAGCACCTTCATGACAGGAGTGGTTACAGTTAGTCCTCTCAGTATCTTGTTACATTTTCTGTGTATGTTGTAATGGACTTTCTGAATGCTTCCAGGAATTTCCTTTGTTTAACAACAACCTGTTAATCAACCTGTTTTTTAAAATCTTTGTGAGACAGTTTCCTTTTTTCCCCAACTCTCATTAAAAGCAAGATTTCTAATTGGCTTGCAGTTGAACTTCTGTCTTGCTGACATTTTTTGACATTTTTTTCAGTTTCTGGGTTTTATTAATATTTTTCGCCTCTTGCTGGATTTTATACTTGGGTTGTAGTACTTCATCATTTATGTGACTTGCGAATTAAGGGATATTTAGTTTTATCATAAATACCAGTTAATTAATACTCGATAGCAGAACCAGAAATTTAGCGAATTCCAGGATAAAAGGACCGCTTCTGTTTACCCTTTAAATCCACGAGATTTAAAAGGTGAACTTTGAGAAGGCAAATGCCTGAGAGTATATCTTCTTATCAGGAATTACTGAATAATGGATTACAGGTGTCTGATTCTTTAGGTTCTTGGAAATGTTTCAAACTGCTGGATAAGGAGGTTGCACACTTCCTAAGCAGTATTTCCCTATTACCATCGATCCAAACCTGTTTGCCTTAAAACATTTCTCACAGCTTTTCGTGTTCATCCAAGGTGATTCTTTCTCTGCAAGAAGTATTATGTTAATGTATGTTTTGGAATTACTTTTCCAAGTGTGAGTAAAACTACATATATACTGCTCAGTGTTTTGGAACCAAATTTATTTTTCATGAGAAATTTCCTTATTTGAGAAAGAAAAATGTTGGTATGGAAATATAAGTAAATGTCATAGTAGAGATATAAGTATGAAGGGAAAAAAACAAGAAAAAATACAACTACGGTGAGGTGGAAAACACTGACAGAAAAATAACTTTAAAAAAAGTTTTCCCTCAGTGTAGCATAACAGGAAAGCGACTGAGTGAGGGAGTGTGCATTTAAGTTCCACCCACTGTAGTTTCTCATTGCCTGAGTCACCCGAGAAGCAGGGGTGTGAGCTGGCATTTCAGCTTCAGATTAAAACTTCACTGTACAGCTGAGTGCAGTTTCTTTCAGGCTGCCGTGTTCTGCACTGAACAAGTGCAGACGGACTCGGGCGCTACTTCTTTTATTATTTCGACCAACGCTTTCCCTCTTGGCCTTTTGCAGGGTTTTGGGATATTCCTGTCTGCAACAGCAAAAGAACCCCCACACCTTCTTCACATCCCTCTGCGTCGAACAGTGTTTGCAGACTGCAGAGGCAACAGCAGGTCTCTCCCTCCGACAGTCTGCCTCCGCTCAGGACTCGCACGCCTTCAGAGCTGGAATGCGGCCAGACCAACGGGGCTCTCTGCTTCGTTAACCCTCTGTTCCTAGAAGTGCATCGGCAAGAAGGCAGCAGCGGGGGTTCCGTCAAGCGCTCCAAAACGCGAGAGTCCAGTACCCAAAATAAGACTCGCATTCCCCCCCCTAGACCCCCTCCACCCAAGACTCAAATAAAGCCGACTGTCAAACAGATGAGCATGCCTGAGACCATCAGCTGGGTGAGACAACGTGAAGACGAGGAAACCATGGGATCCATGCTCAACACTTCCCCAAAGAAGAGCATTCCTGTTCCTCCACCGCGACCCTGGAAGCAGATGAGCGTGCCAGAAGTAGAAAGTAGAAGAAATGCAGTCCTGGCTGATCACACCATCCAGCAGGCCCTGGAGAGGAGCAGGAGTAAATGTCCGCAAATGGAGCCCATCCTGGCCAGCAGCCCCAGCACGAATACTCTACCTGGCTCGCAGGAGCAGCAGCGTGAGGAAGGCAGGCAGAGGCTAAGTGACATGAGCATCTCCACGTCCTCTTCGGATTCACTGGAAATCGATCAGAGCTACCCCCTGCCTGTAGGGCCAGCAGGCGCAGGTGACAGCAGCTTGGAGGAAGAGTATGGGGTAGAGAGTGACCAGGACATCAGCCCCCCACCGATAAAATCCAAGAAGAAGCACAGCAGCACCTTCGTCCTACCCCGTGGCTTGAAGGGCCAGTTCCGCAAGGTCAGCGGTGTGTTTAACAACTTCTTGACCCCCGAGAAGAGGATGGTGAGAAGAATAGCTGATCTCTCCAAGGACAAGGGCACTTACTTTGGGTGTCTTGTGCAAGATTACATCAGCTTCTCGCAGGAAAATAAGGACTGTCATATATCAGGCCTGGACATGCTGCAGACTATCCGCCAGTTCATTACACAAGTGAAATCTTACCTGGTGCAAAGCTCTGAACTTGATCCTCCGATTGAGTCCTTCATTCCAGAAGAAGAAGTTGGTAAGTCATGGAAATGTGCTTTGTGCATGCTTTCTCTGATAGTGATGGGAGCTTGAAGTGGAATAAGAATACGTTAAAATAAGAATAAGAAAAATACTGTCGTCCATAATAGTGGATTTATAATAGATTGACTTGATGCTTATTCCTAGATTTCTTTTGTCTGAACTTCTAGAAGAAAATAACTTCTTGACAGCAGATGAAAAGGTTCTCTAAAACTCTTATACTGTTGCCATGCACACTGCTGAATTTGACATTTCAACTTTAATGTGTTTAACTGAGTAACTAAATCAGATTGTGTGACTAGGATGCTTAAAAGGCACACAGTGATAATAACTATTTCTAAAAGAGATAAGATTATAGAACAGCATGGCATTGCATAGACATTTGAAACTGGAAAAACATCATCAGCCATATGGGCTGACTGCCATGCAGTGCCATTTCTAAAGTAAGTGAAAGGTAGTGTTTAATGTTGTGTGAAAACTGTTGCTGAAATACATTTTTGAGAGGAAAAGAGCTCCCAGAGCCAGGAATGGCTGAGGGAGGTACTGTTCTCCCTCTGAGTATCTGTAGGGACCTGCCAGAATGAGAAGGTGTGGTCTCCTGTGAGTCTGCAAGTTCCTTGGCACTTGTCAGGGATGAGATACAGATACATAAAACCTTCTGTTTTTGACTTAGAAGACATGTAATCTTGCTGGAATGATTCTGACATAGGTTATAATAATCAAACAACTTATTTCAAGTATCTTTTATTTGACATAGTTTTAACAGAAACTGCACCTTAGTTACCAACTGCGAGAGGTTCAAAATATACTATATATAAGTATAATATAAGATTAAAATATTAATATGAGAATCCGATCAGAAATCAATCAACTTTATGTTCTGGAGCTCTGAAACTTTGCAGATGTCTTTCTTTGTACATTATCCTAAGCTGTATGTGGGGAAAAAGGGCATTTTACTTTAACTAAGTCTAACAGAGGTCTTCTTTGAAAACAGAAGCCAAGCTGAATAATTTATGTGTAAAATGTAAATACAGAACTCTGTGTCCTTACATGTTGGTAATTGTTGAAGATATGTGTGCATATTTTAAATTGTGACAAAGGAAACTAGATCCTTGTATTTTGAGTTTGAATTAATACTATACTATTATTACATTACCAACAAGTGGAGCATTGTTAGGAAGCTGCATAGTATTCATCGGGCTATCTGCTGTACAAATAAAGTACAGTTATGTCAGCTTCAAACTCTGCAACAAAAGTTTACATCATAACAGAAATAATATGACTTAAACACATCTGTATATATTAAAAAAGCTCTATAGCTGTTGAGGCCGTTAACACCTTTTATTTAAAGGAGCCCTAAATTTAGATCTAATATGCAAATTGAGTTATAATTTCATATAGATTAGTCTGCAATTGATTTGAATTCCACAAAATGTCATGGAGTAAGTTTTACTACGAATGAAGAGTTGATATATTAACTCAACTTACAGTATGTTTGTGTAATTGATACACAAACAGCTGCTTTGATATGGTAATTGCATTATTATAGAACATTAAACATTATTAAAAAATGCAGAGGTAGGGCAATATATGAAACATGCTCAATCTGTTTTAACCATTTTTACAAAAATACATTGAAGTTAACATTTTTAATCAACACACTAAGTAATAGGTTTACCTTAGGTTAACAATAAAATAAACTTTAATATTTTTTTCTCCCAAATCACATTCTTCCCAGACCAATTTAACAGTCTGGTATATAATATCCCTAAACCATAAATGTATTCATCAAATTTGTGCCCTAGAAATGCACACTGTAGCAGTACTGATTACATAATGCACGTAAACTACAATAAAAGTCATTCTGATGCCGGTAGATTTCATATATTGTTTCCAAGAAATATATCCAGCTATACATTACTGAACATGTCCATGTCTTCGGGATATTTGTCCTGGAAGCACTTTTGAAAGGTCACCGGGTAGCAGTGTTTTATTTAGAGGCTGGTCTGCAACTTTGTTCTGTGGGTTAGTCATCTGAAATTGGAGCTTCCAGATATGCACGTAGGTCAGCATGACCATGAAATATTTGGTGAGGGCAGTAAAGCAGATGTGATATTGCACATGTCTTTTAATTTGGAAGTTAAGGGCTTTTCATTTCAGCATATAAAATAAGTATTACATTATGGCATCAGGAAGATGGAAAGATGTTACAGTGCACCTAGCAGTAGATCACGTGTTTTGGAACAGAAGTGCTAGCTCTATTATTTCCTGGCTATGACCCCGCATTCATACTGTGTCTTATTACAGTCAGCAGGTGGCTTCCTTGAAATACATCTTACTTAGTCAATATGACTACGTCATTTATGGTGCCTAGTTATGTGTATAAAGACGTTCAAGGCCTTTATAGTATATCATTAGCTCTATGAGGAAGTAATCTGCTGTAAAATGTCAATTAAACCGCAGTGTAGCGTGAAAAACATTGCACAAACGCAGATAAAGCAGAGGATATGTATCACAGTCACATGTATTAATATTTCTCACTGCACTGCAGGTTTTTGTGCATCAGTGCAGAAACAGCTGATGAAAAACAATAGCATCAACACCAAGGAAATAATATAAAGGTGCCCTTATCTTTTCTTACAGTGACAAAAATGGAAATAATCAAGCTACTACTCTATGAGTTTTGTTTCTTGGAAACATGTTTGATCAAGCAAATCTCTAAGGTTTTTTTAAGCCAAAATGTTGCCGCATAGTGTGGTTATTATTACAGTTACAGTATGCCTTTTTCATCCTGGATTAAAGACTTGTGCTATTCACTTTAGGCAACGTTTTATTCAGTTACGTAGACAGCAAGAGAACCTTATTGGAATGTGGTAAAATCACAGGTTTCTTTGTTCTATGCAGCTTTGTTATACTGTTAACAAGTGTTTTAGTCAGTGTGTATTGTGTCTGTGTGAGGCTTCTTTGTTATTCTAAAAAGCTACAGACAGACATCTATCCCAAGAAAATACATGGGAAAATATCACAGAGACTGCAAGGATGAGAGTTTCATTAAATTGTTTTTTTTCTCATACTCTGTTTTTTGCCTTTATAAACAAAAGTTAAAAAGGAGACGAAATTACTCCACGTTATTATAAATTTAAACAGATGTTTGATAGTACATATTTTTAGGTGACACAAAGGGTACCGACAGACACTTGAAGGACACCTAATACATTTTCCTGATTATTGCCATATCTACGAGTCTGTGAGGAATAGAGAGGTGGCAGAAAGTAAACAGTACTGGTGTAAGCGAACCTGACCATGTGGCAGACATATTGGGTTTTCTTAATGCAAGAGAAAAGCAAGTGATCTAGACAGCGATTTGTGCAAATAATTCCTGGACATGTTTGTGCTCAGCACAGGATATTAAATACTGATGGGGCTGAAGGCCAGCTTATAAATGAATTTTAATGCCAGTATATGTATCTCCATAGTCAAGAGGGGTCATTTATTCTGAGTTAAGAATAGGAGGAGGAAACTCTGGTCTTTGAGTGCTGTGTTTATTTCTGGTTTTCATTCCTCATTCGCTTCTTCTTTAATTAACAACAAATTCAGTGGATAAAAAACTACATTAGCTGTGATTTATAAGTTTTACTCTGGCGCTATTCGAAAGGTGTCTCTAAAACCTGTGATAACTGAGCACTGGAATTCCCTGCCCTGGTCAAGACGTTAGGTACAGCCTTGAGGGCAGGATTCAAAATGTGGGAGTGTTTAAAGAACGGTAATTCATTGTTTGTCTGGTAAAACTTGTTTTTTTTTCCCTTTTGAAAAAATTGGGAAACTGCCATTGCTGCTACTTAATTCACTGGGGATCTTTATATGATAAAATGATAACTAGACAGAAAATGAACAGTGTACATTCCTATGAAAGAAGATAATGAGTTAAACCCTACTTTATGTATATCATCAAGAAAACCTTCTTCCTCTCCAGCACTTAACCCTAAGTACAGCAAGCTATTTAGACTTTCTGATGTCCTAAGCAATGTCCTGTCTTATATCAAAGACCCACTTCAGCCCATGCAGTTGTGTTTTCAGCTTTTAAACTACCTGAACTGGCCTGTCTTGCTGCCAACAAATGATCTGTAACTAAAACCATTCTGTGAGTAACTGTGGATTCAATCCTTCATTCCTGTCAATATAAGTAAAAAAAACTTTTGAAAATCTGTACAGTTCTCATTTAGCTTATTTAGGTGTAGTTTTACGCTAGCACTGCATCAGAAGTCCTTAATCCTGAAGCATGCTGGAACATGCTGCATTTAGTTTTGCTTTACAGCACTCTGTCATGAATAGCAAGTTATCCTGGGCATGGGTGAGATGAAGATGTTAGACATATCCTGAGGAAGCTGTGACACTGCAGCAATAAGGAGGCCACACAGCTAATTTTAGCCACTAGAGAACTTCGCCACAAATCCAGGAATTTCCACCAGCACAGCCCTATCAGGGCTGTTACACTATGTTACACTAGACATGTTAAAAAAATAGATTGAAAATTGGTAAAGATCACATCTATTATCCAAAAAAGCAACTTTTTATTTATTTCAGTTCTTACAACATTATAACAGATGCTAGACTGCTAGTCTAAATATATGTATATAGATTTACGTTTGCAAGAAGGCTTCATTTCAAAGCATAACCTATCACAGCTGTGAATACTGTACTTTAATTTCTTTTTAAAATCCATTTCGAAGGGACCTTTTTTCTTTTTTGAAACAAGCTTTTGTCACAGATAATGGCTTGAAAATGCCAGTTGTTTCTGCTAAAGGTATTCAGTAACTTTTTGTGTTACATTGTCTGTTTGCTTTACCTATAGATGCTAAAATTTATTTTTCTTACAAAAACAGACTGGCAAACAGACTGGAATGAATGTCTTCTGTGATCTCCAGATAATAGGAAGGCTTTTTTCCAACCCCATGCATATGCAATTAAGCAAAGGCACATTTATGTTTTAAACAGATGCCTTTAAAGCAATATGCTGAGATTACAACATTTAGTCTTGTAGTCAGCATTTTGCACCACAAGTACCCTTATTATGCATCTGCAGCAGTTAGTAAACTGTAGTGTAGCTAGTTGTTGCTTTTTTTTATTTTAATTTGCAAAAAGAAATGACTTTGGTGTTTTTGCGATCAATGTTTTTTGTTCTGTACTCAATGGCTATAAAAGCACACTATGTAAAAATCAATCAATTTCTCCACCTCCTGCAGATAAAACAAATGTTAACATTTCCACACTGATACATAACTTCCTTCTACTGTAAGCAACATGACCCTACATGGCCATAGGAAGTCAGTGATGATCTGACTGCATACCTCTTGGCTGGCATTCCCCTTGAGCCACTGTAAGGAGGAAGAGGAAAGGGATTTGAAAAAGACGAGTAGGCTTTTGGGCAGACTGGCATTCACAAGTGTGTCTGAGCACCTATTAAAATATTATGTGGTTGCCTTTTCTTAGAATTACACGAGGGGGAATTCTCTCTGTGTTATAAAACAGATTTCAAATACATGGCACAAATCCGATATTCACCTGGTTTTATGCTTTTTCCATATTTCTACTTATTTTTATGAGTACATTTTAATAATTGGAATTGATAGTTATGCTGTAACAGAATTTCAGTTACATTGTAATGGACATTAAGCTTAGGTATGAGTTTCAATTAATCTGTTTGAAAAAAGAAAAAATAACAGGGACATTTTGAATTACTTTGCTACCATAAATACACCAACCATAAAATATTAAAGATCTTAATATTTAGTTCAAAGTGCAGATTTGTCAGCAGCAGTTTACTCACCGTGGCCCTTACCCTCATTGTTTTACAGATAGTGTCTTGGAGAAGGCCATGCACAAATGCATCTTGAAACCCCTGAAGAGTCATATAGAGGCCAGCTTGAAAAGCTTCCAGGTGAGCAGTGGGTCTTGGAAGCAGCTGAGAGACAACCTGTGCCTGGTCAAACAGAAGAAACCCCAGGACCTGGGGGTGGATGCGGCAGCTCCGGACTCCGTGGTCATCGAGAAGATCCGCCACAAATTCCTCAACATGCGGAAGATGTACTCGCCGGAGAAGAAGGTGGTGCTTCTGCTACGGGTCTGCAAGCTTATCTACACTGTCATGGAGGACAGCTCAGGTACTCTGACTTTGACGTTTTGCAGGGTTGTTCATGAAATGCAGCCAGCGCTTGTTTTGTGTCTACTTTGCAGGAAAGGCAAATGATACAGAAGATAGCTCAGTGTACAGGGTCCTCTTTTTAGATATTTAGGGGTTTTATTTGCTATGAAAATGGGATTTCAGTGGGATAGCGCAAAGGTCCACTGTTACATATTAATTTCATTTTACTTCTCCTTTTCTGTTCTTGTGTTGCTTTATCATTTATCAGTGGCATCATTTGAGGAACTAAGGCTCAACATTCGCATTTCCTTCAGTTTTTCCAGAAAAGTCTCCTCTCTGAGTCTGTTGATGTTTATTTTTCCCTTTGGAAAGGCTTATTTTGTTGGGGATTTCCCTTTTGCTTATGTTTCAAGAGAAGGCTTTGGAGAGAAGGTTGAAAATATGAATTATAACAATATAGTACTAAATGTTTTTTTATGTTTATAAAACCATATGTTTAATTGACCAAGCTACCGTCTCTTGTTTAGGTGGCTTAACCAAATGCATTTCAATAGTTAACAAGTGTGCTGGCCAGTTATCCCTAAACAATTTGTGTTGTCTGCTTGTGGCAGTAACAGAGTTATTGTGGGAGCTCACTGAGTCAAGCTGTTGTCACTAACTGGAGCTAAGGGACGCTGTGTTTATTCCCTGATGAGTGTTATTTACTCAACAACCAGTTCCTTAACAGGTTTGGGAATATAATCAAATGAGACGTGGCTTTATACAGAATTCTGTTTTTATCAACCATGACTAACATGTTTAGCATCTGTTTCCTTATAATTGTAGACATGCAGTGGAGTTACATAGAATTATTTCGATTTTAAGTGCATGTTTTGTTTAAATTTAGAAAAAGTGTACAACAAAAGGTAAGAAAGAAAACAAGCACAGTTTTGTGTAAGGAGTGAATAGGAGCAGAGGCTTCACAAAGTCGCCAGCTAAGAAAGTTCAAGACTGCAGATCTATGAGAATATCTTGGAATCAGGGTGGAGTGAGAGCGGATTGGAAACGGAGACACTGACCCCATTGTTTGTGTGCGCAGGGAGGATGTACGGAGCTGATGATTTCCTTCCAATGTTGACCTATGTTCTGGCTCAGTGTGACATGCCAGAGCTGGACACAGAGATTGAGTACATGATGGAGCTTCTGGATCCCTCTCTGCTTCACGGAGAAGGTACAGCCTTTAAAACTACACACTCACAATTTGCCCTGTGTCTGACTTTTCTCTAGTCCTGGTCAGAAATTCCATTCCTTTGTAATTTTACGGGATCAATTTTACATGTTTAAACAACCATATTTTGGAGGTAATAATATGATCTTTTAACTGTAAAATGGTCATTTATTTTGTGTAGCTAACAAATTCTTATTGGAATTAATGGAATACTTTATTATGGCTTTATTAATGTTCAGAACTTAATCCTGGATACTTTGATAAGCTTATTTCCTCTCAAGAAATTCTCTAAACACAAATAACCATTTGGAATTAAAAGTTCTTTCATTAAATCATGAGGCCCCTACAGAAAATCATAATCCTATGGCCTGCTACCAAGTTAAAGGGGAAATTACATTGTTTTTCCACAGGAAAACTAACACACTTTAGGAGAGTAGGAAGGCTTCCGTGGGCAAAGTTGCGTCGTGTGAACATTGAGATCTTGGAGATCGTTGTTTTATCAGTGCTTCCTGCTCTTTGTCTACATAGAAATAATTAAGAAACTTTTCTTGGGAGGTGTTGTGTTGCACACATGCCTCTTGAGGTCAAAAGAGTGCCTAGAACATTATGTAAAATACGACACTCCGTGCCCAAAACATTGCACACATCGGAGACATTTTCAGAAGTATCACTTTTAGACATAAATTTTAGGTCACATTCAAGTGTAAAATAGAGTTGTTAACCTCAGGTGAATTTGTGTCTCACTCTGTCTTGTTTTACCCAGGTGGGTATTACCTGACCAGCGCCTACGGAGCCATGTCTTTGATCAAAAATTTCCAGGAGGAGCAGGCTGCACGGATCCTGAGCTCTGAAACCCGGAACACTCTTCACCAGTGGCACCGGCGCCGGACCACCCAGCGCATCACTCCCTCTGTCGATGACTTCCAGGTACCTGGTCGTGACTGTCCCACCTGAAGACATCCGATCTGCATGTGGTGTGTCTTGAGAAAATGCTTTTCAGATTCAAGTAACTGCCAAGGGCTGAGTGCCTGGTCACAGTATGGTTTACCACGTTTACAGCTGAAGGACCTCACTGTTTGTTTTTTATCCAGTTCTGTACGGGTTCTCCTACATTCTTATTACAAAATGACTTTTAAAACAGAAGCCAGCGCTCTTAAAGGAAACTCCTGATTTGTAAATTCTGTTAAAGATTCCATTAAATGCACCGACTTTATAGCAAATAACTGGATTATCCATAAAGACTGCTGTTTGTTTGGAGCATCCTGGTAAATGTGCCTCAGTTCTTGAGTTTGATAGTTAAAATGGGTTCTGCTTTAACACAGTTCTTTGTCCTTACTCTTTCCAGAATTACCTGAGGGTTGCCTTCCAAGATGTGAACAGTGGCTGTACAGCCAAAACTCTGATGGTGAAGCCCTATTCGACCACAGAGGAGGTGTGCCAGCTGTGTGCTGAGAAGTTCAAAGTTCAGGACCCTGAGAACTACACACTCTTTCTCTTCACGGGGGAGACCAGCCAGCAGCTGGCTCCAGATACCTACCCTCAGAAGATCAAGGCAGAGATTCACAGCAGACCCCACACCCAGCCCTTTCATTTTGTGTACAAACGTCCCTCCAACCTCAACATCTGCCTCCCATCTGACGAAGAAAACGGAAATTGTCTTTCAAACTGAGACAGCAAAGCGACCCTTAAAAACGATGAGTGGTTCTTAAGCTACATCATTGGCTTTGAAGTAGAACTTTGAAAGCTGTGCTCAGTACCTCCTCTTTGGGGAGAAAGCTAAAGAATGAATTTGGACGACTTAAGAAAAATCTTGGAGCCGCCATCTTTAAATATTTCGAAATTACCAGTGAAAAAGACAAATGAAAAACGTGCACTTTATGCCAGCCACAAAACTGTTGTGGGTTAGGTGTTGTTGATGAGCAAGAACATTGTTTGTTATCAACAACCCTTTCATTGAATCAGTTTTCATGTTTTGAAGACTAAAAATGGGCTGTTCTGGAAATGTTCTTGGATTGCAGGTATCACACTGAGACAAGTGTTCTGTATCAGGACACTATTCCACTTGCAGTGATACACTTGATTCTGAGTGCAGTAAGTCTGCTGTTTGGGTAAAAGCGGAAACTGATCATTTTCTAAAAAGAATGAAGATCAACAAGTGCATTGCTAAAGTAGTCTGAAAATGATATCCAGGTTCCTCATACTTTACTGTATCTTGATTCTTTAACCTATGTCGTCAGCATGTGAGTGGACTGTCCTCTACAGTGCTGTTTTGGATGGGTTAAACCTGTCTACAAGACTCTAATGAAAAGCTGACTGTGTCATTTTTTCATTGGAAAATGTCTTCTGTTTTCATATATATATTTTTTTGTATTTAGAAACAAGTTTGTATTACAGTTGCTGGTAAACTGTGGGTTAAGGATTGTATAGTCTTTTTATATTAATTATTGGGATATTTTGCATGTATGTAGTTATGCATCTTTTTGAGAACCATTATGAACCAGGCACTGTTGAGATTTGTTTTCTCTAAAATTCGGATAATTTTGCTCTTGTCAGTATAACCTTAATAGGTACAGAATGTGTACTTCCATCTGTAAAAGCCACACTATTTACTAATTTATAATAATATAACTACTGAGTATGCAGGACCTCTTGACTGAGCTCTGTGTGCTGAACTTTGGGATACAAGCTTATTGTATAACATTGTGATATATATACTTTTTAAAAAACACTTGGGTACTAAATGGCCCATATGCTGAATAATATTAAAGTACAACCCAGGGTACCAACAGATAGCCTGGTTCCTAAAAGGTTTTAAAGTTAACTCTCTTGCTGGTCTTAGAGTTAATATGTGCATCTTCATGAAAATGCCATGATATTTGTTTTAAGGGTTTTCAGGAATTAGCTGTCTTAAGAAGAATTTATACATTGTCTGTGTTGAGTACCAATATAGGTACAGTCTGATGTCTGATGCCAGTGGCCTCTCAGGCAGTTTTTATGTTCTCAAGTGCCACTGCTAGGAGTGTCCTACTCAGGTTGGTTTGAAAGTATAGCAAAGCTCTGTTAAGTGTTTGAAAAAGGTACAGGGGATAGGAAGTGTTTTGAAAGATTTTTTTAATCATTCCAAGTTGAATGGGTTCAATTCATTACATTACAAATAAGCAACAGTTTTTGCTTGTGATAGAAAGTTTCTAGTAATACCCCTTGGATGAACAAGTAATAGGTTTATTCCATGCTGAAAAACATCACACCTGAAGAAGGCTCCACAGACGAAAAGTTGTGTTTTCTCTCTTCTTTTTTCAGCATGGAATAAACCTATTACTTGTTCCTTTGCAGCCTACGCATGCTGACCCAGCTACCCACCTGAACTACTACAGCATACCCCTTAGATGTCCCTCCACCTTCAGAAATGGTTTCAACCAGTCTAAGAAATAAAACCGTCCTTGGCAAACAATTTGTTGCTCTCCGTTAAATAAAAAGAATAACAAGAGCAGTAGAAAGCAAATACCTTGGATTTAGTTTTCCTGCTGTTACTGTCCACACACAGGGACGTAACAACTACATTGAAGAAAACAATGTGACCTTTGACCATGGTTTTTAAAAACCAAGATGGCACTTACGTACACTGCTGTATGTTCTTATAGGTGTTAAAATGTCAGCAATTACATTTTTGGATAAAGATTATGCATTGATAACACTAATGCTTTATCAAATTTAAAAAGGCATTGGTTTCTGTTATACTATGATAATACCACCATATTTTTCTGAATTTGATTTTGGAAATGTTTAAGCAGAAGTAGCAGAAAGAGCTATGAAGGGATAGTTTTTGAGAAGGCTGATGTTGGGAAATGTAAGATTCAAACTGAAGAAATAGGACAGCTAAAGGTCATTGTTAGAAACACTAAGCTTCTAGTTCACAGTGTAAATGTATTTAAGCACATATTAGGTATTTGATAGGAATATAGGAAAATGACTAATTGTATACATGTTATTGTACATTTTTAGTACTGTACTTACTGTCATTTTGATAAAGATGGTATATATGTTTAAAAGTATATTTATGTATTATCTGTGCAGGACTTTTCACAGATTTCGTGTAATTTGACACTCCTCAATATGTAGCTTGTACCTTTTTGCCCCCCAAACCATACTGTATACTAGTGATATCTATCCCTGGATGCTTTCCTGAAAACCCTTATCTGCTGTTTTATGTATTCAATAATGATTACAATTTGCACACAATAAATTGTGATATGTATAAACAAAGTGAGTTTGTTCTAATCTGTCATTATTTCTAACAATCTGGTGACTCTTCATCATATATTAGCATTTTTCAAGTTGAGCAAGTTACACAAATGGAAAAATGATTTATTAGCAGAAATCAGGTAAGCTCTTTTTATTAGCTGCTTCTTATTTCAAGAAATAAAATTGTCTAACTGAACTGATGTCTTCATAATACACATATGAATGCACAAAATATTTGCCTTCTAAATGTGCAAATGAGGTGCTGTTCTATAAGTACAACAGCAATTTGCAAAGCATGGGTTAGTATTCATTTCAAGCAACCTGAGGCTAGTAAAGATAAAGATAGTATAGATAGTATTCAGTAGGTAAATTGTAGGAAACTCACTGTCTTCACTATTGTAAATCACATGCAGGGCACATCCAAATGGGAAGAAGCTTCAACATGTCTTGCAAAATTTGCATAACTCATGACTTTCAAATCTGAAATGATCAATCATGCCTCTTCATGCCCTTCACATTCAGACAAATTCAAAGGTACTTCAGATTGGCATCTGAGTGTTTTATTACAAAAAACCTTTTAACTTTTTAAATGATTAATCAATGGCAGAGGAGTGTATGGGTACTGGGTCCCCCTTAGCAGAGATTGTAATTAGCTCTGGACATTGGACCTCTCAAACATGAAATGCACTTCCTCTGGGTCCAATTAAAGTACTTTGCTAATCCTTTTCTTTCCAGTTATTCAGTCTTCCATGTGCTGTATGGATCAGTGCCATCACTGAATACAAATTTCACCCATATTTTCTACAATAAACATAAAGAGAAATAATTTAAATATTCTGAAAAATATTTTCCTATTTTGCCTTTTTAATGTTGTACATTCTTTGGCCCCTTTGAATTCTTTTTGGCTTCTTCTCGTCACTGTTATGTTTTTGAGGGACTTTTGTAAAGTATGATCCTTTTACCACTGTCCTGGATTTCTAAATGAAATTGTCCTGTAATAAAGGCCCTTTCTGGTACAATAGCCCCCTCCTGCTGCACTAGTCTTGCTACACCTTATCGGTTTGCCAGCAGTGAACGCTTAGTCTGTGCTTTACAGCTGTGGATATAACGATCTTGGAAAATCAGAAATTTTTGGTCTTGTTTAGCTGACTTGAATATTAAAAGCCGACTTTTTTTGACACTGGAAAGACAAAGTCACAGCTCAAATATTTTCTCGCTGTCCAGCACCTGTAATTAAGCCAGACTTTGGGGAGTCTCTGGGGAGTAAAGCTGTAGGGTGGGAACCAGAGCTGTGATGAGAGCACTGGATATTAGGAATATAATCTTTGCTCAAATGGCAAGAACAGCAAATGCAGAGAACAGAGAGTTGAGTAAACTGATGAGAATTGAACTGAATAGGTTTACTCTGTTTTTTTCCTTGTAGATATATTAGTACAGATGATAGACTGAATTGAAGTATATATCATAAAGAACTTAATTATAGCTGCATGCTCAGTAGTTACCTAGAGTGCTTGTACACATTAGTTAATGATTGTTCTCCTTGAATGGTAGCTCACACAGCATCAAAGTCTGCACATATTACACACTGCAATTGTTCTTTCATTTCTGAAAAAGGAGGCTCAGATTTCCTTTGATACAAGATGTTATTTTAAAAAAGCGAGTCATTGTTCCCCAAATAGAAGCCAAACCCACAAAAGGACTTATCTCTGAGAGCAGGAAATGAAAATGACCAACCCAAGTCATGGAGCGCACCTATAATTTACCCTAAGGAAGAGCGTTTAAATTCATACTTTAAAAGAAACACTTGAATTATGTAGGTTTCTGTCTGAACTGCTGAAGAGGATACTTTGTTCACTTAAGATGATTTGTTAATTGTATTTCTGAAGTCATAATTCTTCTGCTTCCACATCGAAACTGTTCCTACTTCAGAGGATCCAGTTGTTGACAACAGTCTAATCAGATTGCATTGTCTCAGTTTCAGACAATGTTACTACACGTTGCTGAAAAAATCAAAACAATTTAAAAACCTTGTGTAATCCCAGAAACATATCAGTTTACAATTACCTAGAAAAAGTAACCCTAGAAAAGCCTCAACTTCAAATATTACTTTACCATCATGCAATGCATTCCAGACTACACCTTCAAGATAAAAGAGACACGATAAAAGCAGTCGGAACATTTTGAACCAGAATATGTAATTTGTGTATTTGTTTTGTTTTTTGCCGTGGTTTAGGGGCTTTTGTGCACTGTTTAATGCTTTGTTGGCCCTGCTCTGGCATTCTCAAATTAAATAAATATAAAATAAAACTTTCTCAAATTAAACTAGTGGTATGAATGTTTTTCAGAGCTTAATTATACTTTTTTTTTCTTAAGTTAACCGTGATTGACTTAATTTTAATTTTCCATTTCTAAGTGATATTTCCCTCAGTCAGTAGGCCAGTTCTCACTGTTCGATGTACACCTGTATGTCAAATGTCTAAATTCATGTTTTAAAGATTCCCTGGCAATCTCCATTTCAGCAATACTCTACCTGTAAGGAGATTATCTTTTTGTTTTTGAACTACATTTATTTGACAAATTATTGTCTCATATCTGTTCTGTATTTACATTTTCCATATGAACAGACACCTAAAGAGTTACTTTCTAATTTAGATATCAGTCTTTTAACACTCTAACACTGTATCCAAGTTCTCTAAGGCCACGTGTTTTAAACTATTTTCTGTATGTCCACACTTTCAAAATATATGTTTGGTTGTTTTCCTTTGCTCACAGTTTTTGTATAGATAATTGGATGACAGCATGTTACTGCCATGATCACAGTATGTTGTTGAATTGGTTAATGAACGAAAGCATTTAAACTGGCTAGAACAAGACTGGTGCTTTGCGTTGGTGGTCTGAAGACGGTATTCAGATTTGTAATCCTTACAGATCAGGTTATATTAATCCAGAAATACTACAGTCTCTAGATGGAATGCTTACACAATGTCCTGTTTTCAAACGCTTAGACACTTAAATTCCTACAGGAGACAATGTGGATTTAAGTGTTTTATATATAGGACCCTTTGTTTTTGAAAGGATCCACATTGGTTTTTCCCAGTGACAGCAGACACCTGGTTTGTTAACTAATTCCTGAAAAGGGAAATGGAGGTATCAGAGTTCAAAACAAACCAGTGGAACAAATTGTTTACTGCAAACAAGTACTTACATTTTTTAATATAGCACATGGTCCCTTAGTTCAAACAGTTTTGTAGGATTGATTTAAAAATGTTTGTTACTTTCTGGAAGAAATGTAAGATCCAGTTGTAGATTGGATCTAACTAGATTGTGGTTCATCGGAGGAGGCTATTGTTACTTTCAGCATCTTTTCTCATTCAGGCTACTTGACTATGATACTACACTATTATATGGTTACACCCTACAGCACTCTTGTTTCAACTTCAAACTTAAAGCTAATACACTATATTGCAATAAACAGTACATACACAACACAAAATGAACACAATAAAGGACATATTATTTGGTATGCAAGATACCACATCCATTATCACTGAGGTAATATGTATAACGTCATCAACCATCAGATACAATTTGAGGTGACTATTCACATTTGTTGTATTTTTAATACCTTTCAATATTCCTTAAATGCAGCACTGTACATCACCGGTGTAAATGACAACGCATTAAACGTCTGAGATAACCTGATAATTTTCTTCCCAGTCTCAATTCAGAGTGTTTTCATGTACAAATAAGCACATTTTAAAACCACTATATTGTATTTCATGAAACACTTCAACTGTATCTATAACTTAAGATTTGCAACAAATTTTTCGGCAGAGGTTTTACCTCAACATACTCTGGAGCTAGGTTAGTTTTAAGTGTTGAGCTACAGCACCATCTGGTGGTTTTCTATTTTTTGTGAGCTATCATGATTTTTTAAGTCAGAATTTCTTGGGGGTAAAAACTTATACATAGAAAATACCAAAAAGCACTCTTTAATGAAAATAACAGCGAACGATACACATATTCACAAGTATCACACACTGAGAAATGTTTGAATTGTATAATTTCTATTTAGTTTCCAAGTACTGTTAAACACCTATTTATGTTTAATCTATTGAACTTATGTAAGAAAAAAGAATGTAGATAAATCACACGAGAACTTTTCTTGTTTACATATTTTTATTAAACATTAATTAATTTCGACTAGTATGACTACATTAAGTAGCTTAATAAATACTTTTCTAATAACGGATGGATGACTTTTTAAAGTTATTAGTTTGCTCTACTGTATATGGAAATACCTTGACGTGCTGTGGACTTTGCTGTAAAGCAGACAGTGGCTTTTTTTTTCTTCTGAGCACTTTTATATAACCATACAATTATCTGGTTAACATTATCATGCCTTTAATGGGAGTGTCACCATGGTGTCATTCACTGTGGGGCTGGGGCAATATAATGGCACTTTTCTCAGCGATACAGCAGAAAATCTTTGAGCTTGCACCTAAACAGCTGAGAAAATGAGGAATAAAAGTACTGAACTGTATGAAGACATTGGCAATGCTGAAAATGAAAAGGAAAAGGAAAAGCAGCCAATACTTCTTACTCAGAAAACAGATGGTGAGTATAAAATAAAAACTTGCTTATGTACAACGACAGACAGGTGGTTATCCAGCGAATATAACCTGATGTAAATGCATTGTGACAATCATATGATGTTATGTTTAACCACCTGCTGCTCACCTGTGATCAAGAAAAAAAATGTAATCTTCTAATGAAACTAGCTTGAACAACTAGTAATGTATCTGGAAAAAAAACAGCAGATTTATTACTTACCTCTATTGTGGTTTGCATCGACATTAAACTATTAGCTCTTCAAACAGTGAAATGAAAAAAAAAAACTAAGCAATGATAATCTTTGGATTTTTAAAGAATGAATGATCTATTCCAATGTATTACAAAAGCAATAGAAATTTGAAATTTAGGCCACATAAGCAAAAGCATAATACCATTTTCTGCATTTATAATAGCAAATGTGTAGAATTCAGGTATGAACAGATTTCAATAATTAATTAATGTTCTTCTTGTACTATTATGTGGAGAATATTTAGTCATCTGTTGCTCAGACCAACTCTAAACTAGCAACACCATCATAGTGTCGCAATTCCACCTGTCTTGAAATTTTCAATTCACTTTTTTATTTGTTTCATTTTAATTCAGCCATTAACAGTTTAATAGTCACAGAGTATGAGATGCAAATATCACAGAGACCATTTCCATAGTTCTAATTTGCATTTTGGCTAGATAGCTTGTCATTGCAAAAGTGCCATTTTAATGGGACAAAAACCCACTTTATTGTAGTTATAACAGCTTTAACTGAATGTTTTATACATGCAATATCTGTGGTACTACTCTTAGATATCCAGGCACTTTTCCTTAATGTTTGTGTTAGGCTAAATTCATGTAAACTGCCAAGCATTCATTGTCAACAGTTAAAATCTTTGCAGCTTTGCAAGTGTTTTTTTACATACAAATATTGGCCTTTCAAATTTAATTGTTGCTGCTTGAGATACATCTTTCACATTTACCAAAATTATATATAAATGAACTTCTGATAAGATACTATTCCGATCCCTTCTGTTATGTGCATGTATTTTTTGGAAAACTGAAAGAGAATTTTGTGGCCCCTGGAGACCCTTATATAATAACCTATATATTACGATATATTGAGAAATGGGAAATTTCTATAGGAACGTTATTTTTCATAATGACAGTTTGAGTGATTAATTTCATGGGACTAAGCTCATGTTGTCATTGAATTTTGGTTATGCGATTGTTGAAGATAAAACTGGGATTCATATCTGATTTGACATTATTCATTTGATTATTCAAAATGTCATTCCAGCTTTCATATTCAGCCATTATATTATGAAAGTACTGTGTTGGGTTCTGACATCTATCTAATTTCATTGCAACTAACAATGTCTGCTGGTGCCAAACCTGTGGGGAGCTTTCAGGATTTTGGTCTAGTGTTGGTCTTCTATATTTGCGAAGTTTGTTTATTTTTTGCATAGTTTTCAAAGAATGCTTATTTTCAGGGGCTAATTCCCCTGGCACATCCTTAGAAATATCCCAAGTGGTCCCTAAAATTGTCCTTGGAATCTTCTAGTATTAATCTGATCATTGAAATGATGATGCTGTGTTTGTGTCACTTTAAATGGGGGGGCATATGGAAACATAGAGTAGAATCGTCGATTCCACAAACAAAGGGATCACTTTTTTTATTTCTAACCTGATTTTGTATAAAATCTAAAACATTACACTCCAAATCTGCTCAGGCCTCCGACCTATTCGACAGCAAGTCTTTACCGTTTTATAATAAAACATATATACATATATCATTTTTATAGACTCTCGGGTTCGCTTTCACCTTTAAACTTGGAGTAATTTTCAACAAGATATCTAATAAAGGAGCTCCACGGGCAGATATTGTATCCATCTCCTTACACCATCTCCCCCAGCGAAGGCGTTTTGGTTACGCGTACGTCTTACAAAACGACCCCGAGACTAGCGTGCGCGTTCACGAGGTCTCTACTGTTTCTACTTCCTGGTGCAACTCTGGCCAGTCAGCATTTAAGTGTGCTTAGCAAAGATGTGTATAGCTTCGGACGGTTTGTGAAGAGTTGCTTTGTGTTTGGATGAAGTGGATATATAATTGCTTTTGTGAGAGAAAATGAATTATTCTGGGTCGGACAGTGAAACAGATGACAATGAGCATCCCCTGTTGCCTGGAAACAAGCCTTTTCTTAAAGTTGAGAAAGGTATGTTTTTGTGTTTTACAAGTTTTAACTTGTGTTTTTCTATTTTGATGTGCACATTGTTTAAGGTATTCATGTACACTAAGTAAAATGTGTAGATGTTCGTTAATAAAGTAGGCATTGAGGGGTGTTGTATTAATTCTGTACATTCCCGTTGATTTGCTTCCTCGTTTAAGTTTTTACAATATTTTAATATTTTTTTGTGTGTTGCATTGTAAACGCAGTATTGTACAAATAGTAACACAATTGATCATGTTTATTACCTGAACAATATTCACGTTTTAAGTAAATAGGTGCATGTAATAAGAATTGTTGGGTTTCTTTTGAAGAGACGTAAAATAAGGATATGATCTTGTATCGCATGCCTATTGTTTGTAACATCCCTTTTCGTCTGAACCTAAACAGCTGACTAGTTCAACTTGTTTCACAGAAAATAGCAACTCTCTCTGCACATCTATACATTTATATAAAAATCGTTCCACAGGCGAAACGTAGTGTTTATTTTCTTTACCTCTCTGAATGGAATGAAGCTTTTCCAATTCCTGTATAAATGTATATTTTCATAACATGCTTTAGTCTTGAAAACAATCAAGGAACTGTTTACAATGTTTAGATGCAAATATTTGTATTAGGTTCACAAATAGAAAACCAATAACTTCCGAAAACGGTATAACCTATTGCTTTTGCCGTGTGCTCACCAAAAACCTTTCTATTTGCATTTCATAGTTTGACAATTCTGTGAACTGCACAACGTTTCCTTATAATGTCATACAATATCTGGTAAACAGGTAATCACCGCAATGTAACGTTACGATTAATAATGACAAATTTAAGCATTGTGTGTCGGGAAATTAAGACTTTTTTAAATTGCTAACTTATCAAAAGCAGACATTAATTTTAAATGGGTATTTTTTAATGCCATGCTTATAAAAAAACTATTACTTTCAAATTTTAAAAGCTATGGTAATATCACTGGGTTTAGAAGATGTATTCAGATCATCCTATACTACATTTTCATTATAATCTAGCTATAGTCTTTATTTTCTTGTTTAATTTCGTGGAAGGAACTATTATTTCCAAATCAGCTGATCTCCGATAAAGAGCTGGGCTGTTCTTGTGTGATAAAATGTTAACGCATCCTGCAGCTAGTTCATTCAAAAACCACAGCACTATTAGCTAATATGAGCCAGCAGCCATATCACCCTGCAACTCACAACTGGCAACCCACTGAAGCTCAGCAGGTGTGAGCCTGGTCAGTACCTGGATGGGAGACCTCCAGGGAAAAACTGAGGCTGCTGCTGGAAGTGGTGTTAGTGGGGCAAGCAGGGGGCGCTCACCCTGCGGTCTGCATGGGTCCTAATGCCCCAGTATAGTGATGGGGACACTATACTGTAAACAGGCGCCGTCCTTCGGATGAGATGTAAAACCGAGGTCCTGACTCTCTGTGGTCATTAAAAATCCCAGGGCATTTCCCAAAAAGAGTAGGGGTGTAACCCCAGTGTCCTGGCCAAATTTTCCATTGGCCCTTACCAATCATGGCCTCCTAATAATCCCCATCTCTGAACTGGCTTCATTACTACTTCTCCCCACTGATAGCTGTTGTGCTGTGCGCGTTCTTGCGCACTATGGCTGCCGTCGCATCATTCAGGTGGGGCTGCACAGTTTTCGTGCATTTTCTTTTCTCTTTCAGCGCCGCTATGCTGCTCGTCACGCTGTAGCCTTGCCATCCTGTCCAGCTATGCGTTCTTTGTGGCGTACGCACTGCGCGTCAACCTGAGCGTGGCCATGGTGGACATGCTGGACAACAACACGGTCAGCAATTCCAGCTCCCAAGTGTGTCAAGGACATGCTGGGTCCAGTCCCCCTCCACACAACAAGACGGTTGGTAGCCATTACAGTCCCTCCTGCATGTGCCCGGTTAAGCAGGGAGATGGAACAAGACAGAAAACAGTTTAGGACAGAGCTCTTAGGTAAAACGAAAGGAAAATCCTTACTATTACTGCACAGAGATTTTTTTTTTCAGTTGTTTGATTTGGTTTGCACTTCTTGCTACAGCTCTTCGCTTTAGGTAAATTTCTTTTTTACCATTTGCCGACAGAACATACTATTTTTAATAATTTGGTCTTTCATTCTTTCTTTCAGGGTGACTTACCATGTTTGTATTTAATCTCTCTAGCATTTTCACAATTTGGCAAACTATTATAATGTAAAGAAGGCTCCACAGCCGAAACGTTGTTTTCTTTTTTCTTTTTTTCAGCATGGAATAAACCTATTACTCGTTCTATAATAATTTAATGCCAGCTTGGCATAGGGTTCACTCAGGAAAGTTTAATGATAGTACAGATGTGTATTCCAATAAAAATATGCAACAATAGATTGTTCCATTAAAAGTGCTTCACAAATTAATCATGTTAATATTACTAATTGATGCTCTTCTGTATGATATTATCCTCTTCTTCTGCTAGCTGTTGTTCATCTGTAACATTTGAAGCTTATTTTAATAATACCAATGTTTTTCCATTGTGTGACAGGCAAACGTGTACAACTGGGACTCAGATACCCAGGGCTGGATCCTCAGCTCCTTCTTCTATGGATACATTTTCACCCAAATTCCCGGGGGATACCTTGCCAGAAAATACGGAGCCAAGTGGTTCCTTGGGATTGGCATTCTGGGAACAGCTATATTTACACTGCTTACACCTCTTGCTGCAGATCTGGGGGCTGGATACCTCATTGCAGTTAGAGTTCTAGAGGGTATTGGTGAGGTATGCTTATTTTTTTGAAAACTTTCTTACAGAACTCTGTTGGTGAAAGTAAGCTAGTAGGTTGGTATGTGGCTCTCTATGGTGAGAAAACAGAATAGTTAGGACTAGTGCAGTGTTTCAATGGGTTTGAAGTTTCTTGCACACTAAACATGCAAGGATCTCTTTGAATATGTAGATTACTTAGAACTGTGCTTCTTTTTTTCTGATAATGAACAACTTTGTTGTGCCCACTAGGGAGTAACGTTTCCTGCTATGCATGCCATGTGGTCCTCATGGGCTCCTCCTCTGGAGAGAAGCAGACTCCTCACTATATCATACACGGGTAAGGCAGGTTCTTACATTTTTGTTTTAGAAGCCCATAAATGGAAGAGGTGTTAGTGGGGCCAGCAGGGGGCGCTCACCCCGCGGTCCGTGTGGGTCCTAATGCCCCAGTATAGTGATGGGGGCTCTGTACTGTAAAAAGGCGACGTCCTTGGGGTGAGACGTAAAACCGAGGTCCTGACTCTCTGTGGTCGTTAAAAATCCCAGGGTTTTTCTCGAAAAGAGTAGGGGTGTAACCCCGGTGTCCTGACCAAATTTCCCATTGGCCCTTACCAATCATGGCCTCCTAATAATCCCCATCTATGAACTGGCTTTATTACTCTGTTCTCCTCCCCACTAATAGCTGATGTGTGGTGAGCGTTCTGGCGCACTATGGCTGCCGTCGCATCATCCAGGTGGGGCTACACACTGGTGGTGGTGGAGGGGATCCCCATTACCTGTAAAGTGCTTTGTGTCTAGAGTGTCCAGAAAAGCCCTATATAAGTGTAAGCGAATATAATTAATTGTAAAAGCATTTAAAAGTCTCTGATGTCTCTAAGTATAATTAAATACTTAAGCTGTAACATCTACAGATATTTTAATATGAATGTTTCACTTAATAAACTTTCAGTATAATGCTAGGCCTATGCATAGTTTTTATTTTTAGTTCAATCTGTCATCTTTTCATTTGAATAAACTTGTTTTTACAGGTGCGCAGCTGGGTACAGTAGTGTCACTTCCTCTGTCTGGGTTAATTTGCTTTTATATGGACTGGACATATGTCTTTTATATATTTGGTAAGTCTGCCATGACATTAGACCTTCCAGAGATTGCATGTCATTGTATGGAAAATTCTTGAGGAATACCTTTATTTCCTTAGAGATGTAAAATGTAATTTTGCCTGTACTTGAAACATCTTGTTTTGTCTCCCTGGTGTTTGCAGGAGCAGTTGGGGTGCTGTGGTTTATATTGTGGACATTGTTAGTTAGCAACACACCTGAAACACACAGAAGAATATCTGAGAAAGAGAAGGCATACATAATGTTATCTTTAAGAAATGAGGTAATGAAATGAATTGCTTATGAAAACTGTACATGATGAGAGGCCTATTGTTAATGAGTAATGTAAGAACCTGAAAAAAGATTATGATGAGTACAGGTAACTCAAGCCTTCTTAGTATATCTATTACAGTGTCAAGCACAGACTTGGAACATCCCCAGAATCTCCAGCTCTACTACATGTCCTGATAATCCAGTCCAACCAGTTTCTATTTGTCTCCATTCTAAATATTGAATTAACTAGAAATAAATAGTGGTCTGCTTTATACTTATAATGCAAATATATAAAGACCTCATTCAGATCTCCCTTCACGTGTCATCCATTACTGTGTGCAATACTCCAAAGTCTTATGTATTGTACAGTTTCTATATAACATCTCTTTACTTGTATTCCTCACTTGGCTGTGCAACCATACATTCTGTTTTCCTTTTTCATCGATTCTTTGCATTGTCTCAATCCGTAGAGTGGTGATTCACCAGCAGCTTCTAGGTTCTTCTAACAACTAATACTTTTTTATTGTGCATCTCCTACAGTTTAATTGTCTTGGTTTTTTTTCTTACCTACTGTATATGCAACATTTTCTGTAGACAATTCTAGTTCTCAATTCTTGTGTCCATTTGTTTTGTTGCTTCTTCTTCTACAAAAAAAGATGTGTTAAACAAAATTCCTACTATAGATCCCAGGTTGGCTAATACAGTATGTTCCTGGTCAGATATGGTTTTAGTTCGCTCTAATGTTTCATATGTCAAGGTTACTGGCCTGTGCTTACCTGGTTCCATATATTCACTTTTTTCATATTACATTAATTTTCTTCCAGTCTCACTGATATTGTCAAGAATCCTTAGGTTTGTATCCAGTGACTAAAATTACTATACAGGGTTCAATTTCTTTAACATTTGCAGTACCATAATCTGGAATGTTCCATGGTTATTTAGCAGTGGGCATATGTGAAATGCCTTCATTAGTAAAGACATTGGTGATGAAGTTATGAGGCATTATCTGCAACATCTTGTTGTCCACTCTCACCCCTTCAGTTTTATACACATTAATCCCTTCTTAATACTTCCCTGCTTCAATATTGGGGGAGAAAACAGGTAGCGATGCTTTTTCAAACTGGGTTTTGGCTATTCTATTTTCCTCTTTCAGAGCAGACCCATTTTCTCTGACCCTTTTATGAGCTTCCGAAGTGTCCCCCTTGTGCAGCTGTTATTACTGTTTTCTTCGTTAGACCTTTCCTAATGCATCTGATTCAAGGCCTTTGGTGAATTCTTAACATTGTTTTCCTAACCTTTGGAACATATTATAAATCCGCAGCAAGATTAATCCTGCAAAACACGTTAAAGTTATTCTCGCCTATCCCATTTACTAATTAACTGTCTGGTCAGTGTTCTGAAAACTTTCATTTGGTTGAACGTAGCCTGTTCGAAATTAAATACCTTGCTGTCGTTTATTCTTTCTACTTTTCAGCGTGAAATTAACCTTTATGTGATCCTCTGTTGTTGCCCACAGTGTTAAATTAGTATTTCCTAGCAGTTTTATTCATGAGTCATATCGTATTTTGTGTTGTTTTCCCTTCTCAGCTGTCTCCCTCAACTAAACACATTCCCTGGAGGTCATTATTGACGTCTGTGCCACTGTGGGCCATTGTTGTAGCTCATTTTTCCTACAACTGGACTTTCTACACTCTGCTGACCTTACTACCCACCTACATGAAAAACGTTCTAGGATTCAACATTCAAGAGGTTAGGACTTTTTGAAACAAGCCTGGGTTTTTTTTATCTTTGTCTAAAAATAACATCTGTTATCTCTATAAATTTATTGCTGTTATTTCATTAGATAATTCCAGTAGAACTAGGGCTTTTTGTTAATTATAAATTGTACACTTTGAAGATTTGATTGATAAATCCTTAATGATTAAACATTTTTTATAGTGTCAGCATGTTAATTGTAAACAAATGCTTGGTTTTTATTTATAATCTATAGTACAAATATTATTAATTTATTTTTTGCTGAATGTCAATATGTAATTAACACAATTTTTTCCCATACAGAATGGATTCTTGTCTGCTTTGCCATATTTGGGCTGTTGGATATTGGCACTTCTAGGTGGTCAGCTTGCAGATTACTTGAGAGAAACATGGATGGTTTCTACTGTAAGAGTGCGCAAGTGTTTCTCATTGATCGGTTAGTTGCACAGAAATATCGTTGTTCTTGGAGAGCTCCTGTGATTTCCAAAGCCTGTTCACCCTGATAAATACAACTTGCTATCAGCATTGCTGTGTGTGTGATATGAAGATGCTTCAGATACTTACAGTATATAGCAGATGTTTTTACCATTAATTATTTTAGAGTTGCCAATTTAACCTTCTTGCCCAATTTGGAAATGCTGGTTGCTATAATTTGGCTCAAATTGGCCAGAAGGTTAACCTTCAACCAAGCCAAATAACCATAACTTCAAATTCTCAATAAACCATTTAATATGCCTATTAATTGGCAGTTGTCATTCCCGGTGAACAGTGTGTTGGGAGTCTAGGTCACATTCAGCTAGTGACTTGATCTAGGCCTTTTTGAAGTTGGTGCACTTTGTGGCTTACTTACAGTGGACTGAAGCTGTTATATACTGTAGGTATTGCTTCGGGGGTTTTGAGTGACCCTTGATAAATGCATGCTATTAACAGTGAATTGATAACATATGTACATGAGAAGAATGTAAACAATTATTACAATTAATTAACAAAATGATTGAGCTTTTTAAGATTGGTAACAATGTTGTGCTAATAACTGGGCATTTAAAGTGTTCCTTGGTCGGTCGAATTAAGTAATTTGCTTCTCCTAAATTTAAGGATCACTGACATGAGATCTTAATAAAGAAACCATTCACCAAGCATATTTTTTTTCTTTAGGAATGATTGGACCAGCTGTATTTCTGGTGTGTGCAGGGTATACAGGCTGTAATTATATCCTGGCTGTGACTTTTCTGACAATCTCCTCTGCCTTGGGTGGGATCTCTGCATCAGGCTTTAGTATAAATCACCTGGATATTGCGCCATCGTAAGCAAATTTTCCACACTCATTCTTCTTCAACGAAAAGAATTTCTTATTGAAAAAACCTTCAGTTAACCTCTGCTGCTTATGGTTTCTATCTGTTCATTTGCTCTTTAATCTAGGGTAATACTCATTTATTAAAATATTTAAAATGTATATATTTTTCCTTCTCTTATTTAACACAGAAATATAGAAAATGTATGTGTTTTTGAAGTTGTTTATAAATTTGATTATTAATTTTACTTGTGGATGTTGACACATGATGCACATGTCCTCAAAGAAAATGAACTCCCTAAAAGTCTTAATGCTACATAAATTGAAGTATTGCACAGTGCTGAGAAAAAGTTTGTGAACCCTCTAGGCTGGTCTGTATTCTTGTGTTTTTTAGTTCTAAATTATTAGTACTAATAATTCAATATCTTTATTTAAGACTTTCATGAATTTTGTATATAAATGTATCACACAAAGAAGTGATACATTTGAATTATTACATTTTCTCAGCGTTGTATAGTATATAGTCGCGATTTCCTTGTAAAAACATTTTATCTGTTTTTGTCTTATTAGTTATGCTGGGATATTACTTGGAATTACCAATACATTTGCCACTATCCCTGGAATGGTTGGACCAGTTATAGGCAGAGCCCTTACACATTCTGTAAGTCTCATGAATTGGCATAGAAGTATTTTCTTTCTCTTTTAACAGTAACAAGCCTTTACAGAACTATTTTAGTTTAATTATTTAAGATTATGTGGCAACACTCGAAATAATATTTCTACTTTCTATTAATTATTTCCAATGTTTATATAAAGCATTCAGTAAACACATTGCAATGAAAAGTGACAGATGGAAACTGGCTAAAAGAGAAGAGATTTTTTAATCTAAAAGTTATGCTTTCACAATAATCTTTGCTTCTGTGAATGCTGATATACAGTACAGTAAGACATTGTTTTGTACTTTATTGCAGAACACTATTCCAGAATGGCAGACTGTCTTCTACATCGCTGCTGCTATCAATGTGTTTGGTGCAGTATTTTTCACCTGTTTTGGTAAAGGAGTGGTCCAGGGTTGGGCAGTTCCAGATTTTCACTCACATGGCAGCTAAGCTCTCGGAAAATGAATCACTTTCTACCGAAATCAGGAGACCGCGCTGACCAATGTGATATGCTTTTTTCTGTTCTGCTCAACATCGCCAAATTATTTCATTGTCGTCTAATCTTGTTTAAACATGTTACTCAGGATTTTGTCCTTGCACCAAATTTAGTGAGACATAATTGTTAGATTTTCAAACATTTGCTGACAAAAATCAAGCCACCTTTGTGCATCAACTAAAACTAAAGATACTGAATGGCATGTTATTGTTTGATTTGTGTACATCTTTGACATTATTTTTATTAATTATGTATGTTTAATTCAGACTAGTTTCTTGAGGGGGCAGAAGAAGATTAATATTGACTGCCAGTGGCAGTTTATCATCAAGTGTAGGTTTCCTGAGCAAAATTTGTTCTTTGAAGAAAGTATTGTTTATTCTAGTGAAATTGCACAATTGCCATTTCCTTGGGTTTTATACTATTTGTGTTTTATAGCAAAATCCCAAGGTTTTTTTTTAAAACATGGTTAACGTAGTAAAGTGGGGAACTAGTGAGTTACAGTTTCCTATTTGTTGATATTTGGATTTTAAGTACTGTCAAGTATTTAGAAATTTTATTCAGTGCCTTTATTCAGTGTAACATATCTGAAAGCATGATTCTTGAATATTTGGAATATTAATGCCAGTCAGATTTGATGTCTGCAGACGAGATATCTTTTCACACTCATGTGCTTGTCAGGGAAATTAGAATATGACCCATATTCCTAAATGCAAGATAGAAATAGGAAAAATGAACACTATAAAATGCATTATTTAGAAATATTAATTAGCTACAGTAGCTGTATGAAGGTAATTTGTCAGCAGAGAAGCAATGACAGTATAACTAAAAAAGTGGTTTATTTTTCAAACCAGATGTTTGGCTTGATTTTGTTTGTTTTTTTAATTCTACACATTGTTTCCTTTTTTATTTCAATTTCGTACAAGTTACAGCTGTTATTTGTTGTGATAAGGTGATACGTTACTGCTTTAACAGCAACAAAAAGTCAAACTTTATGAAGTTTTGCTCTACTTAAAAAAGCTGACATTTAAAAAAAGAAGTGGCACAGCTTAGCCCCTTTTTTCCTAAATATTTTTAAATTATAATGTTTTTAGTACAGTAGGTTAAGAAATGTTATTGTAGTGAATTCTAAAGACCTTTCTGTACTTCTGTGAATAAGCTTTTAGTATGTAATGGGAATGTGAAGTATATCACATTGAGGCATCCTTTTTGTACAAATATTAATACTCTTAACTTTAATCACAAATAAATAAAAGCACTTTATTTGTTCAGGAACGTGTACAGTGCTGAAAGGAGTAAATCAGTTTAACATGATATTAAGTTGCAAGGGAAATAAAAAAAAAACTTTGTTACGACTATAATAATTTGTATCATTAAATACAAATTACTGGTATATTTTATTTTGTGACAAATGTTAAAACTAATGTACATGTGTGAGTATCTCTTCATCACCAGAAAAAGGATTCTTGGAATTGATCACTTTAAAATGTAAAACTCTTTCTATTCTATTATTTTTATGTGTGGTTTAGTTGTACTATTTAATAAAAGTGTTGTGTTCTCACCAAAACGCAGAGTGCTTAGCGAACTGTATGAATTTATCATAAAAATCATATAAATTTTATGGCACCTGCTGTGAAAACTTTTCATTCTGTACACAATGTTTCATGGTCAATATTGAACTTTAAAAAAAAGTTCCTGAACTGCATGTATAAATGAAAGTTTGTCATAACGAAATCAATCAGCGCTTGTTAAACACCATGGCTTGTATTTTTTTGCGTACCATGAAATTAAGGAGACTAGACGAACACTAGAGACACACCTAGCAAGGGGACTACTCACAAGTTAAACTGCACTTTCACTAAAGATATCCTCAAACCTACTCTGCATCCACCTGCTTAACATCCCCATTAGCATCCTAGCAACAGAACCGCGAATTAATAAAAAAAGAGTGGTGGTAGTCTTTTTTTTTTTTTAACGATGATGTTTGCCCTCCTAACGATTACAGTAACGCTACTCTTAAATGTTTTCTCACCGTCCCTGAAGATGCTCTGTCCTGGCTAAGAGGGGGTATTAGAAATGTCAGTCCTGACGACAATTGCTGTACCCCCTCCCGACAGAAATATAAACGGATCAGCGGCGGCGCTCGCTCTTTTCCGCAACGAGCACGCAGAAGCTGGAGGCAGGTAGGACATTCTGGAATGATAATTGCAGCATCTTTGTTTACTGGGAAAGCCTCGTCTTTTCTTTGGCGCTGGGTGGCATGCTGCGCTGGAAATGAGCCAGCTACACGGTGTATTCACGATTGCGATGCATGTGTTAAAAACGTCTGGATTTCTGAAATGGTTATTAAGTTAGAAACACACATTGCGCTAATGAATAACAGCCTTTGAGCATTGAATGAGGGGAGAATATGGCGGCGATGGGGGGGAGGGGTAATCTTCAGACATCTCAATTATGGGACTGTCGCCCTTCACAGCAGTTTATAACCTAAATTTGCAGCTTCCTAATGTTTCATTGGCTTAAGCCGTTCCGTATCGTTATGGCTGATATTTGATTTTTTTGTAGTGGTTCAGAGCATCAGATTAGAATTTCACACAAGGTGTTTTTTTAATTGCATTTGCCCGTTTTTAATATAATAAACCGATTATGCCTAAAGACATTATATATTGCATTAATATTTAAATAAATAGGCTCGAGGGGGACAGCTACGTTTTAAAACGAGGTTGCAGATTTTAAAATAAATACCACATTGAAATACATAAATATAATCCAGGCAGACGTTTGTCAGTTGCCTATTCAGCAGGATCTGGCTGTTGGAAGCATTTGAGAAATCTATCATACAAACTGATGTTTTGTTACCGATTTAAATGTTTTCTTAATTCTTAATAGAGGCGACACCAATACTCGATTATTCCCAGTTACAGGAATGAATATCCTAATTTGTTTTTTTTTTTATTGTGTTGGTGTAAGATGAGCATGTCTGCCTTATCCCTCTGTTGTGTAATGTGAGCATGTACAGTATACGTCTATAATGGCTGCTTTGTCAAGGCAATGGAGATTTCCTACAAAATGGAGGGAACATTGACATATGCACAGTGCTCATCCACCTTGTACACAAATAGAAATCCGTGGAGTGCGAAATAGAAATGACGAATAACTGCCCATCTCCGGAGAAACGCAAAGCAGCTGTCTGGGTGGAGCAGCCTGATGCAATCTTGTGCCAAGGACTTGGCTGCTGAACTTGAGTAGTATTTGCTGTTCAGAAAATGCTCAGATGCCAGAGACTGTGGTTACAAGTAAGATATTAATGCTGGCATACAGTACAATTAACATAACATCACTTTATTAGCCCTGTACATTTTCTTGTATTAGGAATTCATCTTTTCACAAACCCCAGCTTGCTCTCCATGAGACACAGACAGGGAGAGAAGTTTGGGGTCAGAGCACAGGGTCAGCCATTGTACAGCACCCCTGGAGTAGTTGGGGTTAAGGGCCTTGCTCAGGAGCCCAACAGAGTAGGATTCTTCTGCCAGCTGTGGGATTTGAACCAGCAACCTTCTGGCCACAGACGCAGATCCTTAGCCACAGAGCCACCCCTATACTATACATGTCCATAGTATTACACTATAGTATACACCATACTATACATGTCCATAGTATTCATGACACCTGTTAAAGCTGCTGTGGTTATGGTCTGTGTATAGTTGTGGGATATTTTGTGTTCAAATGTGTAACCTTATGTAAATCTTGTGTTGTAGATTCTATTGTTTAGTATCATCAAAAATTCACAATGGGAAAGGAAAAGACTCACATCAACATTGTAGTGATTGGCCATGTGGACTCTGGCAAGTCGACCACCACTGGCCATCTCATTTACAAGTGTGGTGGCATCGACAAGAGAACCATTGAGAAGTTTGAGAAGGAAGCTGCTGAGGTATGTTCACGGTTTCAGAACACCTTCCAACAGTTTTAAAAATTAGAAAGTCTGGTATGGTAGGCTTTATTCTGAACTTGCAGACCATGGGATTACTGTACTTTTCCAGGCAGGTGTAGTGATATTAAGCCCAGGTAACCTTGTGCCAATAAACTAGGTTGTATTTTTAATAGTGCCGCATGGTGTTGCTGAAGCACTTGTTACATGCCTGGTTTAAATAGCTTATCGTATGCTAATTGGTTTGTAGATGGGCAAAGGCTCATTCAAGTACGCTTGGGTGTTGGACAAGCTGAAGGCTGAGCGTGAGCGGGGCATCACCATCGACATCTCCCTGTGGAAGTTTGAGACCAGCAAGTACTACGTGACCATCATTGATGCCCCCGGGCATAGGGACTTCATTAAGAACATGATCACCGGTACATCGCAGGTTTGTACAACTGTATTATCAGTAACCGCCATGACAAGTGACCAGACAACAACAACAGCTCAGATCACCTCTCTTTGTCGCCACCTCGCTTTTACAGGCAGACTGCGCTGTCCTCATTGTTGCGGCGGGGGTTGGGGAGTTCGAAGCTGGTATTTCAAAGAACGGCCAGACCCGCGAGCACGCCCTGCTGGCCTACACCCTGGGTGTCAAACAGCTGATTGTTGGCATTAACAAGATGGATTCCACTGAGCCGCCATACAGCCAGAAGAGGTACGAAGAAATTGTCAAGGAAGTCAGCACTTACATCAAGAAGATAGGTTACAACCCCGACACTGTGGCTTTTGTGCCCATCTCTGGGTGGAATGGAGACAACATGCTGGAATCGAGCCCTAATGTAAGTCAGATGGAGCTTACTTGGCTGTCTGGTGTAGCCCATCTTAGGACACATTGCTTGGAATACCCTTTGTGATTTTTGAGCACCTCTTTCTTTTCACTTAAAGATGACATGGTTCAAAGGCTGGAAGATCACCCGTAAAGATGGCAATGCTTCAGGCACTACTCTTCTAGAAGCCCTGGACGCCATCCAGCCTCCCACACGCCCAACTGATAAGCCCCTGCGGTTGCCTTTACAGGACGTCTACAAAATTGGAGGTGAGAACTGTTGGTTTCTGTGTAAAGCAAGGTGTCAAAGTAGCAGTCCGTTCCTTAACCCACGTGCTCTCCGGCCTTCCCAGGCATTGGAACCGTGCCCGTGGGGCGCGTCGAAACGGGGGTCCTGAAGCCGGGGATGGTCGTGACTTTCGCGCCGGTCAACGTCACCACTGAAGTGAAATCTGTCGAGATGCACCACGAGGCCCTGTCCGAGGCGCTCCCGGGGGACAATGTTGGCTTCAACGTGAAGAACGTGTCTGTCAAGGACATCCGCCGCGGAAACGTTGCCGGAGATAGCAAGAATGACCCCCCCATGGAAGCCGCTAACTTCACTGCACAGGTGGGGTTGTCCATAAGTGACTGAAAAAAAAAGAATATTAACTGGATGGGTGCTATTGGGGGGAGGGAGGCTGTAGGTTGTGTTGATTACCTTCCTGATCGGACAGCAGCATTCCTCAATCTTGTGCCATGTTCTTCTAAAGATCAAAAATTGACTTCAGTTTAGAATTTTGTCAGGAAACCAGAATCTGCATATTTTAAGGTTAAAACTAACATTTCTAGTGTCCAGAACTATGAATTGTTTTTGTTTTTATACAATGTGAAGTAAACATTCTTAATTTCTATCTGGAAAATAAAATTAAACACGTGCACATCAATTTGCCGTTTTTTAAATTGGCAGATTACATATTACAAGCATGAACGTATAAGATACAAAATAATGAAGCTTAAATGATTAATGAAAAAAAGACAGGTTATTGCAATTTAAATGTCATTTTGAGTATGTTGCAAAACGTATGCCAATCTAAAGTATATGCAGTACTCATGGAAGTCTAAATCTGGTGTCATCCTGGATTGTATTCAGTGCAGACTCACAGATAAAATCAAGCAGTCTCAATGTTGTAATACACACTGTACTGTTTATGTATTTTTAGGTGATCATTTTAAACCACCCTGGTCAGATCAGTGCTGGCTATGCTCCCGTGCTTGACTGCCACACTGCTCATATTGCCTGTAAATTTGCTGAGCTGAAGGAGAAGATTGACCGTCGTTCTGGCAAGAAACTGGAAGACAACCCCAAATCCCTGAAGTCTGGTGATGCTGCAATTGTTGACATGATCCCTGGAAAGCCAATGTGTGTAGAAAGCTTCTCTGACTATCCTCCTTTGGGTGAGTATAGACATCATGACTATTTTTCTAAAGCACTAGTAATAGGTTTAATTCATGCTGAAAAGACAAGAAGGAAAACGCAACATTTCGGCCGTGGAGCCTTCTTCAGGTTTTTCGGCTCCACAGGCCAAAACGTTTCCTTTCTTCTCTTTTCAGCATGGAATAAACCTACTATTACTAGTTCCTTTGCAGCCTATGCATGCTGACGCAGCTCCCCACCTGAATTATTTTTTGTATAGACTATTGGATAAGATCTGTTTAAAAACATTCTGGTATATCCGATATCCTAAGCATTCAGTCTTGCTTCACTTTTCATGCCTTAGCTTTTTGGTGGACTTAAAAGTAGTCTTGGTATGACAGATGCAATTAAAAAAAGTGGGACACACAGGACATTTGTAGAAATCAGGTTCTAAAATTCTGCATTTCTTGCTCATGTTTTGTGTTAGTTGGTTCTTTGCACTTGGGAGTGACTGCACTTTACATTTAAACAAAGTAAACAGGTTTTATTGACTTTTTTGGTGTATGGGGCAGACCTACTGAACGTGAAGTAAAAATAACAGCATTTGTTGACAAGATCACACTATGTTTGAACTGTAAATAGTATGTGCTTTACTGAATTGAAAAGATGGATAACTTTACAATAGCTGTATATAAATATGAAATACTCTGGAATATAATTAAGGTCAGTTCATCTTATAGTCTTCCTTCCTTGCTGGAAAGATGCAGCCTGGAAATATATTAATTCAAAATATGGTATATATGGGATTTTAACTGAATTTTAGAAGCTAGACTTGGTTTTATTTTTATGATAGTATATTTGTTTATTATTATCATTCATTTCCTCCTGTGAATATTTGGACACCAGATCATTATATAAAAATTAATGTGTTTATATTTTATTGATGCCTTTATCTAAATCAACTTGCATATGACCCCATTTCTACAGATGGGGTATTGGAAAAATTCACATTAAGTACCTTGTTTAGCAGTTCAACAACAAGCAGTGTCTTTACTGTTAAGAGTCTAAGACCTCACCACTAATCCAGCAAGGCTGTCACATCACAGACGACCCGAGGAAAAACTTCAAACATGTAAAAGAGCCAAGACTTCTGGTAATGGATTAATTTTCTAAAATATTTATTCAGATTCTACTAGCTGCAAAAACTTAAAAAAATAATGTTTCTGCACTCTACATTTTAAGAGCCTTGCAATTAAAAGATCATATCCACAATATGCCCAACAGAGAAGGACTGTTAACATGATATAGAGTTACATCTTGTTCTGAGTGTAGTAACATGCCTGATTACATTGCATTTTTGTAGACAGCATGGAAAGGCAGTAAAATACCAGGATGGTATGAAAGTCATCAGTATTTTAGCTCAGTGTTCTTCTTCCTTGAGGGTGAAGTACCACTTGCCATCTTCCTCTCCCGCAGGGCGCTTTGCTGTCCGCGACATGAGGCAGACTGTGGCTGTGGGTGTCATCAAGGCTGTGGAGAAGAAGGCATCCACCACTGGAAAGGTCACCAAGTCTGCCCAGAAAGCTCAGAAGGCAAAATGAATGCTGTGTTTAGCTGCCACCGCAGATGCACTTCATGGAAGACTGGTCTCTGAAACCTTTATTTCAATTGGCCATTTGGGTTTAATAGTCAAAGACTGGTTAATTATTACAATGCATCGTAAAACTATCAGAAGGAAAACAAAATGTTATGTGGACCATCAGTTTCAATCTGTATTGTGGCAGTGTTTTTGTTTAATTAGTCTGTACTTTTAAGTGGGAACAGCAACATGACCAACAGCCGTGTGGCAGAAATTGTTTTAATTCATTTAAACTGAATTAGGAAAATAGTGTGCTTCAGGGCACAGTTTTACTTAGGTCCTCAGACTTTGTCTTGCTTTAGTGTTTGTTTGCAATTAACAGGTGTTTATCTTCAGCTGATATTAAAAGTTTGGACAGACAAGTTGAAAGATTTTGTTCTAATGGATTTTCTTTTTCCTCAAGCGCATGCTTCCATCCTGTGCACTTTATGTTGTTTTATAAGCTATGTGGCACTTTTGCACTCCTAAACCTTGATTGGCAGATGCTCCATGCACCTTAATTTATTGTGGGCAAGGGCCTTTCAACATTACATTAAAACTGTTTAAACTTCTAAAAGAGTCCGAGTTGTTACTTGAGTTTTCTTTCTCATAAGCCTCAACTCCCTTTACAGCAAAATCTAATTTTAATGGATTTAAGAAACAGACAAAATTCACACATGAGTGTCAGGCAAGCCTCCAGACTACCTGCCCCCAACTGACTCAAGACTGCGGTTTCAGTCCAAATGCTCAAGGCTATCTTCTTGATTCGTTCTCTGCATGGGTGAGGGGAGTATATCCATCATGGCTTGTTGGTGAGAAAAGAAAGCATGTTAATTGGGGTGCACATCAGAAACTAGAACTTGAATATGGTGCGTCTTTTGCAAGGGTGTAGGAAATAACGGTATAAAAAAAAGTGTCAAATATAAAAAGAAAAGCTCTTGGAATTTTCAGTAAAATTTAATGTAAATGTACAACTGTATCAACCTCTGAGCTTGGTGAATCTAAGAATGATTAGAGTATACTGATTACTGATATATTACTACATTATGTATAAATTGATTTACACTATCTGCTTACATGTACTGCACGATGAAAATTTTCATTAGTACTTTGAAGATTATATGTCCACAGACAGTTACACACAGTATATGCATTTATATATTGTTTTACTGGACACCACTAATACTTAAGCCCCTATCAGCCCTGCTTTAACACTTGATCTAGGCTGAGACACTGTTCTTTTTGTATTACCACACTGACAGTTGTGGTGCATTATTCTCAATTCCACTTCAGTCAGTCTCACTTAAGCAAACCTTACTGACATTACAGCATGAACTTGCATTATTTCTGCACATAAACCCAAAAGAAAATTGAAATTCTCAATGCAATTACAGAAATCCAGATGTTTTCATGAATGTCATAGAGATGCAGTGTTTTGACATTAGTTAAGAAAACTGTCAGACCAAAGAGCTGTATGTAATACTCAGTGGGATTAGGTTTAGTAAAGAAATTGTGTGGCATTCTACAGTCAGTTGAATATTCCTTCATGAGGGATCAAATTAGAGCCTTTTGTGCCTTTATTAACAATTCTGACATGGAAAGGCTTTTATACAATGTACTTCTCAGTAATCTGAGAGGCATACCCTGCTCCAAAGAATAACAACAACATCCAACCCAGTGTTAAAACATATGAACCTCCAGGTTTAGACTATAGTGTACTAACCAATGTAACGATATAAAAACACCAAGTTGAACAATGCTGAAAAGCCATATTGGCAGGGAAACATTTTTTTTCCACCCAAAAATGCTTGTTTTAGCAGATTTTAGCAGGTTTAGCATTAGTTGACAAAGTTACTGTTATTGCGAACTGTTCATGGAGCAATTTACATTACCGAGATGTAATAGGCATAAATTCATCAGTGGAAAACTTCTTCAGTTCCATAGCTTTACTTTTAAGTAAGCACTTTTTTATGGATGTCTTATAGGCTAAGGAAAAAAAACATATTTCATATTTTGGAGATTGTATACGAGTATCAAGTACAGATTACAGTTTTGCACTAATCCTAGTAGACAGCTCCATCAAGTGGCCATTTCTCAAAATGCAGAAAATTGCACACCAAGCATTACATTCGTCCCCCCCGGATGGGTGCTCAAATCAGTCGGAACCACAGAGTATTGCTTGTAAATTACAAACTTAAATCTAAATATATTTTAAATTTAGTGAAAAGGCTGTGAAATCCGATTAAAATTAAAACATACATGAAAAAAAACTCTGCTGTTATGCGATTCATCTTAATTAGAATTTAGAAGTGTAACATATTATATAGGATAGTAATTAAATGAGATTTGGGATTGTTTTAATTATTTCGACGGTCTAATGATAGGACTCACAATGTCCTGTCCAGCAATATATTGATTCCATCAGCATCTGGAAAAAGAAAAGAAATTAAATTAGGGTATTGATTCTACGTTGGCGAAGTCGACATTCAATGCCCTCCATTTCTGTTGCAAATCAACCTAAAAATGATTTTAATCTAGAGCAAGACATGTTTCTACGAAAAACTGCATTATAACAAGAGCAACAAAAAAAAAACTAGGAGCAATAAGTAATTACGTTATGGTAATTAATTTAGCTCAACTGAAATTTAGAGACGAGGTGATGACCGCATGTCGTATTTGCGGGATAGATCTGGCGTAAACTCAACTTCGAGAGCGCAGAACACTATGTTCAAAAACACAAAGAAATTCAGAAACCGGAACAATAATTATGTCTGCATCAGGAATATTAAAAAGGGATTGTGTAATCCTGTTTTGTGAATCACAGGAGTGTCTGTACTTGTTGCCGGTTGTGTAAATCCAATTTTACTGGCAGGATTTTGAGAACTCCCGTGATTCATACACACAAACGTTTGTTAATTCACTTATTGTATTTTCTTTTACTGATGGTATGTGCAGAACGGTAGTAACTGATAGTATGGTAAACAGTAGTATTTAAAATTAAAGAATGTTACAATTGAGATATCTATAATAATATCAACACACAAATACAGGAATCATTCAGACATACTGTACAGTAGCTTGAGTAACTTCACGACGCACTTCACAGGTGAATGGGATATATCCCCTGTTCGCAAATACAGGTCAATTTAGCCGATTGTTTTGTCAGCCACCCAATATTAATATATTATACGAATCGGTTATATTACGCATACATGTGTACAGTATATAAGCTCGTACCTTTAACGTAAACATTTTAGACGAAATATTCTTATTCAACTAGCAATCCAAGCACGTTCACTGCATAATCCTAATAATAGTTTTATTTTAAATCACAAAAAAGGTAGCGCCAAAAGAAATGGTTACCGGATATTTTTTTAAAAGTGGGTGGAGAGTTGATTCAAAACATATTTCCGTTCAATAAAAGTAGCTTCTGACGTAGCAAATTATTAACACTCACCCACAGCCCAGGACGTCCTTTATGCCTTCTTAGCCGGGCGCGCATAGAAACCACATCCTAATGGACAAAAAGGCTAAAACCTCCAGTACCCGGGTTAAAAGCCCAGTTCGGGGCCGGACTTTAAGAAGTCCCCCACCAACGAGAAGAACGGCTCCACCTCAGAGAGAAAACCCACCTAAAACCAAACGAAGCGCAGACGAAAGCAAAGTAAAAAAACCATGCCCCAGAAGTGCGAAAAGTCCGACCTGTCAACGCCCTAATGGACCAGAGCCGCACAAGAACCGCAAGGCCCGCTCTCCGACCCGCAAGCCAGAAGCAGGTGCGCATCCGACTAGAGGGGGCTGCAGAACCGCCAGTGCCGGCGCCGCACCTGGGGCGAGAAGCCCACCTGCAGCCAAAGCAGAAAGACCCGGTGTAAGAGGCCAAACCGCAGCTGTGGAGAAGATTCTACTGTCGGTACTCGACAACTTAAAGATTAGGAAACCGGCCATTTCCGAAAGCACCAATAAAGTTAACGACGTGGTGGATGGCATCATTAAACACTTGAAATCGCATACATCCGAATACTTCAGCCAGATAGAAAAACTGCCTACTGGAAGCTACTACGAGAATGTTAAGGTATATGTACACATCTTTTTTTTTTAATACGAGTTTAGGACAATGCTACATACTTGATATTTTGAATCACGTACACGGCGTCTCAAATGATAAAAACACTGATGTATTTTTGTTAAGGCAACTCGATTTTAGCAATTCATTTCTGAGCTATTATCGATATCCAAAAGGAAGAACATTAAACTAGTTACACGTGCAAATGCTTTGCACACAAGTTAACTGTCCATAGACATTTTCAACTTCACTATACACTCTAAATATAATGAATACGATAGTGAAATCATTTTGAAGTATTTTCAGCTCGTCTAAACGAACGGTAAATGTTCCCACATAAACTGGGTTAACCATGTTATGCGATTGTGTAAAATTAACATACTGTGGAAGGCAAGACAATAATTCGCAATGTTCTCCACAGATTTCTGAACCAGACGAATTTGATGTGATGCTCACTGTACCAGTTCAGAGAGTAGAGATACAACAGTTCGATACGACGGGAGCTTTCTATAGTGTGGCGTTTAAAAGAAACCCTCAGAGAAACCCACTGCAGCGCTTTGTACTTTCGGGTGGAACCATCTCCGCGAATGGCATGCTCAGCGAGTTCAGGAGTCAAGTTAAACAGGCTACCGAAACCATGCCAGGTCAGTAATGCTTCATTTCCTTGTACATCATTCGAACAAAAATTCAAAAGGGTAAATAAAGCATTCCTTGAAGTGCATTTGTGGGGATTTTTATACCTCTCTCGATAAAGCGCATTTACGCTGTAATGACATGTATTACATTACGCTGTAATTACATTCACCTGTAATTCTATAATGAGAGGTTTCAGTTCCCAAAAACCTGGTAGGAATCCGGCATGTAAAGGCTTTAAAGAGCACACTTAAGAAATGGCATTATTCCATCTCTGAAAAGGCGTGCAACTGGAGAGGAAGAAGAGGGGATCCCCAGCGGTGACCTTGGCCGTTAATGAGAACCGTCGTGTGATCAGCGTGGACATCGTCCTTGGGCTAAAAGTTCATATGCAGAGTTGGCCATCTTGCACCAAAGACGGCTTCAACATTGACAGCTGGCTGGGGACCAAAGTCAAAAGAGACTTCAAGATCGCACCGTTCTACTTAGTCCCGAAATACACCGGCAAGGGCAGTGATGAAAAGGATGGAATATGTGCAAAAGGTAACATTTGTGAGTCCTTGATTTATCGGGAAGAGACCTGAAACAAAGCTACATTCAATCAGTCATCTGTAGGGCACGCCAATAGGAATAATGCTAGGCACTTAAAAATGAATGGAATACTTTGTCGTTTTAATTATAGCATTGTCATATTTATGCTCCCAAAAATAAATATTAACCATAAAGCGTTTTAGTCTAAAGTACTCCTATTCAGAATAACAAATGTAGCAGAATTCTAAACACATTTAAGATTGAACTGCCATTTTTTGCCACAGGGCCCAGCTATCATATCATATTTACTAAAATCAAATTGAAAGCCACTGTACCTCGTGCACACCACATGCACTGTTATGTCAATTTTTATATAAAATTCACACCTTTTGAAAAAGATACAATTTGCATTTCATAAACATAATTAACTTGAAAAAACATTTAATACTCTTGACAATGGATTTCTTAAGAGAATATTAAATCACATAACCTAATCATACACAAAATAATCACCTTGTTAGTGCTAAATACACTAGCACAGGAAATGAAAATGTCCTTAAGTGCCTTAATTTCTCATCTTGACTAGCTGTACGCTACAAGCAGGTTGTGAGGAATGTTCTTTGTGTTTGTGATGTAGATGCATGGCGAATTTCTTTCTCACACGTGGAAAAGGGAATCCTGAAAAATCATGGCTCAGCCAAAACCTGCTGTGAATCTGGAGGTTCGCAGTGTTGCAGGTAAACTAACCAATATAACGAATGACATAGTGGAATAAAAATCGCTTCACACACTACCAGTAGTGCTTAAACAGTTCTATGGAACTAGCCTTAGCAAACTCCTTTGTAAAAGAACAAAAAGGTAAATAAACATGTAGCATCTGAGGTATTGAAAAGCTAGATAAAGAGCTGATAGTACAGTAGCAGTTGGATCTAATGAGACAGATGTTATGCACAAACTGTTAAGTCTTTTCACCTGAGGCATGATATCGTAAAAGCCTAGAATGATGGGAAAATTACTAATGCTGCACCTATCAATAAGCAAACCAATTATAGACCATCACATCTTACTACTTTCCTGTATAAGGTTGTGGAAACAAGAATTATAACTTAATTGCAGGGTTACATATGGCAAATACAATTTATGGGGACTGTGAACATGAATTTAGGAGAGACAGGTCTTGCTTAAACTAGAGTTCTGCAAAAAAGCAACACCTATAAGAGAAAAACAAAGCACATATGGCATGGGTAATGCTCCAATTTCCTTTTGCCATAGGATATTCCTTTGTACTTACCTTTTGCCAATTATATTTCCCTATTAGAAATCTTCTAATTATAAATTAATTCAAGCTGCTTCACTTCACATCCTGAGACTGTTTTGTCTCATCCAGTACAATTTACAAGGTAACTGGCTAAAAGAACCAATCTTTTTTTTAAATTGCAAACAAAGAACTAAACTGAAAACTGGAGGTGCTTTTTTTTTTTTTACACAAAATATTATAGGAGCATGGAACAAGCTATAAAGTCAATACCCTGACTTCTTTCAAAAAGCTACTGGATGAGATCCTTAGATTAACTATTATGATTTAAACAAGCCAAATGCGCCTCTTTTCATGCGTTTACAGGAGAACGTGAAGGGTTACACAACTTACTGCCATTGTCAGACCTCACATACCCAGGAGGCTGGTTTACAGGTCTCCCACTTTGCAGAGTAGACACAAAGAAGGAAAAAGGAGAGGAGAGAATGTGTGTGATGTAAAAAGAAAAGACAAAAGGTGAAGGCAAGAAATCAGTGGTGATGACGAAAAATGAAGGTTAAAGAATGGGAAGAGAGGAGACCCATTAGCTGAGGGGAGATGCCGAGAGTTTAAAATAGCTGTTAATGGGAAATGGTTGCAGCAGAAGTATAGCATGCTTGGCATTGCAATTTAGGCTTTGTAGAGTGCTAAAGGCTTTAAGTCAGGGTGTTTCAAATTGGAGTGTAGCTGCAGAAGAAAAATAATCTATGCCCAGAGTAGTTTTTCAAATGGAGGATAAAATACAAAGCCACATAATAAATTGGATATTCCGAGATTATGAGGTATCTGGGGAGAAGGATTTTTTTTACATTTTTTTAAATATTTCCACACACTGCAGTATCTAAATAATACATTCAGAGCACCAGGTTTTACCAGTTTTTCATGTTTTGATCAATTTGTGTGGATGTTTTTACCATTCCACAAACAAGACTGTTAATTTATTTTACATTATACACATAAAACATGCACCCATCAATACAATCTTAATATTTTGGTACCCATCAGGTTTGCCAAATAATTTTAAGTTCAGTATTCTGGAAGGCAATTGTAAATGCAGAACATGACCAGATGCAACCAATGTAATTAGAGGGTTTAGAAAAATAGATATAAACATCATAAAGATGATGTGACAGCAGCAGAAAACAGATGTTTGCACAATTATAAACGGGCAATAAAAATAGTAGCTTTTTTCCCCCCTCTGCTGGACTGCTAAAAAGATGGTTAAATCAAGGTAAAGCTCTTTGAAGCAGCTTATTTTTTCAGAGAGAGCAAGTTTGTTTCACCTCCGAATATATTTATACACACACATACACACACTTAAAACTGATTTTAAATTGTCCTCCAGAATCTGAATTTCTGGAAAACAACCAAATCATATTAAATCATGTTAGAATTATTGGTATGGAAATTTCTTAATTATATAAGTTTATAGATGCTGAGTTTCAGGGTTGTTAAGCAAGGAACTGTAGACAGTATGGAAGATGTACAATGGGGAACATAAAGGAGGAAAATCAATTTTCATCAGATTTGCCCACAAAAATTCAATTTTAATTAGCATTATCATTTAACACCGTTTTAAAGATCAACAACATAAGAATCTTTCTAATGTATTTTTTAATGTCATTTTGAATATAGTGCACTTGCTTCTTTGAATGCATTCGCAGGTTTCCTACTGTATTTAGTCAGCCAACTAAGGTGCAGGTACTTAAATACATTTGTGATTGTGGGGGATAGGTTGCACTTTCTTTTCAGAACTTTCTTTGTTGTTTTGCATTTATTACTGGTCTCAAATAGCCAGGGGAAATAAGCCCAAAGCTCATAAGAACATAGGTGTCTGCAGAGTGAGACTCAACTAAGACAGGTTCCAAGTAAAGCAGTCTAAAACTTTTGCATAAATAAATTTACTTTTGATTCACAGGAAACAATGTCTTAAATTATTAAAACACCTACTGCAAAAACTAAAAGAGGCCCACCCCAAAGAACTGTCCAAGTTTTTCTCCTATCAAGCTAAGACCACACTACTCCACGCTTGTGTGAAGAGACCGAAGGACAGTGACTGGGAGAAGGGGAATCTCAGCACCTGCTTTGACCTGCTGCTCCAGGATTTTATACAGTATTTGGATCTTGGGAAGCTTCCTCATTTCTTTATTCCGACTTACAATCTTTTGGATTCTGGATGTGATTCGAAAAGCATGAAGTCTTTAATACAATACATTAGATATGAACAGAATAACATGTTTCCCATCTTCTGTGAAAGAAACAGCAATTGGTGTTAAATGCTTTAAAAGGCGGCTTGGTGAAAAGATATTTCAAGAAAATGTTGCAGTGCCCAAGCAGAAAAGCCGTCAGCCCAAGACTTCAATTTCAATTTCACCCTTAGATAGGGTGGAAAATACTTGTTAAAGATGATTAAAAAAATTAACATCTTTCTTCGTCAGAGAACGGTCAGTGATGGGTAAATCAATACACTACCAAATATTTGCCCAATACCTGTTTCAATTTTAAAATTTCAACTAAAGAGGGTTATACTTTTAAATTGAAGAATTAGGGGATAGCGTGCCACTACTTTAAATCACCCAGAGATTACAAAGTGTGTTTCATCTAATTCCACAGTCTCGCCCAGTACATAAATGCAAATTGATCACTCTTAATAGGAATGGTTGGTGCACTGCAAATGATAAAAAGGAAACTTAACAGTTCTGCAAATATAAGAATTGACCACCTACTAACTAAAAAAAAAAATTCAAATCTACTTAAGACATTCCAGCTGTAAAAGAACAGTTAGAGTTGTGACTCAGTCATTGAGCCAGGCCACTATTCCTAGTGGAAATGCTGTACCGTAATAAAAAGGCAATAAACAACCCAACACATGACATAAACATCTTGATGTGTCATACCTCCTTCCAGCGGTTTACGGTTCAAAGACGGTAAGCAAACTGGAAACAAATACAAAACCTTTTGTTTTAGAATTGAATTTCAGTTTATCTGGGAAGTTCATGGAAAATCCCACCAAAGGTAGGGGATTTACCATGGCAGATGGGAATAAACATGGAAATCCACGCATACACATCAATGGGCACTGCACTTAACTCACTTGAACTGCTTAGTAAATTTAACTTTGTAAAGACTTAATTATGTTCTATGCAACTGCGGATCCATCTTATCAAGATCAGTACTAATTGAGTACTTGGTTTACTATACAGTTTTGAACCAGAGAGAAAGATGTTAATTTGAGATGATCATAAAACATGGATAGGGATCCTAAAACTTTAAGAGGTCCATTGCTTTCATTGCTTGTGTCCAGTTAGAAAAATATGAAACTTAACTTAGTGTTGAAAAAGCACAGATGTGTACGCTATTTACACTTTTCTCAAAATATGCACTATTTCAGTACATATTTCAACTTGCATTGGACAGCAAACAATGCACAAATTTCACACAAGATACATTTTCATTTGCAATATCTTATAGTTCATACTTAGTTCTAATTTTCTAATTAAGTTATTCTACTGTTAAAAGCACAAACTGCATCATTTGTGGGAAATTCCCAAAGGAAACTTAGTGATCCTCAAGGCTATTTTGGCTAAATAGGAATTTTGGGTAAATTTTATCATCTAAAAAAAGGGACTTTAATAAATGGTGTTTCTGTAGTCATACACTCAAATAATGGTAACCAAACAAATGCATAACAAATCTGAATCAAAATTCTTTTGCAGTGTATTTTTTTTTTAAAGTGGAGGTTAAAAATAACTCATATTTCAAAACCGATAAAACAAACGCAAATGTTAATGGTGTTCAATGTAAGAAGCATGGCAAGCCCTAAATGCAGAACTTTAAAAGTACAATTATATTGCCTTTACTAGTTTGCAGGTAGCATTAAAACGGTAGATTAGAGAACAGAAGAAAAATCTGAGACCTATGTGATGACCTAAGAAATAAGAATAACTACACAATATTACTTATGTTTAGTAAAACCTGGTATAAAAAACCTTCTTATCAGTGAGCCATTTTCTGTATTATTATAATATGCTTTTATATGTGTGAACAACACAAACTCTGATACTAACTGCACACATGAACAGTGTGTAACTGGCACACAATACTTTAGCACTGCAAAGCTTTGAGGATTCTAATGACCAAACTGGACAGTGCTCCAGATGATGGGAATAAATCGCAGTTCACCCACATGCTGCAGGTCAGAGTTTCCAGCTGGAGTTGGCACGCTGCTTCTCTCTGCCCCTCCTGCCACCCGCTCCTCTGCTGCTGCCCCCCAGCAGCTCCTTCTCGTGCTGGTGCTTCTCGTACCGCTCTGCCATCAGCACCAGCTCCTCGGGGACAGCCTGCAACACAGCCGCGGCGGGTAGCCAGACCACCCCTTAGGAAGAAGCTGAGGATGAGGCAGTGCAATGATCCATCCTGATACCATACTGTTTAACAACGTGCAGTGTGCCCAGTCCTGGTCACGGAGGACGAGTGTGTCCACAGGTCTGTTTAGAGCACCAGCTCCTAATCAGTTAGTTTAATTGTTGTTAAATCGGTCTGCTCAAGACAATGATGAGCATATTAAGGGCATTAAGAGCCAAGAGGAAACAAAAACCTGCTGATGCAGTAGCATTCCCAGGAGCTGGACTGGACACACTGGGCTTTATAGCATACATGTGCACTGCTTTTTGCTCCAGTTGATCTTTTGATAATTGAACTGTACGCTGTGATTTAACTTGTGTGTTAATCTGGCCTTTTCAAGTTGTTTTCAGGTCTGCATCATTAAGAAATGTTTAGATTAGCATGCAGGAATATTTGTATAACTCAGAAACTGAAACTTTTAGGGGCAGAAATCAAACAGGTCCAAGTAATTACATTAGCTCTATTAAGCAACAAAGTCTAGCTGCAATAAATCCAGGAGACATTGTTGTCACTAGAACCAGGACTGGGAAGCATTACCCTAGTAGTAAGTTACAAACATGGGAAATATAAATCAAACCTTCTTGTTTGGTTGCACAGGACTTGAGAGTAAAAGTATCTGAGCTAATGTAGTTGCTGTAAGAAGCAGTTCTGATTCAGGCAGTTACGTTAACCCATCGGTCCACATGTACTACTGTTTTTTTTTACACTTCAAGTATGTATCAACTTCTTTGGAAAACAGGTGAATAATTCAGGTATGTGTAACAGTGACAGTCTGCGGTTAAACAAAAGGCATTGTACCTGGTTTGCCCTTTCAAGAATGTGAACAAGTTCGGAAGCTATTTTCCATTCTTGCCTTGTCACCAGGGTTAAAGATGCTCCTGAGCGGCTAAAGGTTTGTGGGGAAACAATGTGGAAGAAATAGATTGTACACAGTGTAAATTGCAGTTTTACAGGTTTTGGAAAGCGCAAAAAAAGCAAACTGCTACTTATATACTGTACATCTACTGATGCTCTCCTTAAGTCAAGAGCTGCATCGATTATTGCTGCTGGCCAGAGGTTGAAGTCCCAGTTTCATCAGGCATTTCGACTCTTATCCACACCTGCTCTTCCTGCTAGGGGGTCAACAGTAATAGCCAGTCACTGCTCATCTTCTCCTGGCCTTAATTCCTGCACTGTACTGTGCAGTCCCAATTTGCTCAATTTAAGAGAACATTTAAAAAAAAAAATCAAGGCCTCAACAACCAGAAGATGCTTTAGCACTAGAAGTATTTCAGATGTCAAACTGTGGAAGAGGAGACTGAGGAAATGCGAAGGATTTTATGGCATACCCGGCTCTTCCAGTTCTCCCCACCCGATGGACGTATTCCTCGAGGTTTCTGGGGAAGTCATAGTTAAACACATGGGTGATGTCATGCACATCAAGCCCCCGGGATGCTAGATCAGTAGCAACCAGTATTCGCACTCTACCTGCCAAGAAAAAAAGTGCACAGCAATTGAACCGACTCCACAACCAGGACATCATACTTGTGTAGCACAAAAAAGCAGAAAATTACAATTAAATCCTAGAAATCTCATTTCAATTTATTTTTATAAAGCACCTTGCACAACAAGGTTGCCACAAGGCACAATCTAACTAGGAATAAAGAGCAAAATATCTATGAGTTATCCAATACTTTTCCATTGTTAATAAAGTATTATTTATTTAACTGTACAATTCAGCCCACTCAGTAAACTGATGTTCTCACATTTCAATGGATTTGTTTCTGACTTGGCTTAGATAAAAAGCAATTAAGACTCAGAAAGCACAAAAAAGTACAACTCGACAATAGAAAAGCAAGTCAGAGGCTGTATTTAATTCAAAGACTGAAGAACTTTAATGTCAGTGAAAACGTCCTAAAGAGGGCATACGAAAGCCTTCTCAAGGACATCCTGGCATTTAACATGACAGTTTGGTCTGGAAACCTGGAGTTGAAAAGCAAAGCAAAACTGTCCAGGACTGTGAAAACAGCAGGAAAAATACTTGGGAAACAGCAGGCCCCAGCTCAGCGATTTAGATCATAATACAGTTCTCAGAATGGCAAGGAGCATCCCAGCTGATTCCACACATCCTCTCCATTACCAGTTCATTATGCTCACATCGGGAAAATGGTATAGGGTACCAAATTCAAAGAAAACATCTATAAGAAGCTCTTCATCCCCTCTGCAATAAAACTGCTCAATGAATGTATGTAAATATAGTCCCCCCACTACCTATTTACACATTACCTACTGTTGTGATTTTCCTTGACTTACGTTTCACTTGTGTGTTTTGTACTTTTATGGGAGAAGACAAAGACAAATTTCCACGGTAGTGGATAATAAAAGTGTCTATCTAGACTTGAACAATTTCATTAGGAACTCACTCCAAAAATCAAAAGTAAACTGTTTGGGACAATTCTACATCTGTCTCCTAGTTACCTTTCTTAAAGTCATCCAGTGCTTGTTCTCTGTCACACTGGTCCCTGTCTCCATGTAGAGACTGCACCGGAATACCATGAAGACAAAGGTCACTTGACAAGTCATCAGCACTGTTAATGACACGAGGGTGACATGTTATACAAAAAAAATAAACCTTGGTTCCATTGCTTTTGGTAGAAATAAGTTTATTTTGTGCAAGTACCAAAAGAAGAGCATTCTTTCATTAAGAAATGTGTTATAGAATGCTGTGACACATCTTAGTAAATTGTATCATGAATTAGTGAGATGAGATAAATGCTTAAAATAATGTGAATACCACACTAAATATTTATTTTTGTCTAAATACAGACATGCACATTACATTTAAAAAAAAACTGCAGTGGTTTCAACCCCAGAAGTTAATATTTGTTTAACAAAATGTATTAAAAATGGTTCAGGGTTTAGTTAGTATGAGTGAAGTCAAAGCAAGCATTCACTGAATAGCTGCTGCTGCCTTTCAGGTTTCAGTAGGCATTGATCCTTTAAGGAGGAACACACCCATTTACCATAATTGATGCATTTTATGCCAGGCAGCCATACTATGCAACTTGTGTAATGTTGAAGGATCCATTAATGTGGCCATACAACACCATGAAAACAGCTGGAAAGCAGAAATCATATATTGCTGTTAAATAAGGAAACTGAAGTAAGGTCTATGCTATGGGAAGAGCTAAATATTAAGAATACTGTACTGACAGTGCCAGTTTTTCTGTTTTCAAAAGTTTTTAAAAATGCTGAAGTGAGAGTAGTTTTACAAAACTGAAACTTATAGCTCTAGGTTTCTATTTCTTTGGAAGAAACACTTGCCAAGTTTCATTTTCCCCCTTCAAGAAAGTCATTATATGTTTACTTACACAAACCTTGATAGTTGTGAGTGAAAAACCAAAACTAATCTCACACTACCTTTACCCCAGTTAAAGGCAAGCAATTAAAACCTGATTAAACATTGAATGAGAAAGATAACTCACATCAATACTCACAAAAAAACAGCATTAACAGGGGCACTTTTATTTACTTTGAATGAAAAAATAACAGTCCACTGGTAAAACCATGAAAATTGGATTTTTGCCAATCAAAGTATTTTCAATTTAGTGAAATAATAATTAAACTCTAAAGATGCCACTTTATGTAGTATTTAAGATTACAAAACTTTTAGAACAATTTGGGAGACCACCGAAACTCATGGAATAAAATGTGAAAACCTTAGGGATATACTGAATGCACATTCAATTACATAAACTAAAACACAGGCTTTACATTCTTGATATACCTATACACAAGATGATTTAGAGTGGATTTAATCGTATGGATTGAATAGTAATCGTATTGGCTTTATAATATACTGCACAGAGAAATGTATATACCACAGAGACAGAGATGGTATTGCTCAAATCAGATTCACAGAAAAATGGACAGGAATGTTGCTACATTACTGAAAAGATTTGAAAGACTAGCAACAGACCAATTTCCCCCAATTTTTAGAATTTGTTGTAATATTTGTAGCACCATTATTCAATGGTGCTGCCACAACTACGAAAGTGGATTACTATTAATCAAGTCTGTCAGAGCAAAGTAGTCTATTAGGCATCAATGTTTTAACTTGTTTTAGCTGGCACATGTGATTTTTAGACTTGGTGCAGTCTTTCCACTTGTTTTCAGAGCTGCATAAAAGTGGGGTTAATGCATCAAAGAATCAAGCAAAAATCAGGTAAAAAAAATAAATCAAAGCCTTGCTTTTCAGACTTCTAAGCAAAGGATTTCAAGACCAACTTACACTAGTTTTTTTCCAACAAAAATTAGGACTTTGTCTTCCGGTCCCATCTTTTGGATGAAATCAAAAACATAATCCTTCTTCTCCTCTTCTTGTACGATAAGAACAGCTTGTTCAACAGAGTTCACCGCCTTTAAAAAGGAATCGAGTGAGCTCAAACATTCAAAATCCTATAAACCAGCTGGAAATTTTTGCCATTTCAGGAAGTCAAATCATAACGGAAGTAATCACTTCAAAGAAAACAAAACATCAGGACGAACATTAATGCTTAGTAAAATATTCCACATTACACTAGTTCTATTGGACAGCTTCCATCACATCACTAAAGAAAAGCATCCGCACTCACGGCTAAATCCAGAGTTCCCACGTACACCATCATAGGGTCTTTGAGGTAGGACTTGGCAAGACGTCGCACACCAGCCGGCCAAGTAGCACTAAGGGACACAATGCCAAGTGATGCATTTTTCAAATAATCAGTATGGAAGACCATTCACAATAGTGAACACGGTCCCAATGACACATGCTCAAAGCAGACAAAATACCAATCAAGTGTGTTACTGTGTACACATTAAGTTACTGCGCTAAGTCAATTTGAAGCAATACTTTCAAGAATTGTGATAATGCCATCAATCGAGGTCACTTTGAAGGACCGGCCTCACTGCCAATTTCTCCCTAGGCTAACGGAACTCCACTTAGCTTAAAATGGACAACCTTAGCCTCACCTTGTCATTATAGTCTGTCTGTCTGGCCGGATGTCCAGGATAATCTTCATGATCTGAGGCTCAAAACCCATGTCCAGCATGCGATCTGCCTCATCTAAGACCTGAGAACAAAAGCACAAAAAGGACTGTTGGTGCATCTTGACAGGTCATACCTCATACAACACCACTGTCCAGTATTAGTTCCACAGTACATGTACAATCTTCATAAAAGATTCGAATTTCCGAAAAAAGATTTCATTGGAAAGTTAAAATAAGCTTTAACCAAACCTGAGATACAACAAAGACTAAACAGATAACGGCCTTATGAGTGACCTACTACAGACAATATGACCCCACCCCCCAAAAAAAATAAACACAGAAAAGTACAGTAAGGTTACAGATCATTTCTGGTTTTATAAATTAATGAACCACATGCATTTGTGCTTTTCACGCTGAAAATAAAAATTAGTTGTCAATGAGTGTTTTACTTACTCACTGAAAACTATTCTTGAGTAAAGAGTACTTTAAGTTACTTGGCAAAACCTCAATGTAGAACAGTAAATAAGATAATGTATTAATTAAAAAAAACAAAGTAAGAGAAAATCATTCATGATGAGGAAATGCCATACCAAGTATGTTATGCTCTTCAGATTTATATACGCATTCATCTGAAGGTCATTCAGTCTTCCCGGTGTTGCAATGATGATGTCCACTCCTTGTGTCACCATGTTTATCTGGGATTTTCGGTCTCCTCCTCCATAAATACAAATGCTAACAAAATTAAGAGTATGCATTACATATTAATGTGTAAAATCCAGCTGTACTTATAAACTTACAGCCCTCAAATGGTTTTCCAGAAATCTTAGTAATTTCTTGGAAAAGATTAGCAACACCGAGACAAATTAAGGAATGCCCGCAGAGCTCAGAGAAACAAGATGCTGAAGAGGACAACACCAGGGATTCTCACAAGTACAATTTCATTTCCAAGGAATGGAGGTGTAGTTACTTCTGGTTACAGTTACCATAGACCTGTACCATCTTTAGACTGAAGTCCTCAGTTGACAGAAGTGTTATAATAGGCATTTAGCTTCCAAAGTGCCTTCGCGTAGAAGATTTGAGAGATGTTTGGATTGGACAGGTAGGTTCTTGGTTCAGACAACACCAATGAAGTAGCTGCTCATGGAGCTCATCCACACCCTTATACATTTATGAAACAGCATGCTTTCCTTGCCATCAGTTGAAACACAGAATCAATACCTTGTGAAACCTTTGTAGGTGTATTTGGCACACTCGGCCTCGATCTGCAAAGCCAGCTCTCTGGTTGGAGTGAGAACCAGCATTCCAGGACCATCGCGTTTCTTCCTTGAACTTAAAAATACACGTTTTCCAAAGTCAGCATTAGTACAACATTTAGAATAACACAGGTGACTGCTCAGGCCAGCAGGAGAAAGCGACTTTTTTTTTTGTTATACTGGCAATGACATTGCGATACATTAGAATTTACACATTAGATTAAATTAGACAAATTATTTAATTTAATTAAATGACACATGAAATACATTAGATTACACTAACAAGATTAAGAGGGAATAAAATTCAAGCAAACTCCTAAAACACAAATTCCACTGTATTATGTAAGTGATACTGTATGCTATACTGTGTATTTACTTTTATAGTTCTTTGAAACTAAGAAATACAGCCAAGAGATGCACTTCAAAATAAGCCATTCCTGTTGTAAAAGTGATAAGGAAACAAAACGAATCAGACATGTTATTAGGTTTAAAAAAACACATACACAGGCTGCTGGTCCATATGGATGAAGCCAGGTAGAAGGTAAACCAGGGTTTTTCCAGTCCCAGTCTGGGCTATTGCAATTAAATCAATCCCCTTCAGTGCAACTGGCCATGCCTGTGACTGAGAGATTAACTTGGCTGATTATTTTACAGTACTAACGATCCACACAGCTAAATGAAACACTGAAATTGAGAAAAGATTCTATTAAAAAGTCATTTTAAAGGTTTTAAAAAGTACCAATGTAGTGAATATAATGATGAATTCCGTTTTACTATAACCAGTACCCAGATGCTAACTGAAGACCCTTGTGTGTTCACTGAATTCTAGAAAACACATATGTTTCCTCTGTTATGATTACTTTACAGAGATCTTTAAGATATTTTCTAAGCGAGAGATTATCCAAACTGTAACTCAATGTTTTGTTGTTAGTTTATATTTCATCAGGGGTATGAATGTGGATGTCATTGCATCTTTACATTTTGTTTTTCATTTTAAGACTTGGAATTGATACATTGTGAATGTAATTCTGAATATTTCCTATATAACATAAACAGTATTTAAGAATAAGGGAAAAAAGGTAAATGCTCAGTGAGGTCTGGATTACATTGAGTGATGATGTGCCTCAAGAAAACATGTTAGAAACCACCTTTACGTGATCTATTCATTACATACCTAATTACGTGAGGGAAAAATGTCAAAGTGTGCTATTTCACAATTTCATAATCTTAAGAAAAAAAAGTATGAGAATACCACCTAACAGAAAGCCAGAGTGTGAGATAAAGAATGTTTTAAAGATTTTAAAAACGCTTAAATTGTGCTAGGTGTATTTTAAACATTGCTTCTCAATGAAAGGTACAGTATCAGGCACCTTTATGGCAGGCTTTATTGTTGAAATTCCTGTTAACAGTGTTAAAGAGCGTTACCTGAATGGGTGTAGGCTTTTGGAATCCCACTTGGAGAATATTTTCCATGATTTCCGGATAATGGTGAAAAGCTTCCTCAAATGTTCTAACTGGATTTGGAATGGGACGCTTTTCTCCATCTTTCAAGTCATCGACATAAATATTGTTGTTCTCCTTTCTGTGAAGACGTAGTACAAGATATCAAACATACACTTGCCCTAATGAACAATCAACAGGAACATTGATGTTTTTTTTTAAATAAGGATTTTAAACATTTGTAATTAACTCCATCGTTCTCCAATGCTCATTAAGTGCTTCAGAAGAAAAATTTACTGGTTTGAAAATAATTCAGAATAACTACCTGATGTATTTTACACTAATTGTTCACAGTACTCCTGTGAAGGCATAACTTTGCCAACTTTATAACCCAACATTAGTGGACAAATGGATATGACAGTGTGAATGGTACAAGAAGCAGAAGCAAAACTTTCTAAGTCTGCATCCTGTATCACGGGTACAATAGCACTTAATAGCTTGAAGCAAAGTTCCCTTATCTTTTTACTCTTCCCGCTCTCCATTTGCAATGCTAACGACAATCGGGGGCTTTCCAACAATGGATCAATTCTAAAATTAAAATAAGTGCATAAAAATAATTCTGCTGGAACTAAATTTCTTCTCTGGTGTCCTAGTTTATTCAAATAACCTATTACAACAGTAGAGTGTATATCTTGTCAAGATTTATATGAATTCTAAAGAATGATGCTCCAATTCTAAACAAAGCAAGATATCTTTGCTCATCTTTGCTAGAATGGAAGGGAGCTTCCACGAAACTTGTATATAACCAAATTAACTTTATGCCAATTAACAAAATTGACATTCTACTGCAGAGCAAGTGGCCTGATTGACGTCTGTCTGCATGAAATACTGAAAAATACACAAATACGCTTACTGAGCAATTTGAATTCTATGTCCCAATGACTCATGCTCTAGTTCAGTCAAGTGGAATTCCCCCCCTTCCACCTCAGCATTATGGGAAGTTACAAAAGCACAAGTGAAGTGAGGACAATCAGTTTATACAGACACAACACACAAGAGTGTGTTTCAAATTTACTGCTCAGCTTGTTTAAACAAGGGGGGGGATTCCATCACCGCCAACACAAAACCTCACTTCATTTTGTCAGCTAACTTAGATTTAGAGAATCCCTCACTTAACATTTAACAGCTGTTTAAATGACAAATTAAGGCTAATTAAATGCAAATATCCAGGGGTCATTCCAAAAATGTAAATGCGTTTAGGACACCTGAATTCACTACACTGACTGGAGATGGAAAGAGTAGATGAGTTGGACGTCAAATGGAAGTGATCCTGCGCAAGACACCAAAACCATCTTTACCTCCACTTTTCCACTTCTTCTGCTGTAAGATTAGTTACACTCTCTGCCTCAATGTAGAACTCCTTTTTTACTGGCGGGAGATCTTTAATGGGAAAAATACAGTATAGCTGAAAAATATTAATCCAGCATCCTCTTAGCCCTCCTACAATAATCTACAGGTAAAATGTTGATTACTTTATAATTTAATACTTACATAATGGGTCAAGTCTGAAGTGAAACCATAATGCTTTGCTTTTATGCAATCATAAATCCAATTAAAACATTCGAAGGCTTAATATAAAAGCCTTTTCTTCAAGGTGAAATTTATAAACCTTAAGCTTTCAATTGATTTTATTATAAGATCGTTGCTGCAAAATATCTTCTATCCTAGTCATAATACTTTCTGCACATTAGCCAATGTAATGGTCACAACAGACCTTACAACAGAAGAAACTACAGCTATGAGGAGTAAAACAAAACTTACTTTCCCACTTCATCGCTTCATATCTATGACGGTTTTCTCTCAAAGAAACCCAGTCTATTGGCGGTGCTGCTGAAACCTCTGTAGACTGCACTGCTGCTTTACTCCAGCACAACTCCTTTCTTCCACTATTACAGGTGTCCCTGGAGCCTTAACAAAAAACCAACTCATTTAGTGAAGGCAAGAGGTTCTAACATAATACCTTGCCTCCTGTACGTGTCTCTAACCCACCATGGTCAAAACTGTAAGAAAACTTTCTACATCAGTCACCTCTTCTGTAGCGCGAGCCATCTTCCGAATTCTCGGACAAGAGCTCATCAATCAGCTCTTTGGCTTTCTGTTGAGCATCACCTCTTCCATAGATCTGCACCTCACCTTGGTATTCTCCTCTATTTACCTGTGCAAAAGGTAGAGACAAGTATTTTGCTTGGATCTCAAATAATATGACTTGTTCTGGGGGGGGGGGGGCAGAATGTTTTTTGGGGAGTGATAAGAAGGAAAAAATATATTTTTTTGCACCAGATTCCACAGCATTATTGGTATCAAGTAAGATGAATCCAGAACTTGGGTTGGCAGCAGGCACTTTAGCCCTTTCTGAATATGGATTATATGGATTTTCTAACCATAAAATCAGACATGCCAAACTTCCTGAAAGGTCCATCTTTTTCTTAATTATGCCCCCTTTTTCTTTTTACATTAGGAGTTTCTCATTACCACGTGATCGCAAAGCTCAGTTAGCTCTCACTCCACCGGTAACTTCCTTATTAGACATTTTGAAGGGGTGACAGCAACAATATTTCTGCATGTGCTTGCAGAATTACTTTACTGTGGTCCAGGAAAATTAAAATCCTAGATCCAGTTTCACTTGGGTGTTTTTCAAACATCAAGCAATTTTCCTACAACTCTAAGCACAAACTCTTTGACAAAACAATTTTTTTACAACAATCACAGGAAACTGGACAAATGCCATGAACCTCCAGGAATGGAGAACCAATGTGTACCGAAGTTTCTGCATGTGATGAAAGATCACTTGCTTTGAACGACAACTTGGTTAGTGACATCATCATAGTATGCATCATCATGCTGCATAACCTCAGTATACCACAGCAGCACATCCAATAGTGTATTGTAATGAAACTTCAGCAACCAGTGATAGCAAATAAGTTGCAGTCATGCAGAATAAAAAGACCATAATGGTCTCATATATTCCACATGAATGTCATTTTCTCAGCAGTGCAGTGGTTAGCATTGCTGCATCCTAGTGCTGAAGTTCTGGGTTCAACCTGGACCTGACCTGTTATCTCAAAGGAGTTTGTATGTTCTCCCCATGTTCAAATGGGTTTCCATCTACAGTCCAGAAACATACAGGTAGGTTAAATGGGTTCAGGGACAATTGGCCCTCATGTGCCCTGTAACGGACTGGTATCCCTTCCTTGTGCCCACTGGACAGGCTCTTTCTCTGTCCCCCGAGGAAGCACTCAGAAAATGAATGGATGACAGCAATCTGCAGAACAGCACATACCTATGAATCACACTGCAGCTTGCTCATCAGATTACTAGGTTACTTTCCAAACTGTGAGTCAGGACAAATCTTTCTAAGCAGCTAAACAACACTTTTTGAAACAAGATCTATTAACCTACTTCAATCTACAAGCAATGTAATGTTTTGCGTGTATATTGTAATAGATGGTTGTTTTGAGCTTGTAACAGTGAAAACACGGTATATTAATAGGTTATTCCCGCATGTCTTCGCTGGAAATACACTGCTACGGCACTGATGAACAGTACTTTTTAGTAATACCATGGATCTACTCAGTGATAAACGTACTGGTCTTCCCAAAGGTTGGATTCTTTTAATTCGTAAAGGGTGTAATTATCAATGGATAATAAAAATAAAATCCACTTCCACGTTACCTTTATTCTTGTTCCGGTAGTTTCTTGTAGTTCACGGATTTTCATACCCCCTCGGCCTGTTTTGAAAGACAGTTTTACCTAAAGATCACGAAAGGCGCTTAAAAATATATGGCGTACCTGAAAGACACTCATTGCCCCATGGGATGCTTCCATAATTTAAGGGGAGAAAAGCACAAAACAACAACACTATGGACCGTACCTATTACTCTCCCGATTGCCGAGTTTTCAATTGTAAAGGTCAAGGCTGCAGTCGATTGCGATTTACTTCTCTCCCCAAATCGAGATCCGGCTCTGTTCGCACCGTCGCTGGAGCTCTGCCAACTTGGCTGCCACTGGAGCTCAACTCGCTCCCCTCTTCCATGTGGCTTTGGTGGACCCCATCCCTCTTTTCTCTCAAAACGACTGTTTTTCCAGGATTGTACCGGCTTCCATTCCCGCTTCTCAGCTTTAATTACACGTTGTGTCTCGTCATCGTCCGCTTCCCAATCCGACATTGCGGGTGCTACCTGAATATACCACTCCTCTACAGGTTTGCAAGCACGAAAATCCCCCCTTCCGCTTTACCTTTATTGCAGATTACACTCTTTTTCGGCTCATTACTGCCACCTACAGAGGTGGAGTAAAAAGTGCAACCACTAAAGTATATGTTCAGTTCAACGAGGTGAGTTAATCTAACACACAATAGAACGATTTTTTTTAATTTTTCAGGAATTGTTGCTATTTGAAGTAATTGATGTTGCTAAGAGTTCATCAGGAACAAAAACAAGCTGGTCTCTATTCCAATAGTTTTGTATCGTCATCGTCTGTTTCCCAATCTGACATTTTGGGTACTATGTGAATATTGTAACGCAACGGGGGCTCAGTCGGGCGCCCTTGCCGCATTAGGTCGGCCCCATCCCGACTGGAGGCTCGAACCCGGGACTCCCGCGTCTCTCTGAGCTAAAGAGAGATCTCTCTACAGCCCAGTAGCTGTAGTCCTGCTATCACAGGGAAGGGCGGTGACATCACCTGCTCTGTTACGCCGGCTCTTACACAGTGCCCGTCGGCCGTAAGCGTTACAATATTACGCTCTTTTACAGGTTTTCAAGCACGAAATAAGCCCTTTCCTCTTTCGCCTTTTTAACAGATTGCACTTCTTTTCAGCGTATCACTGCCATCTACTGTCTCGGAATAGAAAGTCCCATAACTAATGTCCAGATTTATACCCATGCAACATATGCATATCTACATATCTCTGTACATATCATATACAGAGAGACTTTCTGTAAGAACTCCATTGTACCAGTACATGTACCGGTTACATATGACAATAAAGTTCAAGTTCATATCATCACATATTGTGTGATTGTAAGAGGGTGGTTCAAGTAAGATCATTAAACTACATCACTGTGGATAAAGGCATAAGACAGGTTCCCAATAAGTGGAGGTCAATCAGCCATTTTGTATGGCTCTATTGCTCTGTAGTGACAATGTTGTCACTTTATGGTTTCTGGCATCAAATCCCTCTGTGTGAAGTTATCATTTTCACTAGGTTCTTTGATTTCCTCCCATAGTTGAAAAACCCATTGTCAAAATCATTAGCATTGTTAATTTGCCCCCTATATACAGTACATTTCATATATGTGTCTACGTAGGAGAGAATGTGTACCCGTTTGTGCCCTGCAACAAACTGTCCCATGACAGGCCCATGACATGGCCCTGTTAGCTGAAAGAGGTATAAAATGTTAGACATTTTGGTTGTGTCTATAAGAAGAGGGAGGTAACAGGTCTCCTGGTTTTACTAAAATATAAACAATATAATGTCATCTCTTAAACGGATCTAAGATCTTGTTGAAATCTCACTTATTTCAGATTATACACTTGTACTAATGCCAGAAGATAATTTCTGAAAAATCCTTTATAAACTTCTCATACATTTTTCCTTACTACTGTTTAAAATACTACTACAGCTTTACAGGTAATGGTGACTCCCCTTCACCAACACCCATGTGTAGCCCTTATCCGGATGATTGCTGAAAAGGATAAAAGTGCTCTGTCCTCACACCACTAAATAAGAGACAACAACATCCATTTCAAAGCACCATGGCAGAGCCTTTTACTTGTTGAACACAACCATCATCTTTGAAGACATTGTTGGGTAGTTTGTTCCAGACTCACAATCAATGGTGTAAAAAGTGAACTGTACAAAAGACCAAACTCATACTGAACACTGATCACAGTTAGATTATAACTTTGTCCCATCTTGCCATTATTAGAAGCAAGCTCTACCTTTCCAGGCCTCCAGGGGTACTGTACCTCTTCTTGCCCAGTGGGACCTCACCATCAGGGTATGTCATTTAGAGATGGTGATGAGTGTTTTTAATTAAAAACATAAGTGACACAAGTGTACTTTTATGTCATCCATGTCATCCTCACCTATGGTCCTTAACTTTAGATAATGACCAAAAGAGCACGACTGTGGATACAAGTGATGGAAATCAGGTCTCATTGCAAGATTCCAGCTGTTTGGGAGAGCCTCTGAGTACAGCTGCTTCTTCTTTACTGTTCTGGAATAAGAAGAGCCAGTTAAGGTGATAAGGACACCCTTGGGAGACTTTCAATGGAGCTTTACTGGACAGATCCCACTGGCCAACCTAGGACATGCTAGAGGGGTTACTCCCCTGGGCTGGTCTGGGAACACTTAGGAGTCCCCTAAGAGGGGGTGGAATCAGTTGCCAAGAAGATGTTGCTCAGTCCTCCCTTTCTGATGCCGTGACCCACACCAGGAAAAGCAGACTGAACATGAATGAACGAGGAGTGCCCAATTACCCATCCATGTAGACGGCTGAAGAACTGCTCCACTGCATTTGTACATGTGCTGTGTTCTTTTCTAACTCAAAGCAACAATATGTCAAATAACAGATTTGCTCATTTTATTTACACATCTTCCCTTGTTATTTTATTACCTGAGGAAAACATTGAGGGTTTTGTAAAAGGGAACCTTTCAAAGTTATAGGTTTATTAACCCTCATAAGTATTCATTGGCATTGCCTTCTCTTAGTCTTCACAAGAAAATATGAAACCATTAGAAAATTTGGTTATACTGTATATTTTGTTCTTTTTTTGTTATTTGTTTTAGGAAATAACACACAACAAAATGAAAACATACATCTTGCTTTCCTGGTTTATTGAAGTATGAGAAAAAAGTTAAATTGAGCAGTTTTTTAAACTACAGTTTATGTAACCTCTGTTATGTGCACATAATTTGTTGAAATAAATTAGATACATGAAACAGAACTTTAAAATTCTCAAGCATGTAAGTTAAGGCCAGTTTTGTGAAATAATTTACCAGTGAAATAATTTTTCTAAAAAATGTATCCATGTCTGACATGGCATTTGGGGATGGCAGCAAGAAAAAAATAAAAGCAAACTGATGTTTATTTCTTATCACAGCTTCAGATACCAACTTTTCACCCCACATTTGAAGTCAAAAAGCAAATGTTTAATAGTTTGAGTAAAAAAAATAATATGCAAGAAAGGCACCATAAAAGCATATTTGATTAAGGAAGGGAGAAGAAAACATTAAAAACGGTATAGTTTATGTATACTTTATACAATACTTTAGTTTTACACACTGTGTTTGGCTAAATGCAGACATTCATTATAATCTGGATCCTTGATCGTTTTAATGAGTCACTTGTGCCAAATGAGTATTGTTTTGGAGGTTTTAAAAATGTAGTTTTCTTTGACACTTTAAGGAGTCTGACATTTATGTCTGTTATACACAGCCCATAGCATTACAAAAGGGATGTGCACTGGCATTTCTCAACAAATTGTGCTTCAATACACCTCTCTAGGTTCCAATAAGTGGCTTTTTCAAAGCATCGTCTATATTACACTACTATCCAGTACTTGTACCTCTCATACATATTAATATGCTGTAATTCTATATACATTCTACAGTATGATGTTAACTAACATAAGCTGTTGTATAATGTTCAAAAATACAACTTGGGAAAAAGGCTATCACTTTTCTGAGCACTTAAGATGGATTTAAGACTACAGTATCTTCCTGTCCAAAGGGTGTCACCACTATTTAAAAGGTACAGTATGTACATTTTGTATTAAAAGCATTTTCTTGAGAACAATGAATCAGTGGTAAACATCACTGACTCATAAAAAAGCATAAAAAAGACATTCAGAATATGAATATTAGTTGCAACAGCAGATAAATTATGACCTTGTGTGTTTTCTACGTAGCAGCCAAACCATGATTTTCTACTTTTTCCTCAGTACCTTTCTAGCAGCTGTATATTTATTGAACTGTAAACATAAAAGATTCTTTCTTATTGTAACTTTCAGCCGTGGAGTAAGAAAAAATATTTAAATTGGCACATATGGAGAACAGCAGGCTAATAGATTGTGTATTTTAATGTGGTATGTAATCCTGTCCCCATAAGTATACTGTAATCGTAATAGCTACATTAACACTACAATATGCATCCTACTGTTTTGTCCTATAGACTCTTGTCAAGGCACTGCCATTTTTAAAAGGTCTTCCAATACATTTATCCTACCAGCGCATGATTCAAAATGGATTCTCACACGGATATTTACAGGCTACTTTTTCTGCTTAGTACAGCAGCAGAAAATCATGAATATTTCTATAATTATACCAAATGCCTTAATTTCTTCCATAGAAATTGAATCCATTTAATGCATTAAACACTAAAATAGTTACAATTTGGCTAAAGAGTTAAGATACAGAGGTGATGATCTCCGGGAGCTGTTTACCTGCTATCACCCATGTGATTTGTTTATATTTCATTATATTTTAACCAATAGAGAAAAAGACAGAAAATTTAATCTGAACTGTTGCATATCACTAATTGCAGCAGTGAACATAAAACCAATTAAATAAGTAAGATTTGGCAGATCCTTGGTGCTTTAGCTGGACATATAATGCCTACGTTTCTATGCAATCTTGCTAAATGAAAGGGCTTGATGTGTTCATACTATCAATTAAATGTACTGTAAAATCTAAACATGCTCTGGTCATGCAGTTAGAGATCACGGGCTCATACCACTGCCTTTCGGATTCTTTCCAGATCTTACAAGATTTGTTCCGATTTCCATTTGTTTGTCATTTTGCCTTTTATGCTCTCTCTTTTTTAGAATAGTCCATGCAATGATATGTATGGTTAAAGGAAGTACTACATGTACAAATAAAAGTGGGTGATGCTATTTTAGACGGACATGAGGCAAGCTGAGGGATTCAGAACTGTCCCCAGTTTTGCTGATGCTTTGAGATGATCCTCCTATTCCAGTCCTTGTAAAGTCTTCAGAGAAAACGGTCTCCACTGTTGGCTGAGAGAGAAGATCAAAGCTCTCGGATTCAGCTCCAGCATCCAGATCCTTGTCTGTTATAAACAGCCTGGGCTCCTTCCAGTCAGAGCACATCTCCTGGCTCACCTGGGAGCCATTTGAGTCACTACTAGAAAGGCGAGTGTTGAGTTCATCTGTGGACTGCATCAGGTTTTGAACAGAAAGGGATTTCCCTAGGCCTCTGTCTGTTGCAGTGGGCACTGATACCAAGGGTTCTGTCTCCAGGCTCAGGTGCCTTCTCCAAGAGCCCTCTTCCTTTGCATTAGGCTTTGTCACCTGTCTGCTTTCTTTCGAAGCAACAAGGCAGGCAGTGACATCACCAGCAGACTCCTGGGTCGTGACTGGAATCATGCTTACAGGTCTGTTGATCTGCTTAAGGGGAAGCAGAGAGGGTATCTGCAATGATGTTGGCGCTGCTGGCTTGGACATTTCAGCCAACTGACTTGACAAGTTATTGGGCGTCAAAATTGGTACTGTTCCCTCATTCTGACTCATTGGCACCTGTGTGGGTAAGCTGTGCATAGTTGGTGAGAAAGAATAGTATGGTGCATTGTTCAGCTCATTTGGTGTCAGTATCAGCTGCAGGCCTCGTGGCATGTTGGCACTGGTAGATCTGGAGACACATCTGCTTATCTGTGCAGAGCCTGATGATGCATCCTTGCTTGCAATAGAGCTCTGATAATCAGAGGTCTGATCCAGCTCAAAGAGGGGCAGAGAGGCAAGAGTCAGTGCTGAGGAAGAGCCTTTGCTTAAAACTTGCCTATAGATATCCAGCAAGGAGTCCAGCTTCGTTTCTATAGATTGTACCTGTAAAGGAAATTGAACAAAAAGAAATCACAAATACAACTTCTGTCAATATGCAGTGAATTGAAGTAGCTTAGCTGTGCACAAATTGGCCATCTTACCTGTTTTTCCACTTTACACACTCGTCCCAGCATGCTGAGGTCTTCATTAGCTTCACTCTCCGGGAGAACTTTCTCTTTAGTTTTCTTATCAGCTGGTATTTGTCCTTTTCCTAGAATTTGGTCAACTCTGCAACAAAGACGGCAGATATTAAGGGGGTGAAAAGGTTCTGAAGAATAGCTTACTCAAAGCACCCACCACCACAGGACACGCAAAAATCTGGCAAATAAGCAAAGGACAACAAAAGCAGTAAGCATCTTTAATCTAGTCATTAGTTTTATAAAACAAATGATTCCAAGAAGGCAAGCATCTAGGAACTAAATCTGGAGTACTCGGATTTTCTTCAAAAAGATATATCCTAATACACTCCACTAAATTGTTATTGAAGATAAAATAACTATTTTGTGTAATATGCTATGGTATAATTTTATAATTAGCCATTGTCAGATTTGCTTGGCTTAAAAGCAAGGTTTTAATAATTCAGGTGGGTTGCTGCGTCAGCATGCGTAGGCTGCAAAGGAACAAGTAATAGGTTTATTCCATGCTGAAAAAAAAGAAGAAAGAGAACACAACGTTTCGGCCATGGAGCCTTCTTCAGGTGAGCCTTCTTCCACACCTGAAGAAGGCTCCACGGCCAAAACATTGTGTTCTCTTTCTTCTTTTTTTTAGCATGGAATAAACCTATTACTTGTAAGGTTTTAATAAGGCACACAATGCACTTTTCTTAGGAAACATCTACTAAGCTACTGAGAAAAATAAAAAAGTCAAAACCCTTTTTAAGGTTTGCAGCCTTATGTTATTGACTATTTCTGTTCAGATACTTTTGTACACAGAGTTTAAAAGTGATTTATACAGTTTATGCTGGGATGTGACACAGTTGCTATATGATACATGCAGGAAATTATTATTTGATGCAGAAATCACAAGGAAAAAAGATTTTGATTCCCTGATAAAAGAAAATATGAAAGTATGTTTTTCTAAAACAGGGGTTCCCAGTTCTGTTCCTTGTGTTCCACACACCTGCTGTTTTGTTCTTCCAGCTGTGCATTCACTGAAACTTTTATTATACCACAATATTAATAATAAGATTAATTTTTACTCTTGAAATATTTTCAGTTCTTAACCATGTTGGACCATTTTAACAATTTTAAGCAGAAAATAACTAGCAAAGGCTCTAATCAAGCAATTTGTTTTAGCCCAATTGTTCAATTAAGTAATGAGTTTGGCTAGAAATGAGAACCAGCAGGCGAGAGTGTCCCCAGGGCAGGTACTAGGAACCCCTGCTCTAACATCCCCAGTTTAACACTGCAGTTTCACAGTAAGGTGCCTAACCCTGGTGTGGACTGCTTTTTGCCATGTTGACTGTAATATAAGTGCAGAGAGGGGGAAGAAAAGGTCTTGACTTTGGTGGCCAGTTGCTGCTGTGGACCTACAATGGTGTCCAACCTGTGCAAAAGAGGGTAAATTAAACAGGAATAAAAAAACATAGGTACATTAGAGTATCCATTTAGGTTATTAGGAGAAGAAACAAGAAGCCATGGGTAATGTAGTTTACCTCTGACAAGTATATATCTTCATTTGTTAGGCATACCACAACAAGGCTGTTATATAGTGGTAGACAAGTAAAAAGTCATTTTCATCCTGAACAGTAATTTAGTTATTTCACGCCAAAACCAATAAAACAAAGATGCAATAAAAAACTGAAATAAAGAAACACATTATTAAGTATCAAATTTGGACCCTTATCAGTTGAAAATGATTTTTGTTATTTATGATAAAGTCTTAAGAAATTGAAATTTCTGCTCTATGAATCTTCAGGAAAGGTCTGTCTATCTTAAGCTGTCTGGTGACACAGAGTCTCCAGTTTTTAATCACGTGGCCTCTAACTTACAAAACAAAACCTGTTATTAAAAGTCACTACTGCCTTTGGTGATTTAAAGATATCATCTAGTAGAAATCTTTGGTTGTCCAGAACTAGGGATGTTTTCCCTGCTTTAAACCATATTTGTTATGTCAGACAGTCGCAATTTAACAGCTGAAGATGAGAAAATCAAATAGTGCCACTCACCGCGTCTGGAGGCTCTTGATTCTACACAGCATATCCAGATGACCAGCTGAATACTGTTCAATTACATCTTTTACATCATACGGTCGCAAAGTCTCCTTGAATTTTCTCTTTGCCACATGAAACTTCATAATTCTGTCAAGGAATATAGAAACTATGTAGATGAAAATGGCAAAGCTGACAACAGCCAAAGAATTCCAAAAAGAGAAATCAGATTGTAGCACACGAAAGTCAACGCCACCTTTTCTCTATCTGTGACATTTGTAGTGAACAACTATAGATGCTGTAAAAGAAAATTGAATATTTTGTATGTTCTGGACTTTGAGGCAAGGCATAAAAGAATGAATTGCGATGCCAACCTTATCCACTAGATGACGATGAACTCTTGATAGTCTCTATAGCTAGAGAGTATCGAGCGTTTATAACCCTCTAGTGTCTAGGATTGGCATCGCAGGAGTTTCATTCTCCTGCCACCTTACAAAAACATTTATATCCTATAATATTTAACCTGAAGAAGGCTCCACGGCCGAAACGTTGTGTTCTCTTTCTTCTTTTTGTCAGTTTTTACTTTTTTTCAAATTAAAAGGATGGTTTATAAGAAAGAAAATAACCACCATATGCAGTGCTTTTCCATCAATTTGGCAAATATTATAAAACATAAATAAGAAACACGGAATCAAAATATTATACGTTTGCTTCCGTATCCCTTTTCAAACACAGAAACGAATACACACCAGTTGTGGATGCAAACATCACTTGAACTTAACATTCTGACCAGGCAAATATCATACTCTCTAAAATTGTCTCCTAGCTATTACCTCTCAGATATGCTTTTTGAAGATGTGATACTCCAAGATCACACACACTTTACCTACACAGATTGTGTTTTAGCCCCAGAGCTTATATTTATGTTGTTATTTTTAGGAAGGCGATACCTTTGGAATGTGTTGTTTGGGGAATTCAGAACGGAAAGGTCTGGGTTTCGCAGCGTAATGAGAGACATGCCCGACTGCAGCAAGTTGGCCGCAGATCTTTCCGAAACAACTGATCGCTGTTCTCTGTGGGAACTTCAGGCATCTGCGCGCAGTATTATTACTGCTTGGTGTAATACAATACTACAGCAAACATTGATTAGTTACGAGCTGTTTCCGCAGCATGATGTACATTATGTTAACCGTATTACAAGATAAACAGTTCAAAAGGAAACCTTTCATAATTTGTAATATTAATATATTTGAAATGAACACAGTTAGATGCACCTTTAAGCACATCTGTGTATCTGTATTTACTCCATATGAATAAATGTAGTAAAAATTTGCATTTAAAAAATGGTGAACTCTCATATATGGTGATGTATGGCAGCAATTAATGCTATAGCCACTAGAAGGCACAAGATAATAAAAAGTAAACAAAAACAGATTCTTATAATGATGTTGAAGAATAATATATATTAGTGATATAGTAAGAAAGAAAGTAATATCTGAAAAGACTAGTAAAAGTGGTAAGCGTTATGGCTGGTTTTTGTAGTAGTGCATACAGCAAGAGCTTATAAATACATGTTGATACAGGTTAATATAACCTCACCAAATTATCAAAGCCAAAATTGATATTAAATGGGTATTTAAATAATTATAAAGTTGTAATGTCTTGTTACCATTTAAATATACCAGGCACAAAATTGAGGCAGAAAAAAACTTCAAAGAGGCCTCATGCCAGGTTCTATTCTGTTAAGAAAGTGGAAAGGTACTCAGACATGGAGCAAACAGTAAATAGTTCATGCAGAAAGTGTGAATATAAGCATTTCTCTGCCAAGCTGATTTAAAAAAAGGACTTGACCCAAAAAAGGTGTCATGTTCTGGAATGTAGAGCAGAACTATAAAGAGCGTTCAACAGTTCGTCAGAGGGAGAGCTGAGCCTCATGTTCAGGAACAATGTCATTTTGGCAACATTAATTAAATGATGGAATTCCAACAACTAATAAAAGCGAGAAGTGAGAGTCGTTTTCTTTACCTCATATAAACGCAAAGAACCAATAGCATGATAATACAGCAGACACCAATCGCACACTTCTTCCCTTACGCGAAGGGAAAGGAATGTGCAACAAATAAATGAAGGTTTAAGTGGACCAGATATGAACATTATTCACTGTCAAGGGGGGTACTCTGTTGACAGGCGGCTGTGATGTCTATACAGAACTGACCTGTGTATGACAAAGGTTGGAAAGTACAGTAATGGGCACCAAGTGAACAGCTGACCACCTGTTTAACTCCATGCAGGGGGGGTCTAGGTTTGTGCATTTTCATGGTTATTCTTAGCTGTACTGATGATTTGTTTTGGTAAATAACTCCTTCTCGTGACCCCTGTGCAGATCTTGGGTAAATTAGAAGGTTTATCAAATTTTCACTTTGGTAAAGAAGTTATATAAATTCCTGAACCTACTGTATTGTAAAGATCCATGCAGTAGTCTTCTGCAACTTCAGAGTGGCACTTAATCATAAAGGCCTCATGATATCTGGGCTGAGGATAGCTACAGGTAAATTATAAATGGTAATGTTTTTTCTGGATATTTCATGATAATCTCCATTCACTGTCTTTGAACAAAACTAGGGTCATTTTACTGTTTTTTTTTTGTAAATTAAGTAAAGATTTCTGATCATTAAATTGTACTGAACTTTCAGCAGTAGGATTTTACTCTGATGTCCAGATTCTAGTCCATGTTTTGTCAGATTACTCTTTAACTTCTGATCTTCTGTCTTGTACTCTCAATAGTCCATGTTAAAAGAAGGGATGTTATTTGTTACCACAGATATTTGGTGACAAAATGACAGCAAAAGACAAGTAAATAAGAATTGTTGCAGTAAGCAAATGAGCTCTCTGTATTACCACGCAGCTGCCTGTCTCCCCCACCTTTTCACTCACCTGACAGCTCTAATGACAGTTTTGAGAGCTGGAGTGAGATCCTCCACAGACACATCACAATGACACCCTTTCTCATCAAATCCGTCATCTGTTCCGAGATTGGTGTCAGCTGGAAGATAAATTGGGATTTTAGCTCAGTGACATCATTTGAGAAGGTGTTGAACACACTGCCTGACTGTTGTTAAGGCAATTCCGTGAAAACAAAGTCACAGTCCTATGTCTCGATCTCTCCTTGGTTCTCATTTGACTCTGACAGGTTAGCTTAAGTGCTTCTACATACAGTGTATATATATATAAAAAAATTCTAAGTGTGTTATTTCACTTTCAGCTTTTTCCAAAACAAACAAAGTCTTGAATAAAGAAGACTTGAAAGGAACCTTATTCAAGTATACAGATTCCTCAAAAGAACCGATGAAGTCAAACCACAGCACTTCAGACTCAACAGTAAAACATGAACCAGAGGGACAAGTGGAATCTACAGGGAAGGGCATTTATAGAACTGAGAACAGGAGGTACTTTTTATATATTTTAGGGGTTGTAGGAGTCTGGAAGAAGCTACCTAGCCAAGCTGTCAAAGCCCATTGTCTGGTTTCTGTCAGAAAACATCTGTTTAAGATCTTATGATCACTAAGATTATAGTTACCAAAGGAGCTACAGTAGGTAGCCAAATGGCCTTCTTTTTTGTAACTGTTCTTATCAGCTTAGGCTACTTCATGACGACATCTTTTCAAACTAACAACCTGTCAATTTTGCCCCTAGACACTTGGTGTGTTATAAGTCCCATTATGAATTTCTACATTAAAAGGCAGAAGAACAGTTGATAAGTATTATTCCATCTGTGACTCATTTGCCCGAAAGAAACAAATATGTCCTAGTTTGCTTCTGTAATGATATTTGCAGTCATCTTTGCCTTAAAAAGTAGCTTGAAGCCTCTTTGACAATGTCTGGACACCTAGTGCCTCCTATGTAAGGATGCAAAAGAAAAATATATTATGGCAAATCTCCCCAAAACAAGGAGCTATCTTTGCATTTATTTTACAGTTCAATTGGTTGTGTGTGGCTGGGGAAAGAAAGTAATGTAACACAACAGATGTTAAAAGGCACTTGCAATACTTACCACTTAGTTAACCACTCATTAATGAAGAGTAAGAGTGTTACTTAACATACTGTACCAGGCCTGTATATTAAGCATTTGGACACCAAAGAGTGAATAATAAATAAGAGCTAATATAGCTATATTACTAACAACTGACAAGGAGTAACTGAATAAGACAACTTTTTAAAACTGCAGTAGATAATGGTACACATTGGATAGAGGTTACATGTTGAGATGTAGAGTTAAGCATTTTCCACAGCTTTATTGCCATGGGTAAAATCTGTAAGCAATTTGAAAGAAAACGGGTCCTTAGAGGCTTGTCTGCTTTAACTACTACATAAATCTTGTTTTGTGGCTGCCATTTTCATAGGTTACTTATAGACTTTATAACCCCTAAAGCAACATTTGATGCTGCAGGGGACAAAAGTTATCTCTAAAAAGCTTGCTGATAACAGCAGAAGTTTTTGAAACACAACTTTTTTGTAGTAGACTCAGAATGTTAATAAGAAGTCTATTCTTAAATAATGAGCAACAGAATTTATATTATATCTTAGGTATACAGGAATGCTCTATTTTTCTGTACTGGAAATGGATTCATGTTAAAACATAACACTCACCACAGTAAACCACCAATGTACAAACAGCCTTAATATTTTTAGTGAAACAAGATTCTGTTGTGAAAATCAAAGACTCCAAAGGGAAATGTGACATTAGCAATATCAACCAATAAATGTATCCATAAGGCACTATTAACCTATAGTTAATTAAGTGCTGAATCTTTTACATTTCCCTGTAAATGTTACACCATCATATTCATATTGTGCATTTCCTGCCCGTATTTGAAATAAATGGTAATTTTTTTCTCCTGTAAAATGATGTTTAATTGGACTACACCTGCCACAGAAGTTGAACAGTTTTCCTTAATTAAATGCATCACAGTGTTCAGTAATACAAACCTATTTTATTTAAAATAGGTTGGAAACAAATGTGAAAAAGCTGTTTAATTTTTATGTTGAATTTCTTATTTTTTCATGAAACCAGGGATGGTGATAATTTGTCCATCCATTATCATAAAGCAGTTTAACCCTGGTAAGGGTCATGGCTATCATATTCATATTGTGCACCACATCCAAAGCCTGTCCTAGAAGCATATGGGGAACGGCATGACTACATCCTATGTGGAATCCCAGTCCATTGCAGGGTACACACACACATTTTCTGCATGTGTCCAGCAGGTGAAAGGAAATCAGAATATCCAGAGAAAAATCAGGTGGAGCCAAGGATACTACAGAGAAGGCATCACTCTCCATAATAGAACCCAGGACTAAGAAGCACTCTCTGCCAAGCCACTGTGGCCACTCAGTGATAATTCAGTTAAGAATAAATAAATGTTGAGAAAAACACTTGAAACTATACAATGTTAACTGATGTACTGAAGATGTCTGTTTGAATTTATTCTCCTATCAGAGCTTCAAAGAAACACGCGAAACCTGGGTGAAATACAGCACATAAAAATACACAAAAAATAAGTTAAAGGAATTGCATCAGTTATTGTCATGCAGAATAGAAATATTCTGTGCTTAAAAATAAAAATATAATGATCATATAGCACTTTCTCTGTTGTGCTAAAGCAACTTCCACAGAGGAATTTATTTTTGTGACAGTGGTTTTGTTGGTGGTAAAGTTTAATTTATTCCAGTGAGTTATCATCCAACTTTGTTTGTCATTTATCCTTCAGTGCAAATGATCAAACTACAAAACCAAAAGAAAATGAAAGAAAAAAACAATTTGACAGAGCATGAAGACCAATTTATACTTTAAGAAATGTAACTCTTGTGTCCATAATTCTTAAAAGAAGGATGCATGTTAGCTTAATTCATCCTGTTCGATTTCATCAAGTACGCCTGATTAACTGCAGAGGAATATCAATGGAACACATTTCAAAGTAAGGATTTATTGGTGCTCAAACAAGCACTGGGGCAAAGTCAATTGTGAAGAGGTATTCGTTGATTTATTGAAATGTCAGAGCTTTAGGACATACAGAAAGGAGAACAAACATCTAAGTGGCAGAAAAAAATGTAATTATTCAGTTCTATTGTTTTTCAATACCTTGACCATTCAAGGAAATGCTCAATTTTATCAAAAGCCAAATGAAAACGAAAAATGATCAGTCAAATCAAAATAGCATCACACTCAATGCCTGCTGTAGAGGAATTAAACCATTTTTGTGTAGTGTGTACCTTGATAATAGCTTATTTTTTATGGCATAGTGACATACAGTATGTGTTTGACTACTACAAAACAATGTAACCCTGAGGGGACCTGTTCTAAACGTTATAAAGCCAGGAGCTATAAGATGCAAATAACCATTTAGTTGTCTTGTGACATTTTTGACAGTCGTTCTTTTCTTGTCCAATTTGCAAATAACTCCAGAGCATGACTTGTTTGTTATAATATGATAAAGCACACAAGAAACCACTACTGCCAATAACAAAATTAAAAAAACAGGCTCATTAGGACAATGTCATTTCCTCTAAGCATGACACAAAAGGCTGCTATCTATATCCTACATGCAGAGGCAGAGTGATGGACCAGCATTCCTCTGCACTGTTCCTACAGTATATATTTATAATCCTATATATTTAATCGGAAACTCTAAAGCTGTTTACGTTTGGGAATGTTCTGTGAGTTCTGTCTGTAGTTTTATTTTACTTAGTCATGAAGAAATTTTATCTTTTCTCAAAAGAAAGCATGAATCCAAATCATTGTTAACTTTGCCACACACATTGAGGCAGTTCTATAGTTTTCCTAGAAAAGCATGTCAGTTAGTTTTATTAGGATGAAAACAAATGTAAAATGTCTCCGGAATCCCCAATCCTTGTCCCACTTCAGGATGACAAACGGAAGTGCTAAGGGACTTGTACCATCTGGAGTGGTCCTGGACTGGCTCTTGAGTCTCAGTGATGGGCGAAACCTTGTTCTGTCATTGAAACTCCAGCTCTTCTGCACCTTGGCTGGACTGGTGTCAGTGGTGATGTCAGGGCCAGGTGATCGCCGATCCCCAACAGAAGTTTGCCTGTACTTCATGCTCTGTCCTCGTGGACTGGCCATTCGTACCCGTTCCTTAAAGCTTAATTTCTGGCTGCAAGAGACATACAAGGAGAAAAACACTTAGTAACCACAATAGGGCCTGCAGTCAAAATGTTGCAAATCACATAATGTAAAAAATACAGTTACATCCGATTCACATGATGTAATGAAATTAGTAATAATAAGTGAATGAAAAGAGGTATAAAGAATTTCAGCAGAGATTGTAGCTAGCAAGTCTTTTTTAATTTATGCATACAATTCAGTGAGCTTTAATTTATTTTTAGTGCCAAGTATTATGTTTAAAACTTAAATTTAAACTACTTTTGACATATCTAATATACATGTATATACAGTATTGCTTTGACGTTTTTCTCCTATATAGTAAGAAACCAAGGACAAATAGAAAATCCCTACGTGTAAAGGTCGTGATTAACTTAACACAAATACATGTAGAACAAAATAAGGGCTCTGCATTAAACACACAATGCACTGTTTTTTGCTTATGTAGGATGCATAAAGCAGACTACTGATGCATGCAAGATGCTCCATCTGAACTGTATTTCCTTCATTCTGAGTCAAGAGAACTATGTTACATGACTGTTGGATGTACCCCATTCAGCTTAACACTGGTGGGTGAACAAGATATAAAAACACTTCCACCAGAGTTTCAGCAGTATGACTGTGATGGCGAGTTAGGATTAAAATAAGCATGTACACTGTTTGCTGGCCTTATAATGGGCACACCACAGCATATTAAACTCTTCACTTTATAACAGGAGCTACAAGTATAGAACAAAATCCACGTGAGAGTCTGTCAGCCTCTGGCTGACTGAATGAAGTAAAATGACAGCTACAGGTTATGCTGCATCCCTTGAAAAATAATGAAACTATAATCTGCAGATGCAAGAATGCAAACCAGCATGTAAGCTTGGGGTAAGCATCAAGACAAGCATGCAGAAGTCAGAGACAAGCAGCAAGCAAAAGATGAAGCTCAGAGCAGACACATTTTTCATAAGCTGATGCAGTTAAAACAAATAGTTATGGAGAAAAATATACAGTTTGGACATCAACACCTCCAGAGCTATCTTGCAGTTTCCAAAGTGATCTGTCCTTAATTGTATAACTAGAAAGATTTACATAAACTCTGACTATGACTCGGAACAGAACACCAGTTTCAAGGCACATGTACTATACATGTTGCAGGAGAAAAAGTTGTTTTCTTATTGGGCTTAAAGTCCTACTTTAATCCCTATTTGCTTCTGCATTGTACAGTCATCACTTTTTCTTTTGCACTGATGGCTTCTAACTTTTACACCAAACTGAGGAAGACAGAAAATTGTCAGCTTTGAAGTTACTTGTGTATTTGAATGCTTTTTGTGTGGGATCATGTGTTAGAAAACAAACAAAACCACAGCAAATCTACCACTAGCAGCACTTATCTAGTATTTTGTGAGTGCAGTGAGAAAAATAGTTTTCATTCATCACAAAAATGGACATCCACATGTCTTTCACGTATATAGCAAAACTGACATTATTATTAAACCCTACATTATTAGTGTTTATAATTATACAAGTGATACTACAATGCAAATATTTTGCAAGAAGCTGTATTTGTTAGCAAGGATTAAAATCATGTATATATGCAAAGTTCCAAAATACAGTAAGCAAATATAAAACAGTAGTATTAGTGATGTAGCCACCATATCCTCCTCTCCATGCCAGAAACTACCATGGATAAAACTTCCACTTTTTAACAAGATGCTTGAGGGTAACAGATCATTATTTTTTTACAGCTGTTGCAGTATTCATATAAGACATTTCACTTGTCTTACTTAACAAAAAAATGTACTTATTTGTTGATGTAAGACACATGGTCTGACAGATATTTTATTTTCTGTGCACACTGTTTTGTATGGGCAGTACAACACAATTAGTTGTTTTTTTTCCAGAAGCATTGAGTTTGACTTGCAAATGTGCTAAGGATTCTTAAGGAAAGAAACAACAGACTGCTTCTTTGAGTACTTAAGCTATGAGATACGACTTCTGGTGAGAAAGACACACGGGTCAGTGAAGCCTAGCTAAGACACATACCATTGCTGCTGACATGCAATCCTGCAATTCCTAGTTAATGAACTGAATCGGACATAGGCTCCACAGGCCATATCCGAGGGGATTCTACTTTACAGCAATAACAAGTACAAGTTATTGAACTAGCCTATTTGCTGTTCCCACAAATGAATTGTAGCATGCTGCAAGCAAAGAGACAGGTTTTCTGGTAAGACATTTGGAGAGTATTCTAATCCTCACAACTGTGTATTTTGACCGTCTAAAGCCATCACTGAAATAATCTCAAAAGTGCTTATCAAGTGCCAGGCCCAAGCATGACATTTGATTCAGAGTTTGAAAAATAGGCAAGGACTTCAAAAAAAGATTGCAGAAGTGAATAAATAAATGTTATCATTGTATTGTAATCCAAATGTTGTGGAAAAAGTAAAATTTTTAATCCACTTAAAATGTAATTCACTGGAAATGAATAACTGTGATAATATTGCAGTGTCATAAATTCCTTTCATTTATTCAGCAATCCATACAAAGGGATAGCTTGCATTCTTTTTCTTTTGCTCTGAATCAAAGTGACCAGGTTGAAGGTTGATGCCTGTTGCAGGGCAGGGTTTGGAGATGGGAAATGAGCATGTTGGTTTGATTGGTCAAAGAGCAGCACAAGGTTTTGACAAGCAGTGTCAAAAACAAAACAACAAGTCAGACCCACCAAATCAAGAAAAAGTCCCTAGAAAAAGGGTAAAGGGCAAGAACATTTGGGTGGCACTTAGAATGAGTTTTCATTGTCCATGCACCTGCTGTTAGTTTGCATTCTCAAAGATCATGTGACTGGAGGGGATGCTGGGTACCTAGGTTTCCGTGACGTATACATCCTGAAGAGCTTCTGTTTATTACTAAGAACCTTACTAGGAATGAGGGGAGATAGATTATTACTTTTCATTTCACTAAGAAGAAAAAGAGGATTCCTTTTTCAAATAGTAACAGTACATGAGGGTAATGGTAAAACCAGTGTTAACAGCACATATACATTCCAGTGTGCAGCGTTTTTCAGACAAAATCAAGTGATGGACAATCAGTGCATGGTATTTAGACATCCACAACACTATATCAGATTGGGATCACCTTTAGCACTCCTCCAACTAAATGTGAACTTAAAAAGATTGTTATATTTTAGGGGGCATGGAAGGCAACAATTAGATTTTGCTTTAAATTTACAGTACTGGTTCTTTTAGGATTTTCTAGTACCTGTGTAACTCGAGCTTTGCAACACTGATACTGTACATTTTTATATGATGAGTAACATAAATCATCATTAAAGAAATTATAAGAAACATTTCATTTTCATTTTATTATTTTTCTACTGAAATTTCTACTGAAATCCAATGAGAGTTCTCTCCCAGGCAACATTATACAGCTGCACAGAATGTCTATATCTTAGATTTTCCTTCTTCTTTTAAATGCTTAGTACACCTCCCAGAAATCTCCAGTTTATGATCTAATTGATAAATTAAGAATGTTAACCATTTTCTTTGACAGCACAACGGTTAGTCATGTTTTAAATAAAAATAGTTAAAGTAAGTCAGAATTGAATTCGTAAAAATTGTTTAATAAATTATTCTGATTAAACTGCAAAACGATTAGCATTAGCCATGTTGTTTAATTCCAAGTGCACTCAATTAAATGAATACATTATTTCAGAAATCCACTTAAATAAAATAATATCCATACTCATCGGTCAATCAGAAGATATTTTAATGTAAAATATCCAGGGTTTTGGCCGATGTTTCTGTCCAAAAAGTCCATTTGATTGCTAATCTTTACAATACAATACTAATATTCTAATAATAATCTAAATATTATAAAAATACCTCTTGAAAGCACTGGTTCTTATTTAATAAATAATATAAATAACTCGTAATGGAAAAAGTACATCATCAAACAGTTCCACCAACTGGAAATCATCATCTTCGAAAGGCTGAACAAATAATTACAAATGACGCCAATTTTCTGTTTAAATATTTTGGAGTTTTGTCGACCTAGTTAACTTTATTGCCTTTACATATTTGAGTATTCCACAGTAAACCATTAGTCACTGTCAGCTGTACTTTTTGACAAAAAGCAGAATTTAGGGTTGCATCTGCCAATTTTTTTTTCACTTTTGATTTAGAAGTCTCAAAATATTTCAAGGAAAAAAAATCCACTGATTTGTAATTTGTGATATCTTAAATACAATCTCTGTTTTCCCCCATCCAATATCATAATACCGATTCTGGCATGCAGTTTTCTTATATAAATATATACTCCTCAAACAGTCAAATGAACTTAGTTACAAAGGAATTATTTTTTATCAAAATATCTCTTTAAACTACATTTAGATTTTTTATGCAATGGTATTTTACGAACATCTGCAATTACTTAGTGTGCCAATTCTAAAAACAACTTCAATCTCACGGTCTCGATCATCTCATGGTCAGTTATAAAAAAAACATATCTTGAATTTTCTTAGCAATAGAAATGAACAGAAATCTAATAATTTCATATAGATAAGTGTAACAAACCTGCTAGCAGACTCCCCCTGGTCTTTCCTTCAGAGATTAGTAAATAACAGAAAAGGGACAAAGTTAAAGAGATTAATTATTGAATATAACAGCACCCAGCAGTTAAAGAAAGATATAAAATGCATATATATATTGAAAATAAATCAATATATTCACCTGCTACTGCTGCATACAGAGGTATATTTTTAAAAACACACCACCAGGCACAATACCATTAAAGCAGGCCAGACAGAAGAAACCACAGTCATTCAGAAAAAATGGTCAATTCAGCAAGACAAACCACAAACTGGCAACACACACCAAGCAGACATGCACTTTATGCACAATACATACCAAGTCAGATTGTGCTAGAAAAGCGAGATATATAACAGGGACCTGCAGATTTGGTATTCTAGATATCTGGAGACTGAAATGCCTGTATTCACGTGAAAGCAAGAATTCTTTGTTATATCAGGAAAGAATATCACAAAATGCCCTATGATATGCTGTCTCTTTCAACACTGCAGGCTGTTATCTTGGGCATTCGGGGGCAGACTGTGGTTATTGTTGGTAAAAAGGGATTATTAATCTAAATGTAAATTTATTAGTATCTTCATCTATGTGTTCTCAGCAGATGGCTCACCCAATATTTCCAGGCTCCACTAAAATCTGCATTTACTGAAATGCTGCAAAAGAAAACATTAAAAGGAGCTTTCGCGACCTCACAGTTGCAGGCAAAATATTTGCATCTTCGTATCAGGCACATCTAAAACTTTTTAGATTATGTTAGTATGGAAATTACCTGTATAAGGATGTATTTCACCATACATGTAGAATGTTTTGGGGACCTGGAGAAGTACTTTCAAAATTGAATGTTTGGTATATGTGAAAAAATGTGTACAACAATTCAGCCTGTGCTCTACAGGAATAAAGGAGAGAATTTCTCTTTCTGTGGATTTGCTGTCAATATTCCAATAATGTTCGTAGCTATTCTGACAGTAACCACTAATTCGGGTGGAGGTAGGGTAAACACAAACCCATAAATTGGCAAGTTTGTAGCTATATTCGGCTATTAATTTCTTTGAACTAAATATTAGTTGTAACTATTACTTGGGCGAGTAATTAGAAGTTAACCACTAAACCCTGTATACACTATTAAAAGAAAATATCTAAGGGAGCCTGGACAATATTGGTCTGTTTGATGGCTGTGACCCTTTTTTATTAAAAGGCAAAATAAAGAAAAAAAAAGGCAAAAAATAATGAGAGCTTTTGAAAGAGAGAAAACAGACCAAACAGAAATAACAAATATTTAAAAGCTACAGGAACACAGACACCAAATACAACACCAGCTGCCATAGTTGTACCTACTTTGTAGGGCTGCAGGTATGCAAGGCCTTCAAATGAGGCTTCCAGGTAGCAATGGAAACCGAGTTCTCATCAGCCGCATAACTACGCCATACACACTACGTGCAGGATATACAAAACAAAAAAAAAAAAAGAAAAGGAAAAAGAAACAAGGCCAGAGGGAGCAGGGATAAAACAAAACAAAAAAATTGAAAAGCAGATTAGTAAAACCCAATACGAGTCATTGCTTTATCATCTTTCATAGCACATATACATGCCTGAGTGGTGGGAGAACACTTTCATAGTATCGCCAGGTGGCATTCAGGTATGTTCGGCTGGCATCAGTGGAGTAAAACCGCCAAGCAGCCTGGTATAGGAGGAGAGATACAAAAGGCACAGAGGAACCACAACAAGTGAAGCGATATGTCAAGAGATAAAAGAAGCGTCCTACAAGCTTTGCTCTCAATGGGGCTGTTTCAACCAAAAGGCCGCATTTCACTCTGCGTCACATGGTATGACAAAAGAAAAGCATAGGTCACGCTAGCTTTGCCTCAGAAATTAAAGGGCATGGTGTAATGTAAAAAGAACCGAGAATACAGCGAAGAAGACAAACAAGACAACATGAAGTGGTTCAAAACAAAACACTACTGCTCCCCACTTCTAGTCCTGATTACCTCTCTGCACACAAGATGAAAGCTGTGAATGGAATAATGCGTTGTTGAGAGTCATTGGGTGAAATGACACATGGTACTACGGTATCTATTTGAGTTCCTTGTGTAGTTTGTATTCATAAGTGTTTGCAAGCAGTAGATGAGTTACTATTCCCAGTATCACTAATAAAAACGGCCATCCTTTTTGTTGTAAACACTTTCTCTTAAAATGAAGAATCATCCTCTAAATTCTTTCCACAGAACAATATAGTATATATACTGTATATAGTCCAATCATTCCTTTGGATGTACTGTAGTACAAATTGATAAGTATCAGCACTCTTGCATATTGGAACACTCTTTATATAAATAAAGTTTAATAAATGTGTGAAAAATAACAAATAACTATATGATTTAAAGGAAAACAAACAGTTGAGGAATAAAAAAAAATATTATCCTTCACACAAGACACTAGGTAATATGTGTAAAGAATGTAAGATTGCAGGATTTGGTTCTTGTTGTAGAGAACTTTCATCTAGTCTCTATAATCAATGGGTTTACAGGGCTGTTTCAGAAAGGTTTTGAGCCACACTTTGCCAGTAGAATCTGAAAACAAAATTCGGCTGTGGGATAAACTCATTTGTTTAGAACAAAATATTTCTACAAAAATACTACATTTCAAATGAACAGATCTTATGATATTTACATTATATGCAGACATGGAGGTATTGTAAGGAAAAGAAAAAATGTCAAATGTTTTACATTTGTGTGTTATGTTGTAATAAAAAAGTGACATCGAAATTAATTAAGAAGATATTGGCAAGTGCAAAATGCTGGATACAAAATTAAAAAAAAACATTTTGAAGGAGTCGAAAACCTTCACTTCCAAACCAATGTGCTCTGTGTGTTGTATTGTAATAGAATATTTTTGGCTACCCAGCCTCATTTAAAGAACATTGTTGAGCTACTGTAGAAAGGGTCTAGCAAAAATGTTTTTTAACTGTTAAATACTAAGATGAAGTGTCCCATTAATAAAGTTAGAATTTAACTGTACTGGACATGTTTTACAAAATTCTAACAACCACCTAGTAATGAGTTTGTTGAGAAAGAAATTAAACATTAACTTTGAATGGCATTTGAGGAACATCACTCATTTGCATTGATGACTGATGGCATAACTTTGCTGGGAAAGCTTAAAATAAAATAAAAAAATGAACACTGAAATGGCATTAAGCAAATACTGCATACACTTTCAAAACAAGAAAACCTGCAGAGAATTCATGTTAAACTTCAGAAACAAAGTGATAGATTAGAAAAAGCCACAATACATCTCTGAAAATTAAGTAAAACTTATCGTTAATCATTAAAGCATGACATTAAACAATAGTGACACAAAAGGTACTCTGTTGATCTAATTCGGGATGTGATTTCTTGATTAAACCTTTTTAAAGATTCTTTTTTATAGTTCTTTTATAGTTTTTTATAGTTTTATATGTGATAGCTTTCCCCTTGCTGTGGTACTTTATGTTTATTTTTGTTTAAATATGTAATTAATAAAGCACATGGTGAATGTCACATTGTGGGTTACCTGGTTTGGTATATAAAACCAATCTATTGATCTTTACTCATATGCAGCATGGAAGACAGAGGTCATGAACAGGGTCCAGTTCATGGCCCTGTAGGCCATGGGTTATTTCATGGCAGCTAATGGCAGCTCATAAAAATAAGAGGTTGTGAAAAACGTGCTGGCTGTTTTAACATTAGGCTTTTTGTTTTTACGTAAGCAACAAAACTGGATATAGCTTATAAGGAATATAGCGGTAGAATATTTGATCTGAAATAAGTGATGTTTCCATTGTGTGTTGCAATTTTACATTATTTCTGCACTAATTAGTCTAGAGACTTGTTGAAAATACTGTATGCAGCACCACAAATTGTACATGTGACAGCCCATTCACCTTTCAATGGGCCACCTAGTGTCCAAAGGTCACCATGATCAGAACAGATGCTATAAATTAATTATGCTGACAAGGAGTGTATTTGTCAGTCTCTGAAAAATGCTGTACAGTCAGTCAGAAACAAAATATCAATAGAACACTGCTGGCAAAATAATGATAAAAAGACATTTGAAATAATTCTGCAGAATTAAGTGAAGGAAAATGAAGGAGATTTGGTGTCAAGAATATTTTTTAATAAAGATATTATAAGCAGTTTTACACTGAGTCAATGTAAGATGCCCCATGCTGCTTTGAAAAGTTTATTTACCTGGATTAAACTGGCTGCTGGGTTTCGTCTTTTTTCAAAATGTTTCTGTCGATGCTGCTCCTGTACCTTCAATGCAAACCCTGAGCCTAGAATTCCCTGAGAAGTAAAAAAATAATTTGTAGAAAACAGTACCTCTAAATTAGTACATACGGCACATAAACCATTCTCGATGCCTGTCTTCACCTAATTAGCAAATCGTTTTCAAACATTGTTGGAAGTTTTTAAGTAAAGATGCCACCTTCAGCATAATATCTCAAGAGTACCATGCTAAACACATAATTTCAGTATAAGTATTGTATACAAAAAATAAAAATATTGGAATAACTTTATTGGACCCCTCAGTTTGTAAGAAACAGTTGGTTTATATTTTATGAGAATGCACGGAAAAAGATTATAGGTCTCACAAAATCATGGAAGAAAGCATATAGTATAAGGTTTAAGAAAGGGTAGTTTTATCACTTAATTTAATAACATTTTTGCTAGTTTTCTATATTACAACTTAAAATGACTTTATTTTTATTGACTGAAGTAAATTCACAGACTGTCCAATCATTAATGTGTCTCTTATTTCCAGTATGTTTGGGTCTATACTGTCCACAAATCTAAAATTATAGTTGGTCCCCTAGTGCTTTAGTTACACAGCTCACTCGCAAACCTGCACTGTACAGATACTCACAGCAGGCAGAGCAAAAAAGGAGATTCCAAGCAGCGCGAAACCTGCAGACAAAAGTCTTCCTGTCCATGTGTGAGGTGTCTTGTCTCCATAGCCAATGGTGGTCAATGTGATCTGTAAATAAGGTTGGTCATAGAAGACTCATTAAGCTGGTTTCAAAGACAAAGTCCTGAATCATACTGAGTCTTCAGCCAATGAGATCACCAAATGATGGTGTTCTATATGTACCAAAGGCCAAATGCAGAAGTAGAGGGGCTGGAATGTTTGTTGCAGCTGATGGAGTACAATTAACAATGAACACAGAATTAGAGAATATTGTTTTTTATGGACAATTTCTGATTTACATTTATGTTTTCCTTATAATTTGTGTCTGCTCAGGTTGCAGCACTTTCAGCTGGATTGATTTGGTAAGTGGGTGGCACAGTGGCAGGGCAGTCGCATTGCTGCTTCTCAGCAGTTGCGTCCTTCGATTCTGGCCTGGGGTGCATTCTTTCCATTTTCCCACCCACAGCCAAACAGTCCAAAGATAGGCTATCTAGGATAACTGACATCTCCAGATAGTCCCCTGTAGTTAATTTTTTTGTTGAATAGTTCGTAATCCTGGTTTCCTACAGACTCAGCCTTTAATTAATTAAGATGTCTGAACTTTCTATGGAAAAGTGCACGATACTAGCGTAATTGGAGAAATGTACAGCCTAAATGCTATAAATATCTGTAACAAAATAACCTACTCATCATATTATAAATATGCAGTTCATATAAATAAGTGGTTCTGATAAAATAAAGTCTGTGCAAAAGAGTGTCAAATTTTGTCAGAGCGACATTACAAGGCAGCCTTTTAAGGCATTCCTTCTTGCAGAAGTATTGTATTTGTACTGCTAATGTCTCCCAGATGTCTTGGGTCACTGACAAATGACCACTCTCACAATATAATATCTACTGCACCCGCTGATATCTCATGAACATCAGCGTATGATTCGTGCAATCAGAATCCTTTGTGCTCTAATACTGGCCGCAGAAAAGTCATTTAAGAGTATTTGGTAACTTAATAGTCTATCATTTTCCCCCTTAGTGTGTTTATCCATGTGGAAATGTGACCCAACAGGAGTGCACACATTTTATTTCACTCTTATACACTCACAATTTCATTCTGAGAAGTAGCTTTTAAAATCTGGGAAAGGTGTTTTTATCAATAAAATGTACCAGACTCTTAGTTTTTGTAAGAGGCATGGCTACTAAACTACTACTAAAGTTTATTACTGAACATCCATCATAAACACTCTTTCTCATCATTATGTTACAATGGCAATTACTGAAGAAGGAAACAAAGGTGAAGTGTAAATTACATTTTTTCTGGAAGCACATAAAGCAATTTCAAAGCTGTATTTTGTTAAAAAGAAACGTTCTGAGTTTCTTATTCTAAAAAAAAAAATATTTTAATAAGCATTCCATAAAATGTCTATCCTTAAAACTCCTGCCCATAAATCCCTTTTGCAGGAACTGTCTTATCAGATGACAAAGAATTGCTTGTGCACTGCTGGAGTGTTTTTCTGTTTCCTAGGGGATATAATAAAGCAGGGATTGTTAAGTTCAAATGATCTATGGAAAATTCATACAGAAACAACTTTCCAAATATTTAGAAAGTATAAATACCTGCTCTGTTGATGGATAAACAAATTACTTTTAATTCAATTAGAAATGCATCAGAGTATTTACTTTGTAGAATGGACTTACTGTGCCCCACCACAGAGCGTCTGCATAAGTAGCGAACTGGGGGTTAGCTTCTTTTTCCACCAGGTAGACAAGAAATGATGAAAATATGAGAACAAGAAATCCAATATACCAGGCTGTGACCAGCTCCTGCAGTGACAAAATACAAAGTATACACAGCCAATTATAAATGCTTGAGAATGCGGTCAAAATCACAATCTATTATGGAATACTGAAGAGTTTGGAAGGTAGCTGCAAGACAAAAATACTGTGCCTTGTTATACATGATTAAATAATAAGTAACTAAAAAAAGTATTTAGTGATACCTATTTGATACTTATGTGTAAACGTTACATTCAAATATTCCATTTTAGAAAACAGGCTTTTAGACACAGAACAGTACAGCATTTTAAAAACTGCATAAAAGCCAGGAATTATTATTATAACATTAGAAAAGAGAAGGTCTCATGTGGGCGACAGAGATTAATATGCAAAATGGAGAGCTTTGCATGTGTTTTCTCTGGCAGGGGGGTTTAATCCCTTGAAGTAAGAACACAGATAAATGAAAGGAAGCATAACGCAAATTTGATGAAGCCAGACTCCTTAAAAAAGTTTCCATCATGGAAATACAAACCTGTTACAATCAACCTCCCGACTCCACAGATATTATAAAGGGATAAAAATATGGCTACAACTTCAGTAGCTCACCATATAGAATAAAAACAAGCAAAAAATAAAATTTAACAAAAGAAGCCTTTTCTTTAACCATATTAGTAATTTTAATAATAATGATTCCCATATCCCACTCTTTTTCAAATCTACCTCTTATAACGTTAGAATACGGAAGTGGAATACATTTTCCATTTCCTATTCTGCAGCTGAAAATAGTGCCATTTAATACAAGGATGTCTTAGGACTTTCAAATGGACACTGGTTGTCTGCTGCTCTGCAGCTGGAGTAGAAAAGACCTGCCTTGCTGTGGGCATAAACAACAGAGCCCAGCAGCTTCCAGGTGCCTCCTCTCCTGTCCATCCGCACCATGCGCAGGATCTGCAGGAATCGGAGACTTCTCAGTGCCGACGTAGCGAAAATGTTGCCCTGACTTCCAGCAGAGACCACGGCCACAGAGGCGATGAGAACAATGATATCTGGAAGGAGGCACAATAAGAGACAGATCAGACAATACTTAATAACTTATTATTGCAGATGATGCAATACATCATGTGTATTGAAGGGGAAAGAACTTCAGAATTTGTTTTTGAAGTATATGGAAGCCAGTGTTTCAGATTTCTGTACTATTTCTGTCAAAGATAGCTTTTTATGGTTTGTGTACAGGAGTATAGTTAAGATACATCTATTCATCATTGTAGTCATATTAAAATACCAACCAGGGAGTTGTATGTAGAAAGAAGATACTTTAGAAATCATGTACCAAAAATCATTACAAAAGAAGTTAAACTGACCGTTACGATCAACATAATGTTGATATGCTAAGTGGGTTCACCAAACCACATGAAAAAGGATTCACATTAAAATAGCATAACTAAAGAATAGATACCATTTAACCACAAAATCAATTTCAGCATGCAATTTAAAATACTTTTCATTTCGAGCAAGTGTTTAGCACGTAGGTACTGACAGGTTCACAAGCTTATTTCCTGCCTTAAGCTTTAGTTCCGTAACACTGATCAATTGCTACTGTCTTCATTTAATTATCCCAACAATGTTTTTCTGATGCCACCCATGGAAATCTATATTTGCAAGCATAAAAGGGAGAACACCTGCTAATGATGTAAAGGCCAGGGCAATTTATTTTATTAACACCTACAAAGTGAGACGATTTCTCGAAGACTTGGAAAGGGCATGGAGCACCACAGGCTAAATAACTACAGCGCAGTTCCTTTTCTATTGACGTAATGATAATTAACAAATTGATATAGAGTTCAGATTCCCCTGCTGTGTGTATAAAGACCTACAGAGCAGAAAGACCAAAAAGATCATCATGCTTCCACCATCCATCTCTGTTCAGAGCCAATATCAGCTGATAAAAAACACACAATTTCTGAATCAGTGTGTGGAGACAGATACCACATCCTGTATAGTAGAAAGACGTATTGAACCAGTGGTTTTGACTAAGTGAATAATCAAGGAGGAACATGGATAATCACTGAAGACAGCATTTCAGATGGCACCAAGATTTAAAGGCTGCAGGACATTTAAGAAGAAACCATTCCTTTTTTAAAATAGATTCCCCCACACACCCATCCATTTTCGAACTGCTTCAATCCAATTCAGAGTCATCCGGAAGCTGAAGCCTATTCCAGCAAGCAACAGGACCAAGGTGGGATGAACCCTGGACTGGACACCAGTCCATCACAGAGCACAGACAGACACAGACATGCACACACACACTCATGCCACAGGCAATTTTCAAAGGAGCCAATTCCTCATTCCTCTACCTCATTTGAACTGTGGGAGGAAACCAGAGCACCCAGCAAAAACTGACAGAAACCCAGGAAGGGCATACAAGCTCCCTGCAGATAGCACCCCAGGTTTAGAATTGAACCCAGGGCCCCAGCAACGCTGACCACTGTGCCACCCTGCTGTTCTACCATTACACACATAAAAATTACAATTACATACTTCTTTTGTATTCAGGGACTGGCATTCTAAACGATTGGATGTTTTTTCACTCTTTCTAGTAAAACATACTAGAATCCACATGTCTCTTGTAAATGGTGTCTCATCACATTAAGAGGGGCCTATAACTGCAGAGAATTAGAAAGAAATTAGGGACAGATATAATCATTGAAAAAATGATCCTGTAATGGAAACGAAACAATTTCATTACAGGCAAGCAAATGTTCTAACAATACTTTTATGTTTAGATCTTATCAGTCTGAGAAGCTACATTTAGATGCCTAAACACACTTTGAAATTGAATTGGCTGAACATCACATGTACACTTATCTCAACAACATCTGGACTTCTGATTTATCCACTTTTAAATCTGCAAAACCATCCTGATTCATGCCATCCGGTCTGCTGGACCTTTCCAAAAGCTGATGTGTATGCCATGCACTCATGGCTCAAAGGCATTTGCTGGTACTGTACATAATGTGATCACACGATCTTCTTCCTTCCCTGTTTATGTCATTTTGTAGATGTTTATAAAAACCTATGTTTCAGTATTTACTACACAATAAACAACACAACAAAAGTATATTAAAGGTGAAATATACTGAGAAAACACTTTTTTATTTGTTAAATATACAGTGCCATTGCAAAAGCATACTGATGAACGTAAACAAAAACTGGTCGGCAAGTGTGTGATGTTTACTGCGCACTGTGTTAACAACCGTAAAATCATAAGTTTTTACTGAGAATTTGCGCTGGTCAAACAATTTCAGACACAGTATAAGTAATGTCTTAATGACCAATATTCTATATTCTACAGATGTTTGTTTTTGGCATTTTAATAACTCCAAAGACAAAAGTTTAGAATTGAAGAAACTTATCTGCTGCAGTATTCTACTCTAGTTTGCATTACTCCACAGAAGTGTCAATACAATTGTATAATCAGTCCAATGATTAAAACCACAGTCAATAAAAAACATAAGCATTTCTTTGCATTTTAGCTAGGAAATTTCCACAAAATAATCACACACTAAGCAAAGCTTTCTGGCAAGACCAACCCAAGAGGAATAATCCCTTCAGTCATTACCTGTCGTTCTGCAGCTCCTCTTATTACATCATAAAACTTGTGATTACACTTCAGCTCTCTATAAGTCTCACCGGAAAGTGCTTTAACTTGCCTGGGATCTAATCTAGCTTCTGAATTTAGCTGGGGAGGGGGGTTACACATGGCTGTAGGTAACTTCTGCTTTTGATGTGTTGACACAGACACCTTCAATTCCAGAGGAATCCAGTTTCTATGTAGTAACACAGAGAGGGTTATCATAAATCAGGGCCTGCTGTATTAAGTTGCTGGCACACCACTTGCAGGAAATTCTTTGGTCACATGGATTTATTTGACCCAGCATATGGAGGATGCCACTTCATCCAAAAAAACAAAACAAAACAAAGCAAAGAAAAAAACAATTCACTACAGCCCTCTACTATATCTTCCAGCTAGACGCTTGACTGTTTGAAAAGTAGTCTAAGATTGTGTTATGAATGGTGTTCCTTTGAGGTGAGATGTTTTTAAACGGCAAAGTGGCTTTGAACCTTATTTAGGTAGGTTGACCATTTAATCTAGTGTCTCCTTTTCTGAGCAAATGAAAGAAGCCACAATTTTAGACTATTCATAAGATGATTGCTTGCAGTCCCTGTGCACAAACAACTTCAGTGTTTAATTTCACAGATGGAGCACATGAGAGACACGTATATGATTTATTAATAGTCTTGTATAACCACAAGGAGTTTGGACTTTTTGATATGGGTGAGTGGAGTTTAAAAAACAAAAATGACTCATTTCCATCTCAAAGCAAATTAATCTTCAACATTTTCATCAGAAAACACTATTCTGCAGTTCCAGTCAACATGTGAGGAAGGTAGCAGCATCACAAACCAGCATTAAGTATGCATTTTTATTATTGGTCCTTGTGGTGCACCTCATCTTTTTGTTGAGAAAGCTTGATTACTCCGTTTTGTAAGAAGATACGTTTTTCTAAATGACAATGAATTTAATTTTTTTTATGTATCCCTTGATATTCAGGAGTATTCATGCTGAGTCTGCAAACGTGCTCCATACAGAATATTGAGATTCACAGTGAAAAGTGATTCACTGATTGGCCCTATCAGTTACTTTTCTATTCATTAGCTTTGAGCAGAGTGAACCCAATTGATCAGAGAAGTAGATACTCTATGCTTATGAAACAGTTCAATACTGTATCATTGGTATAAAGTGCGTAATGGAATACCACACTACATTCCCCTTTCTCTCTTATCAGGTGTATAGCTTACAGTCTTACACTTATCAAGTGAGGCATGGTTCTATACTGTACTGTAGGTGGACAAGTAATTTAGCACCTAATTAGTTTACCCCCTTAACCTACTGCTTTTCCTGATGGTGACTGTAAAAAAATATCTGTTGTTCATTAGAACATGAAAAGCTGTGTGGAGTAGCGGTTATAGTTCGGAAGAACTCCCAAAGGTTTTGGGTTTGAACGGTGGGCCGTGCTCTTGTTGCAGTTTCAATTAGATTGCTTCAGTAAAATTGACAATTACGGTATATAAACTGTCACAACTATACAGTACACTACTCTGGAAAAAAAGTGGTAATTGAATATTAATAATAATTCAGGCACAATTGACAGATTTTATTAGAAGAAAGCAATACAAGGTTTGATGACAAAAAGATGAAAGAAAAAGACCCTTCTACTAAAATGCTATTCCAGAATGCACTGTAATAGTTCTGTAAAGCACTTTGAGAAGCCACCTTAAAAGGAGCTATATAAAATAAAGTTTGGATATTACGGGACAGAACAACTGAAAGGCTCTCAAACCAACAGGAACAGCAAGACCAGGGTGGCTGTTTTCAGAAAGGAAGTTGACATTATTGCAATGCATCACAAGGATAACTTTCAATAGCATTCAAATTACACCTAGCACTGGGATAGCTCAGAGAAAAAGAAATGTCATTATTATTATGTCTATTTTTTAATTCTGTAGGAATTCTAATGTTCTGTAGACATCAAATTGAAGAGTATTTGCACTTTAGTAATATGGATGACAAAATTGTGAAGTATAAAATTTTGTAAAGCTACGTAGATGAGAGTAAACTTACATCATGTTATGGAGAGGAGGAGGAATCTTTTGTACTCTTGGTTCTAGAAGTGTTCAATGAAACTCTAGAGACAGATGATTATTTGAGTGTTGAAAGTGTAAAAGAATATAAAACATTTCCATAAACTACAGCGACAGCCTGCTCCCTTAACAACGGTGTAGTACACTTTTTGTAATGTTGCCTTTGAACAATGTGGTTTAACATGATCTATTGAAACAGGACTATTTGTGTCTTCAGATCTTCTCATGGCCCATAATATAAAACATATTTTTGTTTAAAATACAGCAAAGTGCAGAGAGGCTACCAACCAAATCTTCAGTCCTTCACTGCATATACCCACTTTGAGCCCTTCAACACACCTGTTGCCTTGGAGAGCTCTGCCTTGTGTGTGATAGTGATTTCTGATCCCACAGCATCATGCGCAAGACAGAATGCAGCAAACCCTGAGCTTTCAGAGACTGTAAAGCAGTGCATTGCATGGAATGGAGCCATTTTCAATAAGCATCAGGTCCAAATGAGGACTTCATTATATCCACAGAATTTAATGACTAGAAAATGCTTACCTATGACACAAAATGGCTTTCTTGCAAAACGGAGCCGTCCTTGCCACCCCCTGTAGCGGCAGCAGCAACCAGCAGACCAGATCCGAATGATGTACTCTAAACCGAACACGACGATCATGACGAACTCCTGAGAGGAGACAGAAAACACAGCTCAGCTGAAGGGGTAACAAGTTCCTCCTCTCTTCTTATTACATTTCTTTCTTCAAACTTAGTTACACTTGATAGACAAAATTAACTTAAGACCGTATACTTGTAGCGGACTACAGCTGTGTGTACTGTATCTTGTACAAAGTCTAAGGGCAGTCCTTCATCCTGTGTGTTCTTTATTCCCTAATTAAATAAAAAGAAATTGTTTCTCAAACAGTGAGTTGCATATTTTCATTACAAATGACGATTCTGTTATAATGTTACAGAAAATTGCTTTTTTTAGTGGTAAGGGGATTTAGTTTTATATAAACACAATGGAATTTAATTATACTGCTCCAAACATAGTAATGAAATGGGACTTTATGATCAAATTCTAATTACTGTAACAATACACTTTACATTACATTCGTTAATGGTTTGTGCTCTACAACCATATACCATTAATAAATTCTTTATTTCCCAATGTAATGATACTGTGCAAAGGAAAGAAACTTCCCCCCGGTCACATATTGAAATATTTGAGCGTATAATGCAAAGATAATAGTTGCAAAATCATATTAAATTATTTTACACTAACATAACATTTTCATTTTATTAAGTTGTTATGATGACAATACAGTTCAGAAACATGATGGAATATAACACATATAACAAAATAGGATTACAATGAAGGAAATGGAAATTTTGTAACACACCCCCTGCACTACTTTAAGTTCATTTCTTGGTTTCAGTTCATACAGCTTTATCTTAAAGTTTGAAAAATTTACTAAATTGTGTATTTATCTTCAAGAAGAAATTAAAATATAAAACACAAAACATAGGACATTAATGGAAATGCACACAAACACAAACATCACAAATATATAACCATACACTGGCTTCACATTCTGTGTAATCTACAGTTAACTGTAATTCAGTGTCACTACTGTACATTGTTTCAGATTCCTCTATGTGACTTTTTTAATGGTGATCCTATAACTTTCTAAATGAAAGCACAGCATTATTAGTGGTTACTACATGTTCCTAAAATAGTTTTTTGTCAAAAATGCTTCTCGATTTTCTAATAAAATCACAAATTTCAAATCTTGCAAAAAAGCAAAGGGAAAACAGTACACAAGGCACAGAAAAGCAAAGAGGTTGTGTAAAAGGTTGCAAAAGGTGACAAGTGCGTAAATCAGAGACCAGTAGCAGAACTCATGTCCCATTATCTCATCTGTTCTACGTCTCTATTAACAGCTATGAAAAAAACAATATGCTGGTGGAAACGAGGGATAAAGGGAAGTAATTTACCATAAGATAATACTGATTGTGTTTGATGAATTGACTGCCTACTGTTGGGAGCAATAGGGTTTATAGCTAGGTTTGCATTTGCTATTGAGGAATAGTATGGAAAAATCAATATGTGTATGCTAATAAAAGGTAAGCCGCATACTGAGACATGCTTTTAAATTACAAGACAAGATGCCCTGTTTGCATGACACAGAAGTTCAACTGAGAGAACTATTGCAATAATGTGCCTCTTTGTAATTGTAATCCAATTAAGTCTGAGTATACGTACAGTATTTGATTTATATTTAAAGAACAGACTGGAAGAAATACAGTATCCTGTCTGTTAGTGACTACCAGCTAATGACAGGAAGGAACTTATTTCCATGAATTTGTTCTTTGTGTATTTAGGAAAGTCCCTCAAGATTGAAGGACTAGCACTAGTTTGGTCTTGCCTAACTTAACAGTCAAGGATTACAGGAAAACCTAGTCTATGAAACTAGCAATTTTAGAGATAGTTTTACATTTTTTTTCGAAATTTTAACAAGCACAATCAAACACAAATATTGATCTAAACATTAAACATCTCATACATAAAACAGACAAAATATAGATCCCTATTATATTTTTGGATTGTGATTCATTATAAATCTAAACTCAAAGTCCTAAGTTCATCATAAACATTAACTCCTCACTGAAAGATCCTCAATAACTCTAAAACATACATGAGTGTGGCTTGAATAAATGGCACTCCTTTTATATTTTCTTTATTTAGCTTAAATCTCAAGGCGGCTAACTTTAAAGCAAACATCTGCCATGCCCCGGAGTGCAGCTTGACTTCTGATGAGGGAATAAAAGAATACTGTAAAATAATGAGCATATAAATCACATTTAATGACAAGCTTATTAAACAGTGTTCTGTTTCAGCTCACCAGGATGAGAAGATAACGGGAGGAGAGGTCTTGATGGACTGGGATGGTGGAAAGCACAGACAGGACCAAGCAGCCAAACACCAGAATAAACCTGTAAAAGAAAGCAAATAGCTTAGTGTTGGGAGGTGGCACTCATTTCATTACTGCAGAAATTTGAAGGGGAATCTCCACTACACTGCAAACCAAGCTCCTGAGACCTCAAGAGGACAAAGTAACAGTGCAAATAAAAAAAACAACAGAGGGGGAACTGGGTTGTACATTCATTTGTACCATGATATCCTTTTGATATATTATTCTGACATCCATTCAATTCTTAAAAAGAGTCAAAATCAGTTATTCCATAAAATAATAACGCAATAATGCATAATATTCTAAAATGTTATTATTATTGTCATTTAGATAATCATAAAACAACTGTGTTTGAGTTATAAAAAGACAGAGTACATTAACTACTGTAGTTGAGGGCACTGAAGTTCTTCCAGTCTTTATGCTACCTTTATATTTGATGGCAAAAAATAGAATAGATAATAGAATAACAGAGTTTATTTGGTCAGGGCACCCATTGGTTTGGATCAATCCAGTAATCCGTTGTTAACAGAAAGGTCTGCAGGAAACCAGCCCTCTAGGACTGGAGTTCCCCATCCTTGACATCGGGTCTTACCACTAAAATTAAAAATCTGATCTGTTTGCCATTAATGATGTCTAATCAGACCTAATTACAAAAAAGGAGAATAAAGAAAGACAGAAGACAGATAGACAGGCATGGTATTTATAACATGATATTTATATGAAAAACCAAATATCCCAAAATTAATAAACTGTGGGTGACCTCAATTATTTTTTTACTTGTGCAAGATCTCCTGTTTAGAGGAAACTTATTTTATTTTAAAGGGTGAAAAGATTTAATGTATGCAATGACTTCCTTTATTAAATGCCGTGGAAATGCGAAGCAGCTTGACAACAAACTTGATTGTGGAAAAACAAAGCCAAAGGGAGGGAATGATTTACTCATGGAAACTTAACAGTTTTGAATTTGAATGCATTTGGGGTTTTTTTCAAACATATACAGTAGTTCCAAACAGAAGCTAGTAGATTTTAAAATTTTAGGAAACATTGCTTGGACATTCTTAAAACCTCAATAACTGGATTGCAGTGCGGGTAAAAGTGCTAGTGAGATAAATATTTTACATAAAAATCAGTAAAACTATGACTCATAAAAGTGATTATAAGTGATCATAATTAGGTAATTCACTTCCAACATGGTTTGGAAGTGTTAATTCTGAGGATTCCAGTCCTTAGCATTCACAAATAAGAAAATTATTTTCAGATTGTGAATCCCTCATCACTTTTTTTAACACAGCGGAAAAAAATAAAAAGTTAAGCCGTCGCATTTAGCTCAAATATCTCTAATCTGCCATCTTCATTGTTTTTTTTTAAACATAGCAAAAGATTAATAGTTAAATGTACAAAAGGAGAGCTGAAAGCTGGCTTTAATATTGTCAATGTTCCCACTTTAACTGTTTGAAAAAATCTAAAAAATCTATTCCATAAATTCCAAACGAAGTTATGTGGATTATTAGGAGGCCATGATTGGTAAAGGTCAATGGGAAATTTGTCCAGGACACTGGGGTAACTCCTCTACTCTTTTCAAGAAACACCCTGGGATTTTTATGACCACAACGAGAGTCAGGAACAGTCTCGGTTTTACATCTCATCTGAAGAATGGCACCTTTTTACAATATGGTGTCCCGGTCACTATGCTGGGGCATTAGGACACACACAGACTGCAGGGTGAGCACCCCCTGCTGCCCTCACTAACACCTCTTCCAGCAGCCATCTTAGCTTTTGCAGAAGGTCTCCCATCCAGATACTGGCCAGGCTCACACCTGCTTAGCTTCAGTGGGCTACCAGTTGTGAGTTGCAGGGTGATTTAGCTAGTGGCACATGCTTTGCGGTCTGTGGTGACCTGTGGATTTGAACCCAGACCCCCAGTAGCCGTAGACCAGCACCCTACAGGACGAACCATAGCGCCGCCTATATGAAGCACAATGATCATCAATAGCTTATAAAAGAAAATAGAGTAAACTCATCCACGATTCTTAACATAATGTCGCTAAGATATTCAATGTGTAAAAACAACGGTAATAAAAAAGTGAGTGAATCACTAATTAAAATACATCCTCGATCTTGCTTAAAACTGCCTTGTGAAGATCTTACATAATCAGTGCTCTTGCTTGTTTCCGGACTGAAAGTGTGCCCTTTATTTTAAAATTCAAATGTCTGTATCTTGCTTGTTTTGCTGAATAAACAGATGGTCTGTTCTATCATGCTTTTTTCTACTGACAGTAAAACACTAGCCTTGGGCAAAGAACTGCAGCAACTTATTCATCCTCAGTTTCTAAGATATTTTTAGCCAGAGAATTGTATTTTTTCTTTTTTATCACACCATCACATCTCATCAGTTCAACACTGTCTGTACACATATGCACCAGTCTGAAAGCATGTGCTTATTGCAGTGCATTTGGGTAACTTGTTTGCAAGGAATTTGAATTTGGTTCTCAGATACAATCTCTCACAGCTGCCCTCAGTCCATCTCCATCAACCAAAAAAAACTGGAGCTAAGATAAATGCATTTGTAGTCATGATTCTGTTCTCTTAATACTCCAGTTTAATACTTAATTAGGGATGAAGGTGATATGCTAGTATTTTGTTATTACTCCTGTTATACATAGTAAGAATACATTAGACCTACATGGTTAGCACAGTATATCCCCTGGAGAAGATATTTAGTCCAGATTGGATAGACAAATCATTAAAGCAAGGCTTCAGCTAGTGAGAAAGGTCTCCATATACTGCAGTCAGCTAAAAAAGTCACTTGTCTACCCATCTTACAGTAACTATTCCACCTTTCATATAGCAGAAATCTTGCAGCCTAAGGCACAGATTTTATATAAGGAACTACTTCTGCTGACTTCAGTTTAAAAATAGAAGCATGCAGCAATTCTTCCACAGTGTCAATGAGTATGCTGTATACAAATATTAAAAATTCGAAACCATTTGAATCTAATTCACCTAACACACATAATAATCAATTTAAGAATGAAAATTTTTAAAATTGCAGAAGGTTTATGTTCTTGTCTTTCAGTCTTGTCTCTTCGCCTAGACCTTGCCTTATAGTCATTTATAACAATTAAAATTAAGCAAAGTTTTTCACTTGATTATTTTACTTAATACCAAAAGTACACATTTCAAATCTATAAATATGAGCAAAATTAGAGTACGATGCATGACAGGTTTCCCACTGCAAGTTACAATTTATACTCAAGAGGTCTGCATATCTATGTGCTAGGTTTTATTATTTAATCAGTCGTTAATGTACAAGTGAAAGGATAAACAATAAAGATCTTTAATGACCTTGATTGTCTGAAGTAATTTTATAAATAGTAAAATCTTCAACAAATCCTTAAACCTTAATTAATAGTACTCTTGATTAATGTCTCTCTCCTCAAAGCCATAGCCATATGCCTGTAATCAACTTAATGTTGATAAGTTGCAAAAGTGATAATGTCATTTAATATATCCATTGTAAATACATATACATTAGTATTCTTTACTGGTTTATCCTTTTCACTCAATTGATACATTCCAAATTAATTCTAATACCCAACTTTTCACTACCTGGTAAGATTTATGTGTTAGCATTTTAAGTCAAGTTCTAAATAATGGAACTCCTTTCAAGGCCTAGTCTCTCAGTACTAAAATAACTTGAGTAAAGACCTTAACAGGATGAAATACACTGTCCAAGCCCAAAGGATCTAAGAAGGGTTACAAAAAGAAGAAAGCCATTTAGCCCATCTAGCCAGTTCAATTGCTAGTGATCTGAGAAACTCATCCAGCCATCTTTTGAAAGAAGACAAGGTATCATCTTCAACATAGCATGTTACAGAGCCCCATGATTCATGTTTCACTGTCCATTCTGAATTGGGTTGAGGTTGAGTTTGTCAATGATTTTAAGGATGTGAAGTACCTGAAGCAGATCCTTCTTTTCAGTACAAGCCTAAAAAGATTTAGTTCTTTTAGTCTTTCAGTGTAGGACATTCCTTAACACCTGAAAATCTAGCCAGGAAATGTGTCCAGTTGCTCTTCTCTGGATGATTCTAGAGGCGAAGATGACAGAAGGTCCATATGTCAACTATGACAGACATAGCAAATGATAAGGTGCAGAAGGTCGTAGTTCTGTCTCTTCTTTTCTCCATCCTTCCTCTCAGCCCCAAGAAAAGAAAGCATAGTCAAGTACATAAAGGATCACTTTAGGTGAACTGATCAGCAAAATGGTTCCAGGAAACTAAAATAACAGGCAAATATCTTAGAAATCAAATTTTCCACATAATAATAGACATGGCAGCAGAAGTGAAATCTAAGCTAGTAAAAACATAGGAAAAGGAAGGGACACCACCATAACTAAACAGCTTCAGGTATATGGTTTTGTACTATACAGAGCCACTAGTTCTCAAACAATGACTCTTTCATACTAAACATGGGCATATTGTAGGTGCTTGGCCTCCTTCAGCTGCAGACAGTTGACTTTCTGAACCTACTCAGGATATCCTGTTTCTAGTGTGGTCTTGCCTGTGATGAGAAGTTTTGGTTTGGATAGATGAGGAGGACATAGAACCATGAAAGCTGGTGTTGTGAATTCAATGCAGTTCACATGAAACATAGGCCTTAAGCACAGCATAATGTTCATCTGCTGTTTTTTTGCAATTCTTAAAGTACTATAGAGACAAATACCACAAATACTTGTCAAAACCTTAAAAGCATGCCTTCTCCTTCTATTATTATGTGCTTTATGAATGAACCTTGAAACAGAGAATAAATCAAAGAGACACATTTTCCAAAGAGGCTTATCTAGTAAAGTCTCCTTCTAGAATAGAACATCAACATGGCTTTCAACTGGAGTTCAACGTTTTGATGCCCCTTTGCTTGAGGTGACTAGGAGATCCCACAGAGATGCCAAGTGTGTCAGAATGCCACAAAAGGGAAACACAACTGCAACATGCGTGCGTTTTGTACGACTATGTATTGCAAAAT